TCGAGTGACTGGCTATATTAAGGAAATTTCATGTTCCGTATGTCATTAGACTGTCCTTGGTCTGGAATCCGGCTGTAAGGCGGGCAGGACTTTTTAAAGTGAGCAGTTGTTCATCCTTAGCAAGCATGTTTTCTAACCACTGTCTTCTTCCCCTTCCCCAAGAGGTAGTCTGGGTGTCCCTTGCTCAGTCCGGAGAGATTTGTTTTCGTGTGTGTGTGTGTGTGTGTGTGTGTGTGTGTGTGTGTGTGTGTGTGTGTGTACGTGTGCACACGTTAAGCAGGCTTTTCCCTAATGAGCTGTGGCGCCAGCTGCAAGAGAAGCAAATCCTGTTACTCTCCGCAGCTCCTCTGAAGCCACAGAGCGGTGGTAGGAATGGAGTCTCCTTTCACCCCTTTCTGCTGTTTTCTTTCCCCGTCCTCTGCTGTCCCCGAGCATCTTGGCAAAGTTCAGATTTCTGTGCTCACAGTTCAATGCGCACAGTGAAAGGAGAATACAAAAGGCCCAAGGAGAGAAAGTGAGAAGAGGAAAAAAAAAAGCTTGGGGTGGATGTCTTTAGGAGGAGGGTCCCTTGTGCCTTAGTCTAAGACTTAAGCTCTGGGTTGAAACCTTAAGTAGTAAAGCTTTGAATAACCTGGATCTCTGGACTCTCTTTGGAGACAGTTTTATCCGTACTCAAAGCAGTGGGTTATGTATGAAGAGAATTGAATTCCTTATTCCAAAATTTGTGAAATTTATGTAATTTGAACGGGATACTGGTATCTCCTCAGTCTTTGCTCTCTTTCCATAGAGGAAGATGAGATAAATGTAATATTACTTAGTGCAGCATTTGTTTTGTGTATCACGGGTGGTATTTACCTCCCTTCTTTGTCCATACCACCCCTTGGAGACCACATACTTCTTGTGAGGAACACACAACATCTTGCTGTGAAAAGTATTTTTTAATTGTGGTAACAATTTTAAAACATTTATATCGTTGCTACAATTAAAAGTTAACCCATTAGTCGGGTGCTGGTGGCTCACACCTGTAACACTAGCTACTCAGGAAGCTGAGGTTTGAGGATCACAGTTCAAAGCCAGCCCGGGCAGAAAAATCCCGGGGCTTGAACTCAGGGCCTGGGTGCTGTCCCTGAGCTTCTTTTGCTCAAGACTTGTGCTATACCACTTGAGCCACACCTCCGCTGCTGGCTCTTTCTGTGTATGTGATACTGAGGAATCAAACACAGGACTTCGTGCATGCTAGGCGAGCACTCTACCACTAAGCCACATTCACAGCCCCCTATGAGATTTTTTTTTTTGGGTCCGGTAGTGGGGCCTGAACTCTGGGCCTGGGCGCTGTCCCTCAGCTCTTCAGCTCAAGGCTAGCGCTCTACCACTTGAGCCACAGCGCCACCTCCGGCTTTTTTTCTTTTTGCTTATGTGGTGCTGAGGAATCGAACCCAGGGCCTCAGGCATGCAAGGCAAGCGCTCTACCACTGAGCCACCTTCCCAGCCCCCCCCTTTGAGATTCTTCAGTGAACCACCCAAAAACCAGAAAGTGGAGCTGTTGCTTAAAGTGGTAGAGCAAAAACCAAAAGAAAAAAGAAAAATCATGAAAATGACTTTTTTTTCCTGTTAACAAGTTTTCATTGTACAGTAATTAATTACCATTAGCCATCAGTGTGTTTCCGTAGTATTATTTTCATTGTTATATTCAGTAATGTATTTTTGTGATTGTGAAACAAACATATCTCCAAAACTTTTCGTCTTGCACAACTCAAACTACTCTTTAAACAGGGATGGGGAAAGTCTGGCCTGTGGCCCACTGAAGGCCTAGGAAGTCAGTTGGTGAATGAGGGGACAGACAGACAGGAATGTATCTGCTCTGATTGTACTGATAACCTTGTGTGGCCCATGATGATGTTATAAAAGGCCATGTGACCTTTGGCAGGAAAATACTTCTCCACCTTTGCAAAAGCTTCTTTTTTTTTGTTGGTCATAGGACTTGAACTCTGGGCCTGGGCACTGTCCCTCAGCTCAAGGTGAGCGCTCTACCACTTGAGCCACAGTGCCACTTCCTGTTTTTCTAGTGGTTAAACTGGAGATAAAAATCTCATGGTCTTTCCTGCCTGGGCGGGTTTGAACCCTGATCCTCAGATCTCAACCTCCTGAATAGCTAGGATTACAGGTGTGAGCCACCTAGGCCTGGTTTGGGTCTAATGATAACTTAAAAAAATTGTTGTTACAAGGGTGACCGGTTACATTTACATAAGTCAGGTAATGAGAACATCTCTTTTGGACAATGTCACGCCTAATGATTTAACCATCTTCTTAGCTCAGGTCTGCATTTGTGCGTCCATGCCTGCATGCCTCTCCCCCACCCTAGTATATTTCCAGGTGGCCTGCTGTTATATTAAACATAGTATTGTAGAATTACGTTTTAAAAGGCAGTCTTGTATTTGAACCTGTTTGTCTACAGACTGTACTGAGTTATTTACCATATTCTAGGACCTATGGTGAGGGGGGGAAATGGGAGGCAAGGAAAGGGGCTGGAATATTGTTTGAAAGACAGCATGGGCCTGTTCATTTCTCCTAATCCAACAGTCCAGACGCTGTATCCTTCTATTGTACTTATCCTATAAGAAAGCAAACTTTTCTCCCAGGGAGAAGCCTGAGAAGCCTCTTGTCTCACTTAATAGTTGACTGAAGATCATTTATGATTTTGTTCCCCCTTCATCTTGATTTAGGGAACCTGGGGGCGAGCTCAGTGGTTGAAGCCTTCTCTACAGGTGCCAGGCCCAGGAGCTGTCCTCAGCCAAAAAAGTTAATGCACATCTTACATTCTACTCCAGATCATGATTATTTTTTAAAAATAAAATGTACATTAAATGTTTTCCAAGTCTGGTCTCTAAGAGATCACGCATATCCTATGTTAGACTTCTGGCAGTCTCTCTTGAGCAGTGCCCTCCTGGTTCTTGCCTTATGTTCTCAAGTGTGGCTGTTAAAACAACTTAATTTGGTATGTCCTCTGTGTGTGTGTATGTAGACACACTTGCACGAGTGCACATTTGCCTGGGATTTGAACTCAGAGCCTGGGCATTGTCACTGAGACTTTTTGCTCACGGCTAGTCTAGTGCTCTGCCACTTGAGCCATAGCTCCAGTCCTGGCTTTTTGGTGGTTAATTAGAGTCTTATGGACTCCTGTCTGGGGCTGGCTTTGAAGTTCAGTCCTCAGATCTCGGCCTCCTAGGTAGTTAGATTACTTGGCAGAGCCACTAATATATTTGGTAATAATATAAACTGTAGGAGACGTTAAATAGTTCAGTCTAAGCACCTCTAATGAAAAATGAGCATTTTTGGGCTGGGACTTTAGATCAGTGGAATAGTACTTGGCATGTGCAAAGGCCTGGGTCCCATCTCTACCATTCTTCAGAATTAGAAGCCACACTTAAGAGCAAGCAGGTTGCGCTTTTGATGTACTCTGGGAGAGGAGGGACTCGTAGGCAGGTGTGTTGCACGGTACATAGCTACTGTAGTTCAGGCATCGAAATTGGAGGATTGGCAAAGTGAAATTCACCTGGGAAGACCATAGAGAAAAATCTTTGTGCCTGGTGCTGGTGGCTCACGCCTTTAATCCTAGCTACTCAGCAGGCTGAGATCTGAGAATTGTGGTTCAAAGCCAGCCCAGGCATGAGAATAGTCCATGACACCCTTAGCTCCAGTAAACCACTCAGAAAACTGGAAGTGGCACTGTGGCTCAAGAGGTAGAATGTTCACCTTGAACTGAAGAGCTGAGGGACAGCACCCAGGCCCAGAGTTCAGGCCCCACGACCGACCAAAAAAAAAAAAGTCTTTGTGTGATGTACAGTTGGCCCAGAAAAGGGATTTACAGGCCCTAGACTGTACACATGAGTGCTTGGAAACGTAAGCAAAACAAATGCATCGCACCAAGGCATTGCTCTCCAGATGATGTAAGAGCCGTCTTATTCTAGCAACCTCCTCTAGACATGTAGGAGTAGCATCATTAAAGTAAAAGTTGCCAAATTTCTTCCTCCCAGTTCTCTTAAGTTCAAAATACAGTGTTGCAGTTGGTTTATTTGTTAAAACGGTTATATAACAAAGAGTATTTGTAATTGATTATAAAGCATTTAATGCTCCTGTGTTTTGTTTTGCCACTAAATTAGAAAACTATACGATATGCAAACTAGTTGATTATACAGCTAGCATGGCTTTGCACCTGGGATTCAGTGGTTCACACCTGTATCACAGCTATGGGCTAGGCTGAGACCTGGAGGATTGCGGTTAGTAAGTAGTCAGCCGAGGCGGAGACATTTCTAAGCTCCATCTCCAAAATAGCCAACAAAAAAGCAGGCTGAGCCGGGTGCCCGTGGCTCACACTTGTAACCCTAGCCGCAAAAAGGGCTGAGAGCTGAGGATTGTGCTGCCGAGCCAGCCCGGGGGGAAAAATCCCTAAGACTCAACTCCAGTAAATTACTCAGAAAAAGCTGGAGGTGGTGCTGAGCTCAAGTGACAGAGCGCTAGCCTGGAGCAGAATAAGCTCAGGACAGCTCCCAGTCCCTGAGTTCAAGCCCTAGGATCGACATACACACACACACGCACACACACATGCGCGCGCACACACACAAACACACACACACACACACACACACACACACACTGGGGCTCAAGTGTTAGAATACAGTTCTAGCAGGTGCAAGACCCTGAGTTCAGTCCCTGTCCCCCATTACTGTCTTCCCAGCCCTCCCCAAGAACTGTGGGTCTGTCTTCCAGAGTGTAGACAAAAGGAATGGGGGGGTGATAGGGGCAGTAAGAGAAACTCTAGGAAAGCCTGCAGGCTCTCATCGCTCCTCTAGCAGCAGTAACTGGGGAAGAGGGAAAATGGCGGCAAGCCCTTGGCTTCATTGACCAGCCATTTTCTGTTGCCTGGGCTCTGTGTTTGTGGTGGTAGTGTGGATTTTAAGAAGTCCGAGTATTTGATCTCTCTCTTTCCTCTTCTCTCTCAGGAGTTAGAGGCAGCTCTTCACAGAGATGACGTGGAGTTTATCAGTGATCTGATTGCCTGCTTGCTTCAGGGCTGCTATCAGCGAAGGGATATCACGTGAGTAACTAACAACTGTGCTCTCAGTACATATTTACTGCACAGGGAACTGACTAGCCAGCCGTAGAATCTACCCCTAGTCTGTATAAGACAGTATACCCTAATGCATAGTATGCAAATGAGCCCCCAGGCTCTGTGTCTGCGCTTTTTTTTTTTTTAATGGGGTCCGGTCGTGGGGCCTGAACTCTGGGCCTGGGCGCTGTCCCTCAGCTCTTTAGCTCAAGGCTAGCGCTCTACCACTTGAGCCACAGCGCCACTTCCGGCTTTTTTTTTTCTTTTTGCTTATGTGGTGCTGAGGAATGGAACCCAGCATGCAAGGCAAATGCTCTGCCACTGAGCCACCTTCCCAGCCCCCACTTCCGGCTTTTTTCTTTTTTCTTATGTGGTGCTGAGGAATCGAACCCAGGGCCTCAGGCATGCAAGGCAAGTGCTCTACCACTGAGCCACCTTCCCAGCCCCTGCTCATTCTTTACTGTGATGGTTGAGTTTGCTTTTCACAAAGCTGTATCAGTTACTCGTAGCTACACCAGCTGCCACTCAAGTGTAGAATTTTTGTCTCTTGTTTGTGCCTATTTCTGATTTTTGTGTGAAATATTGGTGAAATACTGCCTAACAAAACGATAGAGTTTTCTATATTTCTTGCACTTGTGTCTTCTGTTGTCCACATAACCTGGTAGCAGTAGCATAATTTACTTGGAGCCTCTGGGCTCTCTGATGCCGTTATAACTGCCAAATAAATAGCTCTCTAGTGCCTGTGAAGGCTCTAGCAAGTAAATTTGATCAACGTTGACAAAACTGTTTTGTACTAAGATCTGTTCTCTTGGTGGTGGTTGTCTTTGGAGCCTGGGGTGGGCTGTGTTGTACAGGCTAGTCTAGAACTTCTGGGTTCAAGGGGTCCTCCTTGAAGTTCTCACCCTTCTGGATAGCTGGACTACAAGTATGTGCCACTGCACCTCACCTTTCCCTTATTTTTAGAAAAGAGCCCTGACATTTGTTAGCTTTCCCTTTTGTAGAGCCCCTGCCTAGCATGCATGAGGCCCTGGGTCCGTTTATTTCCTCTTGCTGCACAAATAAACACGCCCCAAAGTAGAGACGCTGGATTCTGAGGAGGGTCTCATGGTTCTCTGGGCCCTTGTGGACTCTCTGGAGCTCCTTGGTTGTGCTGGGGTGCACGGCCGTGCCAGGCCCATGTCCTGAGGCCTGTGCCCCTCAGAACCGGGAGCAGACCCGCCCCGGCCGTTACACACGACAGGTGAAAAGGTCGAGCAATCAGCACAAGTTGCAAAAGCATTATCAGAGATGTATTTTTATAAGTACAAAAGAGGGAAAACTGAGGATACATGTAAATGGACAAAATGTACAAAGCAGTTGACAGGCTGCCTCACACAATTCAGGAGCGCTGTTGTGTCTCCTGGGCAGGGAGAGTGTCGGTGTTCACATTGATGGGTGATTGGGGTTATCTGCACTGTGTGGGCCCAGCACTTGCACTTGTAGAGCAGGGGTCTGAGGTTACATGCTTTCAGAGTCGCAGGAGCCAACGGCTCTGGAGCACGCCCAAGTTCTGCTGTTCCCCAAGGTTGATGATAAGCACCTGGGTTCTCCCGTTCACTCTTGCTGGGGTTTCTTTTTCCATTTTCTTCTCTAGTATACACAGGGGTGTTTTTGTTGTTTTTGTTTTGGCAGTCCTGGGGCTTGAACTCACTGTCCCTGAGCTTCTTTTGCTCAAGGCTAGCACTCTTATCACTGAGCCATGACACCACGTCCAGCTTTTACTGTGTGTGTGGTACTGAGGAATTGAACCCAGGGCTTTATGCATGCTAGGCAAGCACTGTACCACTGAACCACATTCCCAACCCCATTTTCTTTGTTTTGTTTTGCTTTGCTTTGCTTTCAAAAACAAAATCTAGTACTGAAAGTGTGTCCTTTAAACATTATCTCTTTGGAAATCACAGTGCTCCTGCTAAATGTGTTTATTTGAACTTGTGACATCATGCAGTAAAATCACATATCTTCAGCATACAGGCCATTTCTGTGTATGTGCATGACTGGGTCTGTGCACTGGTTTGGGGGCCTGAACTAAGGCCTAGGCACTGTCCTTTAGGTTTTTTTGCTCAAAGCTGCCTATCATTTGAACCACAGCTCCACGTCTGGCTTTCTGGTGGTTAATTGGAGATAGGAGTCTCATAGACTTTTTCTGCCAGGGCTGGCTTTGAACTAGGAGCCTCATATCTCAGCCTCTTGAGTAGCTAGGATGACAGATGTGAGCCACTGGCACCTGGCAGGCCAATGGATTTGAACAAATGAATGTGCCATGTAGTCATCATTCTGCTCAGAAACATAGAACATTTCTATCTTCCCAGAAAGTTGTCTTTGTAGTTGCTCTCCCATGTAAACTGGTCTGGCTGTCAGCGGCCTCAGTTTTACTAAGATACCTTGTGGTAGTGTTGTAGAATTTGTGCTAATGGGACAACACACTGTCAAGTCCAGCTTTTTTCATTCAGTGCAATGTCTGCAGAATTCTTTGGGATTGCTGTTTGTATCAATTTGTTCATTTTGGCCAAGTGAAGGCTTAAATTGTATCTAGTGAAAAATAAATTGCAAGCTGTTTATCCTTCCCATGTGTTGATAGGGGGATGTGTGTTGCTTTTGAGGTTGTTACGATAAAGCTACTGTGAGTATTTGCATGCAAATGTTGCTGTAAATGTGTTTTCATTTATTTTGAGAATTCCTGAATCTTATGGTAATGGTATGTTTAACGGCAAGAAACTGCCAAACTCTTTTTCCAAAGTGGTTGTGACATTTTATATTTCTACTAGTGAAATAGGAGAAGTCTAGTTGCGTGCTCTATATCTTTGCCAACATTTGCTCTTTTAATTTCACCGATTCTCTTGTTTTTAAGGTAGTAGCTCACTGTCATTTTAATTTGTATTTTCCCGATGACCAGGAATGTTGGACATCATTCTTGTTCATTTGTACATCTCTTTTTGCTGAAATGTTTACTCACATCTTTTGATTACTTATGTTCAGTTAGGGATATTTACTAGTTTGTAGATGGAACTGTTAAGATTTTTTATGCAGTCTGGATGTAAGTCCTTTGTTAGACATACAAAGTCAAAGTGTAAATATTTGCTCCTAGTGTGTATTTTCCATTTATTTATTTATTGCCAGTCATGGTGCCTGAACTCTGGGCCTGGGCACTGTCCCTCAGCTCTTCAGCTCAAGGCTAGTGCTCTACCACTTGAGCCACAGCGCCACTTCCAGCTTTTTCTGCTTATGTGGTGCTGAGGAGTCGAACCCAAGGCCTCATGCATGCAAGGCGAGCACTCTACCACTGAGCCACCTTCCCAGCCCCCTCCATTTATGTTTTTAAAGAACAAAAGTTTTTATTTAGCCAGGCACTGATGGCTCACACCTGTAATCCAAGCTACTCAGGAGGCTGAGATCTGAGGGTTGTGGTTCAAAGCCAGCTCTGGCAGGAAAGTCCTAAGACTCATCTCTCCAGTTAACTACCAGAAAACCAAAAGAGGCTTTGTGGCTCCAAGTGATAGAGAGCTGGCTTTGAGTGCTAGCCTTGAGTGAAAGACCCCAGGGACAGTGCCCAGTGGCCTCCCTCCCTCCAAAAAAAGTTACATTTAGTCCAAGTCTATGTAATATATTTTTTCCTATATATTTCACATTTTTTTTCTGTGTGTGAAATCAGTGATACTACAAAAGGATCATTTTCACATGCTTTCTTTTAGCGATTTTTCCAGATTTAGCTTCTTATAAGTTGTCTTCTCGCTGCATTTAGGGCTAGCATTTTCTGCTGAGATAAGCAGTCCCAGGATTTTTTTCCTTTGGCTGTCTTGATTTGGAGCCCTACTGTTCCAGATCTTAGCCTTCCTCAGAATTGGGATGACAGGCATGGAATGCCCAGTTCTGTGTTGGTTGCTTGGCTGGCCTCAAACCGTGGTCTTGCCAGGTCATCTCAGCCGTGTGATGTAGCTCGGGGCAGCACCTGTGTGATGTCTTGTTAGGTGTTTATAGAACTTCTCTAGGTATTCTTGTCAAATCATCCCATTTATTATTGCAGAATTCCAATTTCAGTATTTTTTGAGTTGGTCCTAAGATTAGCTCACAGCTGGTGCTGTACGCCTTGAGCCATACCTCCCTCTAGGATTTTTTTGCTGGTTTTGTTTTGTTTTTTTTTAGATAAGAATCTCAGGTTGTCTGTTGGGCTGGCTTTGAACCATGATCCTCAGATTTCATCCACAGGCTTAGCTACATTGTAAAGTCCTGTCCAAAACAAAACAAAAGATCTGTTAGCTATTTTGGCCTAGGTTCTGTGATCTTAAAGAAGAAACACTTTCAAGCTGGGTACCTGTAACTCAGGAGTCTGAGATCTGCAGATCAAGCCAGCCTAGGTAGGAACCTATGAAACTCTATATCTCCAATTAACAAGTAAAAGTCCCAGAAGTGGAACTGTGGATCAAGTGGTAGAGCCCTAGCTTTGAGCAAAAAAGCTCAAGGACAGCACCCCCAGGTCCTGAGTTCGAGCCTCAGGATTCACATCTACCCACACAAATAAAGGATAGACACTGTCAGTCAGTGGCTGCGGCTCCAGTACTGGGGATGGACTGCTGCGCTCTACCCCAGGCCTCAGATTATCTTATACAACCTCTTCACTTGCTGATTTACAAGAATTCCTGCTAAATATGGCCTCATCCATCATGTGCATGCATTAGTTAAACCTCACAAATGCTTGAAGCGTGTGGAAGGAGGCGATTCTACTTTTCACTTAGTCTGCATTGTGTATGGTTCTTTGCCTTAGTAAGGAGAATGGATACCTTTTCATGTCCCTGACATGTGCTTCTAAGAGGTCAGTAGCTGCCTGTTTTCTATGATGTCCCAAACACATTGCAGCTGTTAAATCAGTTGCTTTGCCTAGTCATGAATTCTGCCAGTTCCAGCCAGCTGACCCTTAAAAGCGGCCAGTACCCCAGCCCTCTGCCTCTGCCTGTGGGCTGGCCAATAGAAGGGAAGTGTCTTCTGTCTGAAGCTGGCTGAAGAGCTCTTTGCTGGCTTCTAACAAGTGGCCAACCTTGGGTGTTAGAAAGCAGTTGACTCATCCTTGTTTTCATTCTCTTTCTACTGCTCTGTCTTGCTTTCTCTGCTATAAGAAACAGGTAACTTCAAGTAGGTCTTCGTCTCTTTACTCACGCAATACTAACTTATAGCCAGTGGTCTTTCCTAATATTTTGAATAGGAAAGTAAAGAGAAAATGGATCTTTAAGAGTATTTGGAGGCTGGGAATGTGGATTAGTTGTAGAGTGCTTGCCTAGCATGCATTTCGATTCCTGAGTACCACATACACAGAAAAGGCCGGAAATGGCATTGCGGCTCAAGTGGTAGAGCACTAGCCTTGAGCAGAAGTTCAGGGACCGTGCCCAGGCCCTGAGTTCAATCCCCAGGCCTGGCATGCACGCATGCACGCATGCATGCATAAATAAATAGGATGAGCAAAAGGTTAGACAGTCGTCTCCCCCTCATAGTTTGCTGTTGACGGGCGTGTGCTGCTGCCTGTGTTTTAAGAGTTCTCCGTGGGGAGCTCTTAGGACACGTTTATCTTCTTTGGAACTTCATGTAGTTGGTCTGATACATAAAGCAGCCAAGACCATCAGATCCTCCTTGTTGCCGTTGATAAGTTTGTCAGCTCTCAAGCCACAGTTCTGTATACATTCATGTATTTTTGTCTGGGCCTTATGGGTAGGCCTCAGACATTCCACAGCTACCTGGAAGACATTATCAACTACCGCTGGGAGCTTGAGGAGGGGAAACCCAACCCCCTGAGAGAAGCCAGTTTCCAAGACCTGCCTCTTCGTACCCGCGTGGAGATTCTGCACCGCCTCTGTGATTACCGGCTAGATGCAGATGATGTCTTCGATCTACTCAAGGTGCTTCCCTGAAAGCCCTTTCTCTAGAGCAGTAAAAACCCAGTAGTTGAGAATGGAACTTTGAAATCAGAGCCTAGACACTGTCCCTAAGCTTTTTTGCTCAAGGCTAGTGCTCTACCACTTGAGCCACAGTGCTACTTCTATCTCTTTCAGTGGTTAGTTAGACATAAGAGCTCTTGGATCTTTTTTTTGGGGGGGGGGTGGTGGTGGTGGTAGGAATTTGAACTAGGGCCTGGACAGTGTCCCTGAGTCCTTTTTGTTTTGCTCAAGGTTAATGCTTTACTACTTGAGCCACAGTTCCACTTCTGGCTTTTTGGTGGTTAATTGGCGATAAAGAGGCTCATGGCCTTTCCTGCCTGGGCAGGCTTTGAGTCGTGATCCTCAGACCTCAGCCTCCTGAGTAGTTGGGATGACAGACATGAGCCACGGATGCCCGGCTGGCAAGTGTCCGGCTCATACAGGATTAGAGCTGGTGATGACTTCTAGTCCTTTCTTGGTCCTGTCATTTAGAAGTACTCTTCGTTCAGGACTCCAGCCTAGGTCAGGCCCTGGGGTAAATTGGGAGTCTCAGCTGGAGCAGAATGTTGCTGTGGGTTCTGACTGAGCTGCCATAGTGGATCACACGGGACAAAGCCTTAGAGCATCTTATCCTACCCACTACCTTTTGTGTAGTGTGTACATCTAAGCCAGGTAGCCAGACCATTCATTGGAATTCCTTTTGGTTTCTCCATTTTTGGAGGGGTGGGAGCCATGGTTGGGGTAGGGAACATTTCAAGCATTTCTATATCTTGTTCTTCGAAGAAGGTACCCCCATCCCATTCTGTGTTTTATCTGCCCAGATGGAAAAATGATATCCTGTACTTGGCATTTTGAAACAGGTGATAGATTCGTGTATTGAAGTTTTCTTCCATTTATTTAGTTCATTGTTTTCCCCAACCCTCCTTCCTTTTCTGCCAAGGGTTTGGATGCAGACAGTCTCCGTGTAGAACCTCTAGGGGAAGACAATTCAGGGGCCCTCTACTGGTATTTCTACGGAACACGAATGTATAAAGAGGATCCGGTACAAGGGAGGTCTAATGGAGAACTCTCCTTGAGCAGGTAAAGTCTTCAGTGTCAAGGCTGTAATAGCTACTGTAAAAATGTCTTTAAAGTTAAACGCATCAGTGCTGGGTTGTGGCTTAAGCCATAGAGCACCACTTTGCAAACCTTACGCCCTAGGCTCAAACCCTGATACCACACATACATGAAAGAAGAAAGCTCATACAAACAAACAAATTGACTGTATCAGCATTCTTGAAGGGAGAGTAATTTCATACACAAATAAAAAGGAGCAGAGCACCAGTAGCTCACACCTGCGATCCTAGCTACTCGGGTGGCTGAGATCTGAGGATTGCAGTTTGAAGCCAGCCCAGGCAGGAACTTTTATAAAACTCCACGAGGGAAGTAGTGCTGTGGCCCAAGTGATAGAGTGCTAGTCTTGGGCAAAAGAAGCTCAGGGACAGTGCCTGGGCCCTGAGCTCAAGCCCCAGGATTGCCCCCCCCCCCCAAAAAAAAAAAAAAAAAAAAGGAATTGCTCCAAAGTCTCTGCCAGAAGGCTGTGGTAAAAGGAGAATGTATGAAGTTGTTGGTGAGATTGCTGGGGAGTAGCAATACCATACCACAGACTTGACTTACATAGCAGGACTTTCTTCTCAGCAGCGTGAACGCTTGCCTGTAACACGCTTCGTCTTTGATAGTCTGTTAGAGTGAGGCAGAACTGTAGCTAGCTGGCTGAACACTTCCTGAGGAAGACAGGCTGCCCTTGACTTAGTCATTTATTTATTTATTGTGGGGAGTTCCTTACTGCTAGAAGCAGTACTTCTTGTTAGGAGGTGTTAGCTTTTAGAGCTCACTTAGTTTTGTTTTTTTTTTTTAATATATTTTTATTGTGAAAATACTGTACAGACGGGTTACAATTACATGGGTAAGATAATGAGCACATTTCTTATCAAGCATTGTAGCCTCCTCCTTTGTTTCCCCTTCCAGTCCCTTCCTTCGTACCCTCCCACCCCCCATCTCCCCCACCAAAGTTGTAAAGTTCGTTTTCTACATAACGACTTGTACATCTCCTTGTTGCAGTGGGTCCTCCTGTATCCCTGTTTTTACAATTTGCTTTTTCCCTTCCCCTCCACATATACCAACATCATATATAGTGAAAGCAGGGGTTCTACCATGGGGGAGGGACATACAAAGCAACAAAGACACAATCTTATACATACGTTAGAAACAATCGCATGAAAGATCTCTCTCTCTCTTTTTTTTGTCAGTCCTGGGGCTTGAGCTCTAGGGCTGGAGAGCTCACTTAGTTTTTAAAATTTATTTTTAATAGTTACGCAGACAGCTTCAATTCCGTAAATCAGACTATGGGTATAGTTGTCATCCCTACCATTCTCCCCTGTCTTTCCCCATTCATTTTTACTTTGTGCCAGTCCTGAGGCTTGAATCCGGGGCCTGAGAGCTCTCCCCGAGCTTTTTTGCTTAAGGCTAGTGCTCTACCACTTGAATCAAAGTCCTACATCCATCTTTTTGGTGGTTAATTGGAGATAAAAGTCTAACAGACTTTCCTGCCCGTAGTAGCTCCAAAATGCAATCCTCAGAGCTCAGCCTCCTGAGTAGCTAGGACAACAGGCATGAACCACTGGCACCTAGCATTTTTTATTATTTAGCATTTATTTATTATTTATTTCCCTACTAATATTGCAAAACGTTATTTTTCTGTGGGTTCTACATTTTAATAATGGATAATAATCTGTCCTTTTCCTCTTCTAAATGATTGTTTTTTTTAAGTGTGGCCAGAAATTACAGTTACTAACAAAATCTTACACAATTCATCAGTTCTGTGCTAGAACATTTCTATTTAATAGTGCTATTTCTTAGGGAAAATGAAAAACAAAAAAATGTCTCAAGTGTTCCTGGAAAAACAGGAAAAAGAAGAGGAAGGCCCCCAAAACGGAAGAAACTACAAGAGGAGATAATAGTGAGGTAAGAAAGAAAGCCTGTGGACACTGTCTTTTCAGGCTGGAACCAACCTTATTTATTTATTTATTTATTTATTTATTTATTTATTGTCAGCTGTGGGACTTGAACTCTGGGCCTGGGCGCTGTCCCTCAGCTCTTCAGCTCAAGGCGAGCGCTCTACCACTTTGAGCCACAGCACCACTTCTGGTTTTCTGGTAGTTAATTGGAGATGAGTCTTACAGACTTTCCTGTATGGGCTGGCTTTAAATGGTGATCTTCAGATCTCAGCCTCCCCTTAGTAGCTAGGATTACAGGTGTGAGTCACCAGCGATTGGCTTATATTTTCTTAATTTAATTGCATTTAGTAAAGGATCTGATCTATCACTACAAATCTGTGAGGTCTTGTTCTTAAAATTTCTAGTAACAAGCTGGGCGCTGGTGGCTCATGCCTGTAATCCTAGCTACTCAGGAGGCTGAGATCTGAGAATCGCGGTTCAAAGCCAGCTCAGGCAGGAGAGACCGTGAGACTCCTATCTCCAATAAACCACCAGAAAACCGGAAGTGGCGCTGTAGCTCAAGTGGTAGAGCGCTCGCCTTGAGCTGAAGAGCTGAGGGACAGCGCCCAGGCCCAGAGTTCAAGCCCCATGACCGACAAAAAAAAAAAAAAATTTCTAGTAACAAAGTACACAGCTTCTTTGCACTAAATTTAGAAATTCTAACTCATTCTAAATGCACTTAGATTTAGTAGATCAGTCAATCAGAATTTGATTTGTTAACTTCCATTAGTGTTCTTTTTTCTTTCTTTTCTTCTTTGTGCCAGTCCTGTGGCTTGAACTCAGAGCCTGGGCACTGTCCCTGAGCTTCTTTTGCTCAAGGCTAGCACTCCTCAGTGCCACTTCTGACTTTTTCCTGTTTATGAGGTGCTGAGGAATCGAACCCAGGGCTTCCATGCATGCCAGACAAGCACTTTTCCACTGAGCCACCTTCCCAGCCTCAGTATTCTTAAATGGTGAAAAATGTGGCTAAAGTGGAGTTGTGTTTCTGACAAATATCCTAGTCACTTGTCTGCACATACAGCGTCTGGCCTCTATTCAGAAGCTGTTTTAATTACTCTTTCTCCATTACCAACCATTAAAGTCCCATAGCACACATAGCTTAATGCTGCCCTCTACTGGCACCTTTTTATTTTTTGTTTTTGCTGGTCCTGTGGCGTTAACTCTGGGCCTGAATGTTGTCCCCAAACTTCTGTGCTGAAGGCTAGCATTCTACCACTTGAGTCACAACTCCAATTTTTTGGTGGTTAATTGGAGATAAGTATCTCATGGACTTTACTGTCTAGGCTGGCTTTGAACCGTGATTCTCAGATCTCAGCCTCCTGAGTAGCTAGGATTTACAGGTATGAGCCACCATTACTTGGCTCTCCTGGTGCATTTCTTATCTTAATAACTTTGCAGCTGGAGCAGTGTTTAAATATTTTAAAGTTTTGGGTTGGAGGTATGGCTCAATTGGTAGAACACCAGCCAATGAGCAAAACCTCAGGTACTGAGTTCACATCCCAGTCTCTCAACAAAAAAAAAAGAAAAAAAATTTAAGAGAAATTTAATTCCAATTTTAGATTTTATTTAAGTTATAATATGTAAATTTACTAGCCACATACAGGTTTTAATAGCCACAAATAGTTCCATTTCAGACTTACAGCAAACTATCCTGTTATGAATGCTTACAAAAAAACAAAGAACCCAGAGTTCCTTCTTGTCTTCGGGATGTTGGTTAGCCATTGTGATACGATGTTGTGTATTTTGTAATTTAATCCGATGTGCCTGGTGAGTTAGGAACTATTAACAACCCCCATTTCAGGAAAGTTAGTTTTCCTGAGGGAGGTCCCATGCAGTCCAGCTTCCCAGCCCACGTTTGTAGTGGTAGATAAGGTAAGGGTAGCCCTGAACTGGGGAGGGGAACATGGAGCGCCCAGGGCTCTCTGGATACAGCTGTTAACAACACTTAGTGAGTTAATGTTTCCCTGCGTATTGAGGCTGCGGGCACCTGTGTCCCTGCACTGCCGCTGAGCAGCTGCCCCCTCACAGGTATTCTTTTTCCTTCATATATGGAGTCCACATTCTGGGGAAAGTATCAAGCAATTTTGCACTTGCCTTTTTAAAACATTTTTTAATATGCCACATCATTTTCTTATGTTTCAGTGAAAAGCAAGAAGAAAACTCCTTAGTCTCTGAGACACAGACAAGAAACGGTAATGACCCTTGTGGGTGTTAAGACTCCCCCTGATTCATGTCTGTTATGATAGTGATTCTTTTTTAATCATGCAGAGATCTTCCCTCCCTCCCTCCTTCCTTCTCCCCCTCCCTCCTTCTCCCCCACTCCCAGTTTTGTTCACCATTTTTCGTCGTGTACCCATCTCCCCCAGTCCACGCAGTTTAATGCCAGTACTAGGCTACTCACAAGTGTCCAGGAACCTCACATGTGGTGAACAAGAAGCTTCTCTCTGTAACGTCAGTGTTTTATGACATACTGCTTTCCTACTTAGATTTTAACTCTGTTATCCAACTAGCATAAATTTTGGGTGGGAAATTGCTTACAATATCACAATATAAATGATGTGAAAGCATAAACTTCTGCAAAAGCTCAAACTCACACTTTTTTAAAGAAAAGTAAACACATTTAAGCATTTCTTGGAATTAAGCTCATTAAAGCCACAGTATTTAGGTTTGTGTTTTCTCTACACATTGTTTTAGTTGTACACAGTAACAGGAAGGTAAGTAAGTATACATTATCACCTGGGCCTGGTGATATGTGTACACACACACACGCACACGCACACGCACGTGCACGCACACATAATCCTAGCACTTGGGAGGCTAAGGATGTCAGCAGCTCAAGAGCAGCCTCAAGATCTCACCTCAAAATAAAAGAAGAAAACATCTGGGGTATGTGTGTCAGTGTCTTACACCTGTAATTCTAGCTGCTCAGGAAGCTGAGATCTGAGGATCTTAGTTGAAAGTTAGTATGGTCAGGAAAGCCCGTGAGCCTCTTATATCCAATTAACCACCAAAAAGCTGGAAGTGGAGCTGTATCTCAAGTAGTAGAGCACTAGCTTTGAGGGAAAAAGAAAAAGCTCAGGGACAGAGCCCAGCCTCTGAATGCATATCCCAGGATGGCTACTCCCCTGCCCTTCTCCCTCTCCCTCTCCCTCTCTTTCTCTGTTCTCTGCTGTCTCCTTTTAGTCATGACCCCGCAGGGTAGTAAGCAGGAAATCATGACAGTGAACCACCCTTGATTTTTAGGGTCCCACAGACCTGGTCAAGGCTCATGGTGGCTTCTGTGCCAGACGGAAGAGGAGTGGAGACAGGTCACCGAGAGTTTCCGAGAGCGGTCCTCCCTCCGAGAACGGCAGCTCTACAAGCTCCTCAGTGAGGACTTTCTGCCTGAGATCTGCAACATGATCGCCCAGAAGGTATGTCTTCCTAGGGACAGGCCTGTGGACACACGCCCGGAACCGGAGGAGGCTGGGGTGATGCTCTGGCCTTCACGAAGGCCTGCGTTCCTGTCCCTCACCAGGACGCTGAATGCCTTTTCACAGCAAGATGAGTGGAAAGAGAAATGTGGGTGAATACTCAGTGTGTATGCATGAAAATGGAACCAAGAAACTTGACGGGCAGGGGCCGGATAGTTTTGGGGGGGATGATAGAAGGGGGTGACTGTTTAAGATGTATTATATACATACATGCACATGTTACATTGAAACTCCCTTATACAACTGTTGAACATAATTAAAAGAATTAAAAAAAAAGGGCTGGGGAACTGGGCGCCAATGGCTCAGGCCTATAATCGTAGCTACTGAGGAGGCTGAGATCTGAGGATCATGATTTGAAGCCAGCCTGGAGCAGGAAAGTCCCCATGAGACTCTTATCTTCAATTAACCACTCAAAAACCGTAAGTGGCACTGTGGCTTACACAGTGCTTGTCTTGAGCACAAAGAAGCCCAGAGACAGCTCCCAGGCCCTGAATTCAAGCCTCAAAAAAGGGGAGCCTTGGGGCTGGGAAGGTGGCTCAGTGGTACAGTGCTTGCCTAGCATGCATGAAGCCCTGAGTTCAATTCCTCAGTACGACATACTGAAAAAGCTAGCAGTGGCATTATGGCTCAAGTAGTAGAGCTAGCCTTGAGCAAATGAAGCTCCGTAACAGTCAGTGCCCAGCCAGGCCCTGAGTTCAAGCCCCAGGATTGGCCAAAAAAAAAAAAAACCTTTGTTTTAGAGGGAGGAAGCCTGGCACTGGTGTCTTAGGCCTATAAATCCTAGCTACTCAGAAGGTTGAGATCTGAGGAGCGAGGTTTGAAGCCAGCCCATGACACACTTATTTTCAGTAAACTACTTAGGAAAAGCCGGAAGTGCCACTGTGGCTCAAGTGGTAAAGAAAGCAAAAGATGCTCTCATGGACCGTGCCCAGGCTCTGAGTTCAAGCCCCAGGACTGGCACCAAAGAAAGAAAAAAGAAAAAAGGAAGAGGTAAAATAATGAATAGATGCTTCTAAAAGTCTTGTCTGTGAAATTAAGATAAAATGGTAAAAGATAATTGGTTTTCAAATGAAGAGGTGTTACTTTTGTCTAAAAAGAGGAAACTGGAAAAGCAGATGCAAGTTTAATAGGTGTTTATGTGAACAAATTGCAGAAACCTTACCTCCATAGGGTCTTACAGCCTATGATTAGCGAGTAATCACTATTTGAAGAGTACATAATTTCAAAATTCTTTGTTTTGACTGTGGGTGTCCCCCCCCCCCCCCCATTTTTCTTTTATCTAAGACCTAATTCAAATGATGCTTTCACTCATTGGCTGGTGCTCTACCAACTGAGCCACGCCCCCCCGTGTGTGTGTGTGTGTGTGTGTGTGTGTGCGCGCACGCGTGTGCGCGTGTGTGTCTGCACGTGTGTGCGTGCGCTCATATGTATATATGATGGTCCTGATGCTTGAACTCAGGGTCCAAGTGCTGTCCCTGATGTTTTTTTTGTTCAAGGCTAATACTCTACTACTTGAGCCACAGTTCTACTTCTGGCTTTTTGGTGGTGAAATAAAGATGAGAGTCTCAAGGGACTTTCTGGCCTGGACTGGCTTGGAACCATGATCCTCAGATCTCAGCCTCTTGAGCAGCTCAGATTCTAGGTGTGAGCCACTGTCACTTGGCTCTGTGTTGCAACGATGAAAAATGTCTTGTCAGACGTAGCAATTGAAACATCAGCAGAAAAGAATATGATGCGCACATTAGACAACATTAAACTAACATTTTAAGCAGTAGAAAGGGGAGGCAGGCACAGAGACTGGGTTCCTGGTAAAGGGTTTATTCAGGTAGTAGTGTGTGAAGAACTGGGAGCTTTTCTTCAGATACACCTGAATCATGGTTCCACCCTATTCTGTTGATCCCTTGGAGAAGATAGGTCATATTTCTGAGATTCATGTCTGTTTGCCACCTGCAGTGTGCTGTCTTCATAGGAAGTCTGGTGGGTATTAAACAAAAGAACTTACGTTAGTGTACATAGCACTTAGGAGGCATGGAGTCTCGTGCATTGTTTGATGATGATGATGATGATGGGTAACTGATGAAGAATCTCAATTGGAAGGTAAACCCACATTTCTTAATAAAATAAAGACAGAAGATTTGATACATCTCTGGAGGTATGTTAGTAAACTGGAGAGAATTAAGGAGGTGAGGCCTTTGAGCATATAAAAATGTTAGTGGCCGGGAGCTGGTGACTCAGGCCTGTGATTACAGGCTACTCAGGAGGCTGAGAACTGAGGATCACAGTTCAAAACCAGCCCGGGCAGGAAAGTCCGTGAGACTCTTATCTCCAGTAAACCACTAGAAAACTGGAAGTGGCGGTGTGGCTCAAGTGGTAGAGCGCTCACCTTGAGCTGAAGAGTGCAGGGACAGCGCCCAGGCCCAGAATTCAAGCCCCCGGACTGACCAAAAAAAAAAAAAAGTGATACAGAAAGTAGTATTTAGTCTAAAAGTTGTGTTTGGGACAGCTCTTAAACATTAGACCTTAAATAAATTGGTTTAGACTGTGTACACAAAAGGTGACAGTATGTATGTCAGGACACTCCTCTGTGCCGAGAACAGGATGGTCTTCCTTAGTCACTCTTCTGTGATGTCACAGTGTTGGAGTGAAACTGCTGTTGGCTTTTTGTGCTATTAGCATGGTAAATCGATGTGCTAAGTCTGTGTTTAAAGTTTAAGAGATCTTCTCTTAATGTCTTGAACCTTATAAACTGCTGGGGTAGCTTTTGCGGAAAAGGAAGAAGGTCACAATACTTTGGATCTTGTGATTGAATTTACACAGGACACCCCTCCCCTCAGAAAAGGTGTCCAAACTGCTGACCCTTTCCCTTTGCAGTGTGCCTAAACCATATGAACTATTCCTTACTGTTACTCTGTTGTTTGATGACTTACATCATTATAACTTGAAGAAGTCTTGAGAATTCTTGAGAGGAAGATCAGGATTCCAGAATGTGTCCTGTATTTGTTGCATTCATGGAAGTTGTTGGACTATCTGACCGAAGGCTCTTGTCTAGCAGGCTACAAGGTGGCTCATCCACCAGAACTCCACAGGCTGCATGCACCTGCTAATACAGTGTCAGCTAGAGTGCACGCCTAGGTGTAGATCATCTCCGAAGCTCCTCCTTTGAGATTTCCCAGAGTGGTCGCTTTCGGGCTGCTCAGTTTTCTCAGCGTTCTTCGCAGATGAGCTTTCTGATGTCTCCTTGCTGCGTCTTCTTCCCACTTTTACTCATTCTGGACTCTGCTTGGGCAGCTGCCCTCCCTCACTTCTTCCTACTGCCACTGACTGACCTTTAAAAAGGCTTTCTGCTTCCAGCTGCCTTTTTTTTTTTTTTTTTTGTGATGCTGGTCCTGGAGCTTGAACTCAGGGCCTGGGCACTGTCTGTCCCTGACTTTTTTTGTTTTGTTTTGTTTTGTTTTTTGGTCAAGATGAGCGTCCTGCCACTTGAGCCATAGCTCTGCTTCTGGCTTTTTGGTAGTTTATTTTGGAGATGAGAGTCTCACGGACTTTGCTGTCAGGACTGACTTCAAACTACAGTCCTCAGATCTTAGCCTCCTGAGAAGCTAGGATTGTAGGCATAAGCCACTAGTGTCCAGCTTCTTAACTGCTGTTACTGTGGTAAGACAGAGCTTTACCATTTGTGTGAATTTGGGTAAGGTACCCAAAGCTGGCCTTGAACTTGGAGTCTAGACATGTACTGTTGTTTTGTTTTTTTTTTAGTCGTGGGCCTTGAATCCAAGACCTAGGCACTGTCCCCAAGCTCTTTTACTCAAGGCTAGTGCTCTACTGCTTTGAGCCACAGCGCCACTTCGAGGTTTTGATAGGGACTTTTCTGTCTAGCCTGTTTCTATCTGCAGTCCTCACATCTCAGCCTCCAGAGTAGCTAGGATCAGGCATGAGCCATCAGTGCTCAGCGGAAAAATGTTCTTAAGATTAATTTTTTTTTCTTTGGTAAAGGTTGTCATGGGAGATTCTTGGCTGTTTTGTTTAATATACTGAGCTTGTAATGTTAATGTGCACCCTCATCCTAACTACTGGCCGGAGCATAAGGAGAGCAGGATTATGGTCCAAGCCTGTCCCCTCACAAAAAGGAAGACCTTATCTCAAAAATAGCCAGCACAAAAAATGCAAGAGGCATGGCTCAAGTGGTAAAGAACCTGCTTACCAAGCTGAAGATCCTGAGCTCAAACCTCAGTACCACCGAGAGTGACAGTAGTAATTTATTGGCTTAGAACCTGGCATAGCTAAATGCTTGTTGTCCTGATCGTCTTACAGATCGTCACCATTGGCGATTTCCTCTGTGCCTCCGCGGTTCTTTTTCTACCGGTGGCAGCGGCAGTGGCTGAGAGCTCCCTAATCTGTCTATCCCTTTCTTTCCCTCACTTCTAACTATAGGGAAAGCGTCCACAGCGCACAAAGGCAGAGTTGCAACCTAGGTGGATGTCAGACCACCTGTCCATGGACTCCATCAGACCAGAGGTGAGTGTGTGTGCAAGCAGAGAGACAGAGAAAGGGCAGCTCCCTTTCACGTAGCTTTTGTTTTCACTTCTTTATTTTTCTTCATTTAAGTCTCAAAAACTTTATTAAGGATTTTTGCATGTAAGGCCCATTTCTGTAAAGAGAATATGGAAATAAATGGTTACATCATAGTCTCATCTCCTTGAGTGATAGGTACATCCAGTGGCTAAGTTGTAAAAATAGAGGTAAAAAGTTTATGGACGCAAAGCAAAGAAGGAAGGATTTGGGCAGTGCTTGGCCTGGGCTTGGGGGTGGCTTAGATTCTGGTAGTTGGCGGGGAGAGTGGTAGAGCTGAGCGCAGTCTCTCCGTGGCAAGGAAGCACACGGCATGGTAGAGAGCCGTGTGTGGTGCATGCAGCTGGGCAGGTACGGTACGTGGTAGTTAGAGTGCAGATTAGGGCTCTCCAGAGTCTCCTGTTTATATCTTCAGTAGGCACAGAAGCAAGTTGCCATTTGCTTTTGGAAGAATGCTCTCTGCTTACTCCATATACAGTAAATGCTTTTTGGGGGGTGGGAGGGAGGGTGGCTCGTGGGGGTGGAACTCTGGGCCTGTGCATTGTCCTTGAGCCCTTGAGCTCAAGGCAAGCACTCTACCACCTAAGCCACAGCACCACTTCTGGTTTTCTGGTGGTCTATTGGAGATAAGAGTTTCATGGACTTTCCTGCCTGGGCTGGCTTTGAACCACAATCTTCAGGTCTCAGCCTCCTGAGTAGGATTATAGCCATGAGCCACTGGTGCCCAGCCTAAGTAAATGCTTTTATAAGAAAAAAACGGTGGTACTAAATAGTAGTTACAGCAAGAGGAAGTAGAATTTTTGCTGTTTGAAATATCTAGAATGGAGGAGATAACCTTTGGGGAGAAATTGTTTCCTTAGAGAATGGTAGGAATGGAAGAAGCTAGTGAATAATAAATAAAGAGGTAGGCCAGTGAATAAAGGAATGTCTTGAGTGGTCACCATTTACCAACCTTTTGGGAAATTGAGCAGTGAAAGCAAATGAGAAGTAAAGAAAGCTGGTGTTGTGGTAGATGTTTGTCAGAGCCAGAGGCAAGACAATCCTGAGTTGGAAGCCAGGATCGCCTACATAGAACCAACCAGTCTTATTTCAAACAATAGTGGAAAGGAGAGTTCACAGTTGGTCCCTATTTGGTACAGTATGGGCCTGAAATGGCTGTGAATTGGAATGGGATGGATATGCTGTCTCTCTGCTGAGATGAATTGCCCAAGTGACAAGGTCTTGTCAGAAAGTCTGTTGCTCACATTTCTCCTAAGACATAAGGGCTTAGATAAACAAAGACAGTTCTCTTGAAACACAGGAAATTTTTTGTGTTTATAATCAGTCCTATGAGTAGAAAGCGTATCAGATGGGAGTCTGAAGGACATTGTTAGCTGAAGAAAATGGGTAAGAAATGGGTATTACTAAGAAAGTTTCCAAGCACCATCCACGACTAATGAGTCGTATGGTTCCGTGTTTTCCTTTCATGACATAACCTTTGAGGTGTGAAGTGACTTTGATCTAGCGCCACACTGTGGGGAGAGAAATTTCTGATCTTTTCATTCACTGAGATTGACCAAGTGGAGAGGTGACTGGGAAAGGATTTAGGTGGCCGGTGCAGCTCTAGGAGAGCCGAGCAGGGGGATGTGAGGTGAAGAGGCTGAGCAGGCCATTTCTTCCCAGCCCGCTTCTTGCTCCCAGGAGACTGCCTTTGTGTTGGCAATCCTGCAGTGCCTGCTCTCCACCTCCCTCCTTTCCTCTTCCCATCAGGGCCACTGGCTTGTGAAGGGCCAGCGGGACCAGCCGGAGTTCTCAGGCGTGTTTCTTTTGCTAGGTTCTCCCTTTCCCCCTTTTCCCTCGATAGTCAACACCTCCTTGAACACTGCTATGGGGGCAGCTGTTTGTTCAGATTTGCCCATAATCTAAGTACCCTGGAAGATTCTGCTGCAAGCAGACGTTGAGCATCAGACAGCGACATTTCTTCTATTTTGGTAGGGTTTATTTTTAAAATTCTGCTATTTAGCTTGAAATACAGGAACCACAGTACGTAGGAACACAAACAATACTTGAATACCTGTTTAAGAATCAGATGTTTTGGAGAAATCTTAATGATAACATGAGCTTCCAGAGCAGATAAATTTTCAGGCCTTTTAAGCACATGACCACCCAGGGACTACAGTGCCTCAGAAGACCTTTTAATGTGACCCCTACGGGGAAGATCAGTGAAGGGGCATGGTCTCTCTGAGCCTGAGGATTAGGGGTGCTGAGTGGGGGTGGAGGGAGGTGGGAAGCGGGGAGGAGCCCAGTGGACCAGCCGGGTATCTTGCAGTGAGGAGCCAGCACTGCATTAACCTGAGAGAGGTTTTAGTTCACAGGCGTTTAGAGGGTTCCACAATGATGTTTCTAATTAGCCTCTCATTAACACACCCTCTTGATTCTAGAAGGACTTTTTCTTATAGAGCATTTAAACACCAATCCCTGTTCCATTTGCAACTGGCTTTTTACATGGTACCATTACATATTACTTCACACATACCCTTTTTAAATGATAACCTAGCCGGGCTGCCTCTTAATCGAAGAACATTCATTAAATAGAAGTAAAAAGAATTCTGGTTTGCTATTGTATGGTATAGTGACTGCAGCTAGGGTTTGTATATCATATACGGTCAAAAAGAATTTTTTTGCTTTTGTTATTGGCCATGAATGATAAATGTCTAAGAAAATAGTTACGTTTAACCTGACGACAGAATATATCTACGTATACTAAAACATCACATAGCACCTTGTTGTTACATATGTTTTGGTGACTATACTGAGAATTGAACCTAGAGCCTTTTAGGCAACCACCCTATCACCAAATGCATCTAGAGTCCTTCCTTGCCATTCTCCCCCTCCTTTTGTCAGTCTGGGCCTGGGCACTGTCCTTCAGCTTTTCAAAAAGCTCTTCCACTTTGAGCTATAGCACCACTTCTGGTTTTTGGTTAATTGGAAATAAGAGTCATGGGAGCTAGGCGCCGGTGGCTCACACCTGTCATCCTAGCTACTCAGGAGGCTGAGATCTGAGGATTGTGGTTCAAAGCCAGCCCAGGCAGGAACGTCCGAGAGACTCTTATCTCCAATTAACCACCAGAAAATCAGAAGTGGTGCTGTGGCACTGTGATAGAGTGCTAGCCTTCAGCTGAAGAGCTGAGGGACAGTGCCCAGGCCCTGAGTTCAAGCCCCAGGACTGACAAAGAAAAAAGAAAACTTAGAATATCAAAAAAACTTCATGATATATAATTGAGGAATCATTGCCATTTACAGCTACCCATTTGCTTCAGACCCTTTTTGGGTGCATTTATTACAAACAGATCTCAGTGAACATTTCTGTACCGTGTGTGGTTTATTATCTTCTGTGAGTTGCGTATTTGTTTTCAAGTGGGGGTCTGTTAAGAGTTCTTTACGTGTTTGCAGTGTCTCTTTGTTTTGTTGAGTGGCTGTCCTCCTTCCCACCCTCGGCACCTGAGCGTGGCTAGGTGTGTGTGGAACGCTTCAGGGCAGTTCTTGTGTTTGTTTGCAGGTTAGGTCTTCAGTGGTATTTTTTCTGTTCATAAGTGATTGATTTGCATTTCCTCAGGAAAGAAGCTAATCTTGGGGGATAGCTGGGTAGAGTGGTTGTATAGCACTCCGGAGACCCTTGACCCAGGTTGGGCCCCCAGAACCAGAAACGACCCCAAACAAATGCTCGTTCTGTTTAGTATACCCTGTAATGGTAAAGGAAGAACGGAAGAATATTTCACAGATATTTCAGAATATTTGTGGCGACAAATGTACACATACATTGTAAGTTATTTAAATAAATTGTGGTCATTTAAGATGCCCAGTTTTTTTTTTCTCTTACTTTTGTGTCCAATGTGAAACTGGTGTTCTTGTTTATGTGTGGTTCTGGGGTCAAACCCTGGACCTTCCTGCATTAGGCAAGGGGTCATTTGTTTTGTTAGAATGAAGTAACTCCATTGACAAAGCTGTTTTCCTCTTTGTCACTTTCATTTGATGTCTTACACACATTGTCTGGGAATCACTGTACAGCTGTCTTGCTTTGGTCTCTGTGATTTGGTGTATGATACGTATTCAGGCTGGGATACAGGATTGCTGGTGGGATGCTAGGAAGAGGCTCACTGGCGTTTATTTAGGAGGGCGATGGCGTCTCCCAGGTAACTGTCCTTTGCCAAGTGTAGAAGCACACCAGTTCCTAATCATCGTCTGCCTGCCTGGGTTGTAGGGAGATGGTGGTTTTAGGACTTTGTTCTGTGCAGCCTGCTTACGAGTGCAATGTTAGATATACAGTCAGTGATAGTTTTTAATTTTTATTCCTCTCTGTTTATTCTAGAGTTTTACTTTGCAAGCTCTTTTAACATGAGGGTTAAAGTGGTAAAGTGACTTTGAGAAATCTACTTCTAAACTTTCTTTAACCACAAAAAACAACCCCCTTACCTCCAAAACAAACAAACCAGGCTGGGCACCGGTGGCTCACGCCTGTCATCCTAGCTACTCAGGAGGCTGAGATCTGAGGATCATGTTTCAAAGCCAGCTCAGGCCGGAAAGTCCGTGAGACTCTATCTCCAATTAACCAACCACTAGAAAACTGGAAGCGGTGCTGTTTCATGTAGTAGAGTGCTTGCCTTGAGCTGAAGAGCTCAGGGACAGCGCCCAGGCCCAGAGTTCAAGCCCCGTGACCAACAAAGAAAAAAAAAAGTGGTTTCCTTGTTAAATACAATTTGTCTAAATGGCGTTGCCATTCTTTGCCCTTTGAGGTCCTCCCCTGTTTACATTAACTAGTCAGGGCAGGATGTTGAAGTCAATAACTTGCATCTTCACTCTGCTTCGCGTTTGGTCCATTGACTCTACACCGCCTTGGCTCCTCACAGGGGACTCCTGTACTTGCCAGGATAGAGAAACAGAAGCGCAAGGAGGAGGAAGAAGAGCGTCAGATTCTTCTCGCCGTGCAGAAGAAGGAGCAGGAACAGATGTTAAAGGAGGAGAGGAAGCGGGAATTAGAGGAAAAAGTCAAGGCAGTGGAAGGTATGTGAGACTTCCTGCCCCGTCATGAGATGTACACGCGTGAGGTGAGGCCGCCCACATCCAGGTGGGGATGAAGCCAGGAGTTCATGGTTCACCTGAGCTTTTGCTGATCAGACTCCTGCAGTCATACACATACATGAAAAAGCCGAAAATTCTGAAGTACCGATCATAATTTGTTCCATACTTTTTGGGGCAGGCGGGCGGGCAGGACGAGGGGTTGACCTCAGGGCCTCACACTTTCCAGGCAGGTGTGTTTGCATGTGCGTTAATCCTGGGGCTTGAGCTCAGGGGCTGAGCACTGTGCCTTTTTGCTCAAGGCTGGTGGCCTACCATTTTTGAGCCACTGTGATTTCAGGCTAGTGGCTGTTTAATTAGAGATAAGAATCTCACGGAGGCCCAAGAAGGTGGCTCAGTGGTAGAGCACTTGCCTTGCATGCATGAGGCCCTGGGTTCCATTCCTTAGCACCACATACGCAGAAAAAGCCAGAAGTGGCGCTGTGGCTCAAGTGGTATAGCGCTAGCCTTGAGCTGAACTGCTGAGGGACAGCGCCCAGGCCCAGAGTTCAAGCCCCATGACTGGGGGGGCGGGGGATGGAGGGAGAAGAATCTCACAGACTTTCCTACCTGGGCTGGCTTCAAACCACAATTCTCAGATCTCAGCCTCCTGGGTCGCTAGGATTATAGGTGTGAGCCACTGGCACCCGGCTGCTTTAATTATTTTAGCCTCCAGCCACAGTCCTCCTAGCTGTACCTGCTGTGTGGCTGGGATGACTGGTGCACACAACTACGTTGAGCTTGTTTGTTGACATGAGGACTTTCACCTTAGTTGGCTTCAAACGCAGTCCTCCTGAACCCCACCTTCCAAGTAGCTAGGATTACAGGCTTGAGCTCCCTCCTTCTTCCAGAAATGTAGTTATTGCCTTTGGACATTACATAAGTCTCTGTTCCTAAGTACCAGGATTGGAACTGAGCAGAGAAGCAGCCCTGATCTGTTCGAGCATCATAAACTCCATGTCTAAGGCTCCTGAAATGCAGTGTACACAGGAACAGCTAGAATTGTTGGGGGAGGCATTTCCTCTTCACACGAATTGGCTTCTTTAATAGTGCCAGTCGAACCAGGGTTCTACTTATAATCAACAGAGTTGTTTATGACAACCTTGGGATTGGTAGAACTAGCTAGCTTCTGTGGGTGCCAAGAGTTCTGGGGTTAGAATGTGGTGTAGAAGACTCTTCAGTATAACACTGTAGCCCCTTGCATCCTCTTACTTGACATCAACAGTCACCATGTGCAGAAAAAGTGCTGGTACAGGTATGGGTCTCAACACAGGGGGAATGCCTGCTCACCCCTCACCCAGTACAAGTCCCAGGCCAGTGGCACAGCTCCCAGCCCACAAAGGTCTGCCACGCAGCCCTGTGCCTGTCGCCCCGAGACAACCACAGGCAGGCGAGATTGGTATGTCTGCCCTGCCCTTCCCTTTTGCAACTTATTTGGCCAAGTAGGGAGTAAGTCAGGCCTCAGTTGATTGATAAAGGGAACCATGCAAGAGTTTTCTTTACAGTGACAGGTTTGTCTGAGCAACCATTCTGTGCCAGCACCGTTCAGAATTCAGTAATGACACAATAAATCATTCACTTTGTGGTGCTCCCATTCGGGTGGTAAGAAGATGGAGAATGATTAATGTCAGGTATCACTGATGCTGATAAGCTTTCTGAAGGAAAGGAAGGCAAGTTTGTGTAAGGAGTGACGCGTTCAGAGTGACATGTGCAAAGGATTATGCTGAGCTTCTGCGGAGCCAGCAGAGGTTCCGCAGGCCTCTCCAAGGGGAGATGGCTGGAGGAGCGGGGTTGCAAGCACAGTGCTCACCGTCACGTCCGTGTTCCCTCTAGATCGTGCCAAGAGGAGAAAGCTCAGGGAAGAACGGGCATGGCTACTGGCTCAAGGCAAGGAGCTTCCCCCCGAACTGTCCCATCTGGACCCCAGCTCTCCCATGAGGGAGGAGAAGAAGCCTAAGGACCTGTGAGTAGTAATGGCAGCAAGCCTTGTCACAGACCTGTCTGTGGGAGCATGGAGAGACCGCAAAGAACAGGAGTGGGTGTTAAACCCACGGGCCCCCCGCATCGCCCATGGGCACACAGATCCCCTGCCCTGCTCTGTCACAAGCACAGAGACCCTCCTCTACAAAGCTCTGTTACGCTGAAGAAACTAGAATCGGATTACTTCTAAGAATCTGATTATTTTGAAAGTACAGAGAACGTCTTTTTAGTTTAGAAGAGTGGAGATTTTTTATTTTTGGGGATTAGCCTCTCCTCCCAGTATCTTTCCATAACCTTCTGGCTTGGAACTTGAGATCCTTCTGCCGCAGCCTCCTGAAGGCTGGTATCACAGGCATTCCCCACCATGCTCAGCAAACAGCTTAACTGTTTCTGTTTTTACTTCCAACCAAGCAGGATGGCACGTGTGTGGAATTCCAGCACTAGGGAGACTGAGGCAGGAGAATTGGTCATTCAAAGCCTGCTAACCTCCTGTCCCCACGGAAATGAGAAAGGAATGTGCTGATGAGTCTCTTGAATTAGTTTAGAGATGGGGAAATCTGATGACCTCTCTATTGCTAAGAGATGATGGTGAATTAGTGCTAATGTGTTGTCTTACAATTCACAGCTTTGAGTTAGATGACGACTTCACTGCCATGTACAAAGGTGAGGACCCACCCTCCATACCCGGGCTCTGATTCTGAGAACCTCCTGTGTGAGTGTGCGTGGATTGCTTTTCTCTTGTTTCTTTCAGTTCTAGATGTGGTTAAGGCTCACAAGGATTCCTGGCCCTTCCTGGAACCTGTAGATGAATCGTATGCCCCTAACTATTACCAGATTATTAAGGTATGTTTGAAATCTTCATTTAGTATCTATTTTGCTGGAATTTTCGTTTGCTTATCTATCGTTCTCCCTCTCCCCCTTCTTCTCCCCCTCCCCCTCCTCTTTCCCTTCCCCTTCTCCCTCCCTACCCCTCCCTCCCCCTCTCCCCCATCGAGCTTGCATTCTCTTTAATGCCCCCCCCCCCCCCCGCCCCTTCCTTTTCCCCTCCCTCCCTCCGTGCCTCCTTTCCTCTTTCCCTCCCTCCTTTTCTTTTGGGGTTTGAACTTGCTCTCTCACTTAAATGTCTTTGCTCAAACCTGGAGCTCCACCACTTGAGCCATGCCCTCCATTTCTGGGTAACTAGAGATAGGAGTCTCTAGGGTTTGTCTGTCTGTGCTGGCTCTGAGCGTTGATCACTTAGATGAAAGCCTGCTGAGTAGCTAGGATCACAAGTGAGAGTCACTCCTGGTGATGGTACTGGGGATTAGACTTGGTAGGCAGGCCCTCTACCACTCGAGCCACACACACCTATGCTCCTCGAGTTCATTTTGTTATGATTTTCTCTTCCCTCCTGGTGGTACTGGGGTTTGAACTGGGTGTCACGTTCATGTGGCTGCTTGCTTGCTAGGTTGGTGCCCTGCCACTCCCATCAGTTTTTCGTTTTTTTGTTACTGGGGGTGGTCATTGTGGAGCTTGAAGTCAGGACCTGGGCACCATCCCTGAGCTCTTTTGCTCAAGGCTAGTGCTCTAACCACTTGGAGCCACAGCGCTGCTTGCAGATGCTCCACCACTCTCGTTTGTCATTCTTACAAATGATACCATTCTCTTAAGCATTTTGTAACGGCATGAAACCTTTGCTCCAGAAGTGCTGAGTGATGTTCTATTATGTCTTCTATGTTAGATCCCCATGGATATTTCAAGTATGGAGAAGAAATTGAATGGAGGTATATATTGTACCAAGGAAGAATTTATAAGTGATATGAAGACAATGTTCAAGAATTGTCGAAAATATAATGGGGAAAATAGTGGTAAGTGAGGAATGAAGACATGCTGAATACTGTTACTATCAGATTAATATACCTTCAGCTGGGGACCAGTGGCCCATGCTTCTAATCCTACCTACTCAGGAGGCTGAGATCAGAGGATCACAGTTGTGGCAGTTTGAAACCAGCCCAGGCAGGAAAGTTTGTGAGACTCATATCCCCAGTTGAGAAATAAATTAATTTATACACCCCCCCCCCCCCCAAATTACTGCTAGAAATAATATGGTCAAAGCTAGGCATTCTTTTTTTTTCTTTTTTGGTTGGTCATGGGGCTTGACCTCGGGCTGGGCGCCTTCCCTCAGCTCTTCAGCTCAAGGCGAGCACTCTACCACTTGAGCCACAGCGCCACTTCTGGTTTTATGGTAGTTAGTTGGAGATAAGAGTCTCACTGACTTTTCCTGCCTGGACTGGCTTTGAAACACAATCCTCAGATCTCAGCCTCCTGAGTAGCTAGGATAATGGGCATGAGCCACCAGCACCCGGCCAAAGCTGGAAAACTGGGCATTTTTGTTTTCCTCTGGGGCTGGGCGCTGTCCTCAGCTCTTCAGCTCCAGGCTAGTGCTCTACCACTTGAGGCATAGTGCCACTTCCGGCTTTTTCTGTGTATGTGGTGCTGAGGAATGGAACCCAGGGCCTTATGCATGCAAGGCAAGCACTCTACCACTGAGCCACCTTCCCAGCCCCATGCTGGGCATTCTTTTTTTTTTTTTTTTGTCGGTCGTGGGGCTTGAACTCTGGGCCTGGGCACTGTCCCTCAGCTCTTCAGCTCAAGGCGAGTGCTCTACCACTTGAGCTACAGCGCCACTTCCGGTTTTCTGGTGGTTTATTGGAGATAGGAGTCTCACGGTCTTTCTTGCCCAGGCTGGCTTTGAACCGTGATCCTCAGATCTCAGCCTCCTGAGTAGCTAGGATTACAGGCGTGAGCCACCAGCACCCGGCTTGCATTCTTGAAAGGCTAACTTTGACTACATAACAAGACCTTGTCTCAAAAAGTAAAAAGGAATAATTCAGGAGAGCCAGGTATTAGCTACCCAGATGGAGGCTGAGATCTGAGGATCATGGTTTGAAGCCAGCCCCAGCAGGAAAGTATGTGACTCTAATCTCCAATTAAACACAAAAAGCTGGAAGTAGAGCTGCGGCTCAAGTGTTAGAGCACTAAGCTTGAGCAAAAAGAAGCTCATGGACTATACCCAGGCCCAGAGTTCAAGCCCCAGGATGGCACAAAAAACCAAACCAAACCAAAAAAATTTAATCAGGTTCAGCAAATCTTAGTAATTTGTTTTAGCTTAGCTTAACAGAATCAGACTTTCACTCATTTGAGGTGATAGTCCTGGAGTAGCCATTTAACCTTGGGCAGAAGAATATGGACAGAAGCATGTCTTCATCTTATGTCCATAGCTCTATAATTTAATATGCTTCCAAGTTGAACTAAATTAGAAATGTAGCCAGATGGCATTTCTACTGCTTATTTTTAGAAGCACTTAATGTTTTTTGTGTGTGTCCTATCAAAACTACCTGGAAGTCAACCCTTGTGTCTTCCTTATAGAGTATACCAAGATGTCTGATAATTTAGAGAGGTGTTTCCATCGAGCAATGATGAAACATTTTCCTAGTGAAGACGGAGACACCGATGAGGAATTTTGGATCCGAGAGGATGAGAAACGAGAGAAAAGACGAAGTCGTGCTGGGCGGAGTAGTGGTGGCCACGTTTGGACACGCTCAAGGGACTCTGAGGGGCCTGGCAGGAAGCAGCCGCCCGTGGAGAATGGAGGAAAGTCACTGCCACCGGCTCGCCGCAGCGTCTCCTCTGGGGACAGTCAGAGCAGCCGTTCTGCACAGCCTCCTCGAGAGGTGGGGACTTCCAACGGCCAGGGCTTTCCCCGCCCCTTGCATTGCGGTGGACTGCCCAGCCAGGAGCCCCTTTTCAACCAGACGGTAAGAAAAAGCTGTTCCTTTTCAAGATAGGTGTGTGAGTGCTTTCCTTTCTGCCAGTCATCCTTAACCTCTTTTTATTAGCCATTTGGGGTTAATAAAAGGCACGTGTCTTTTGCTCAGGTGCCTTTAGATATAGGCACATTGGTGACATGTGTATAACTCAGCTACTTGGGAGTTCAGGAGTTTGAGACCACTCTAGACAACATCAAGAAACTTCTCTCAAAAAGGAAAGATAAAGAAATGTTCCTCTTTTAATGTCAAAAGCCCATGTATACTGCAGTACCTAAGCTACCCAGAGTATCTGAGACTTTACAAAATTTCATAATCAGGTACATTTGGAGCAGACAGGATGCCCACAAAGGTATTGTGGAGAGCAAATTTGTAAAAAGATGGAGAAAGACTGTTTTTGGTTTTTTTTTTTTGGTTTTGTTTTGTTTTTTTGGTTGGTTGTGGGGCTTGAACTCTGGGTTGGGTGCTGTCCCTGAGCTGTTCAGCTCAGGTGCACTCTACCGCTTAAGCCACAACCCCACTTCTGGTTTTCCAGTGGTTTATTGGAGATAAGAGTCTCACAAGGGGCTGGGAAGGTGGCTCAGTGGTAGAGCGCTTGCCTTGCATGCATGAGGCCCTGGGTTCAATTCCTCAACACCATATAAGCAAAAAGAAAAAAGCTGGAAGTGGCGCTGTGGCTGAAGTGGTAGAGCGCTAACCTTGAGCTGAAGAGCTGAGGGACAGAGCCCAGGCCCAGAGTTTAGGCCCCACGACCGGACCCCCTCCTCCCCCCCCCCCCCCCCCCCCCCAAAGGAAAAAAAAAAGAGTCTCACGAACTTTCCTGCCTGGTCTGGCTTTGAACCACGATCCTCAGATCTCAGCCTCCTGAGTAGCTAGGATTACAGGCATGACCCACCAGCACCTGGTAAAAGACTGGTTTTTGTTTGTTTTTGTGCTGGTCCTGGGGTTTGAACCCAGGGCCTGGGTACTGTCCCTGCGCTTTTTCACTCAAAGCTTGTGCTCTGACACTTGAGCCACAACTCCACTTCTGACCTTTTGCTGGTTAATTGGAGTTAAGAATCTCATGGCCTGGGGCTGGGAAGGTGATTCAGTGGTAGAGCCCTTGCCTTGTATGCATGAGGCCCTGGGTTCGATTCCTCAGCACCACATAAGCAGAAAAAAAAAGCTGGAAGTGGCTCTGTGGCTCAAGTGGTATAGAGTGCTAGCCTTGAGTTGAAGAGCTGAGGGACAGCACCCAGGCCCAGAGTTCAGGCCCCACAACTGTACCCCCCCAAAAAAAGAATCTCATGGCCTTTCCTGCCCAGGCTGGCTTTGAACTACAGTCATCAGATCTCAGCCTCCCTGTGTAGCTAGGATTACAGGTGTGACTACCAGGGCCCAGCAGGAGCACATTTTTATGTTTTTGTTTTTGTTTATTTTTGGGCCCGGTCGTGGGGCCTGAACTCTGGGCTTGGGCGCTGTCCCTCAGCTCTTCAGCTCAAGGCTAGCGCTCTACCACTTGAGCCACAGCGCCACTTTCGGCTTTTTTCTTTTTGCTTATGTGGTGCTGAGGAATCGAACCCAGGGCCTCATGCATGCAAGGCAAGCGCTCTACCACTGAGCCACCTGCCCAGCCCCAGGAGCACATTTTTAATAGTCTTCAAGACACCCTAGCCTCTCCTGATAGCTGTATCTTTTATTTTTCTTGTTTTATTTGCCTCGTAGAGGCCAGCAGTACCAGGGTTACTTGGCCCTCTTCAAGGATCAGATCCCACCAACTTGTATGGCTCCTCTAGAGTCCTAGAAGTCCCCCCAGGAGGCCCCTTGCAGCAGCAGCCCCCCTTTGCCATGCAGGTAATCAACTTCGTAGACAGCAGAGCTGGGAAGGGTCAGAAGTGAGGCCTCCTCCTACATTGAGTTTAACTCATTGTCTTCTGTCCTGAAGAGTGTCCCAGTGGGTGAAGCGTGTCCACCGTGTTCTGTGATTGTTACCTGTGTTTTCTTGTCTTTTGTTCCCAGCCTCCAGTTGGAGGAAACAGCAGCCACCGGGGCCCTCGGCTTAGAGCTCCTGAGGAGACGCACGTGTGTGGTGGGCTGACACACCTTTCCCACGCAGGGCCCCAGCCCCACGCCTTGCCGCTCGGGCAGATGAGTTGCCCCGGTCAGGATGGAAGCGTGTATAGCCCAGGCCCATTCCAAGCAGGATTCGTTCCCCCCAGGCACGGTGGAGCTCCTCCAGCACGACACCCAGACTTCCCCGAAAGCTCCGAATTTCCTCCAAGCCACATGTTTCGATCCTACAAATACCTGAATCGAGTGCGCTCAGCTGTCTGGAATGGAAACCACGGTGCTACAAACCCAGGACCTCTGGGGCCAGATGAGAGGCCCCACGTGGGGCTCGGGCCCCCTCACCAGCCACACACCCTTGGCCACATGATGGATGTCCGGGGGATGAGACCGTCTGTTGCCCCAAACCAGTGGACTAAACAATCAAACTTCCTACCTCATGGAGTTCCTTCCTCAGGGTACATGCGACCCCACTGTGAGTCTGCAGGACGCCGGTCACAGCCACCTGCGGCCTCCACGCCCAGCCCTCTGTTCGGAGGGCCTTCCCAAGCCCTCCGAGGGGTGCCAGGCGGGGACTCCATGATGGACAGCCCCGAGATGCTCGCCATGCAGCAGCTCTCCTCTCGCGTCTGTGCCCCAGGTGTGCCTTACCACCCCCATCCGAACCCCCCGTCCCCGCTACCCAGCCCGTTCCCACAGGCGGCTCCGTCAGCAGCAGTGAGGGTGTCAGTCCCCACGCCCGCCTTGGTCAACCCCGAGAGGACACAGGATGTCAGTGAAACACAGGAGTCTGAGAAGGATGGAGGTAATCTACCTTGCTTCTCTTTCCTGATCCTTCACTGTTCACACAGAGTGTGGTTCTCCTGCACTCGCCCAAAGTACGCCCATTGGGCCAGTTGAAGTACTTAGTGTAAACTCCTATACTGCTGTACCACAGGGCACTTAGAGTGTGTGACATTCTTTTTGTGATTATCATATTGATTATCATCAATATCCCTGTTTTTTTTACAGATGGGAAATCCAAGGCACAGAACGATTTGCCCTTTGGGTAGAGAGTAGCCAAACAGACTAGGTCCAATTATTCTTGACCACAGTGTTCCCTCGCTGCCGTTTGCAGGTGGATGGTGGGTCAGGTGGAGACGGCTCCACCTCACTGCTTGAGCTCAGACTGCCCCCAGCCCACCTATTTCTGACTGTTCCTCGCAGGTCTTCTGCCCCACTCCCACACACCTGCACATAAGCGTGAAGAGTTAGCAAATGTGAGGAAAGCTCGGAGCAGTTTCTTAGCAGAACCAGAGGAGAAGTGTGGATTTTCTTCAGTATATGACTGGAGAATGGAGACACTTTTACTTTTTTTTTTAAATTTAGGTAGTTGTATAAAGGACACTTTTATAAAAGATGTTAAAGGTTTTTTTGTTTTTGTTGTGTTGGTGGTCTTGGGGCTTGAACTCTGGGCCTGGGCACTGTTCCTGGGCTCTTTTTGCTCAAGACTAATTGTTCTACCACTTTGAGCCACAGATCTACTTCTGGTTTTTGTAGTGATTAATTGAGACAAGAGTCTCACAGATTCTCCCTGCCTGGTCTGGTTTTGAACTGTGATCCTCAGATCTTGAGTAGCTTGGATTACAGGCGTGAGCCACTGGTGCCTGGCTTCATTATGAATCTTAAATCTTGTCCTCAGTCTGTTACCAGACTCAGATTTTGATCACACTTGGACAAGCCCTGTCCTCCTAGAAACATAAGTGCGTGTACGTGTGTATATAGGTAGGTTAGAGAGGTGTCATCCATATTATAATGTGTATATTTGCATATAGTATTTGGTATTATAGTATATTGTATATAATGTAGATATTTCATTCATATTAATGAATTGACGTAGTGAAGCCCTGGAGGTGTAAACTGTAATTATTCAGTGTATTAAATTGTTGTATAGTTGGGAGTTTGGTGGTACACACCTATGTTTTCTGAACTTGGAAAACAGGTAAACAAAAGATCTATAACCTGGCCGGGCTCCGGTGGCTCATGCCTGTAATCCTAGCTACTCAGGAGGCTGAGATCTGAGGATCACGGTTCAAAGCCAGCCCAGCCAGAAAAGTTTGTGTGACTCTTATCTCCAACTAACCACTAGAAAACTGGAAGTAGTGCTGTGGCTCAAGCGGTGGAGCTTCTCCTTGAGCTGAAGAGCTCAGGGACAGCGCCCAGGCCCAGAGTTCAAGCCCCACTACCGACCAAAAAAAAAAAAGATCTATAACCTGATAAAGATGCCTTTGAGGGTCTGGGAAGGTGACCCAGGGGTAGAGTGGTTGCCTTGCATGCATGAGGCCCTGGGTTCCATTCCTCAGCACCACATAAGCAGAAAAAGCCGGAGGTGGCGCTGTGGCTCAAGTGGTAGAGTGTTACCCGTGAGCTGAAAAGCTGAGGAGCAGCGCCCAGGCCCAGAGTTCAGGACCCATGACCAACCAAAAAAAAAAAAAAAAAAGATGCCTTTGAGTTTTTGTTGCAGCTGGTTTTGTGTGTGTGTGTGTGTGTGTGTGTGTGTTGTATGTTGTATGTGTGAGTTGGGGGTTTGAACTGGGGCCTGAGTGCTATCCCTGAACCCTCTTGCTTATGGCTAGTGCTCAACCAGTGTGAGCTACAGCTCTACTTCTGGTTTTCTGGCAGTTAATTGGAAGTAAGAGTCTCATAGACTTTCCTGCCTGGGCTGGCTTTGAACCATGATCCTCAGATCTTAGCCTCTTGAGTAGATAGGATTATAGGAGTGAGCCACTTGTGCCCAGTTTTATTATATATATTATGTATTTTGAGACTTCCAAACAAGAGTGTTGCTCAGTACTAAAGTGTATGCTTAGTCTCATAAGGTTCTGGATTCCATCCCAAAGCCCCTCAATAAAAGGCCCATAATAAGTGTGTTCATTCACGGGTAGTGATTCGGTCTGCATTTTCCAAGTACTGAGAACACTTGCTGAAAGCGGGAGCCCCGCCCCCTGCTAGGGAGCCTCTGTTCTGAAGGGATGGAGTACTTCAGTGCTTCAAGCTTTCTTATAGGGGCAGCAATGCTGATGACAGCCGCAGTCTCCTGCTGTGTTTCATGTGCATCCACCTAGAGCCCATGAGCTCTGATCGTCTCTCAGTCTCTTTCTAACCTGACCAGCTGCACAGGGGGGAGGCCTTAGGGGATAGCGTTAGAGGTGCTAGGTTCCACCTCTAGTTCCACAAAAGAGAGCATGCAAGCCCTGACATTTGGGCTCCTCGGGATCCTCAGCCCCTATTATTTCACTCTTTTTTTTTTTGTCATTCTTTGCAGAGTCCTTGCCCGGGCTTGAAGAGAAATCAGTCGGCATTAGTGCTTCAGAGAGGGTCTACCTCAAACAGCTACCTCAGGCTACACCTCCCCTGCAAGCTGACTGCACCAAGCAGAGCCCGGCGCAAGAGAGAGAATCGGAGGGCCCACAGCTCAAAGGCGACTCCTCAGAAGCTGACAACACCTGCAAAACAGCAAAGGGCAAGAACGCCTGGCCTGTGGATAACAGCTACTGTAGCCCAGCTGCCCAGGGCTGTGTGAGAGACCTCTCTGTGGTGTCAGACAGAGGGGCTCTACCTGAAAACGGGGCCACTGGTGAGGCTTCCCCTTGCGGCTCAGACGGAAGGGGCCTCAGTGGCACTGGTTCAGAAAAGCCCCTGTGCCCCAGAGGCAAAACAGCACAGGAGACCTTGCCGTGCACAGGGCAGAGCACAGTAACACCGTCCTGTGCAGACTCCGGTTTAATGCCAGGCTCTGTGAGCCAGTTTTCCCCCTTGTACATGCCTGGCCTAGAATACGCGAATCCAGCTCCTCATTATCACGTCGGCCCAGGCCTGCAGGGTTTGGGCCCCGTGATGGGGGGGAAACCTTCGGTGTCACATCCTCAGCCTTTCCCCCCCAGAGCCTTTCAGTCCGCCAGCCCCCATCCTGGCGTCTTTCCCAGGTTCCGCCCCCACCAGGGAATGAGGTATTCTTACCAGCCACCACCTCAGCCTTCCTATCATCACTACCAGCGAACTCCTTACTACCCATGTCCACAGGGCTTTTCTGACTGGCAGAGACCACTCCATCCCCAGGGAAGCCCAAACGGACCCTCAGCAAGTCACCCTCTGCCCCCGCGGCAGAGTGCTATGGCCGATCTGCAGGGCTGTGAGACGCTGAATACTGCCTTATCTTCTCCAACTCAGATAGATGCTGTGGCTGCTAAAGTTGTCCCAGCCGATGGGCCAAATTCTGGTCCTGAGGAAGAAAAGCTAGATGAGTCTGTGGAGAGGCCTGAAAGTCCCAAAGAGTTTTTAGATCTAGACAACCACAATGCAGCTACCAAGCGACAGAGTGCGCTCTCATCCAGTGACTATCTCTATGGAACTACCCCACCTCTGAGTTCGGGGATGGGTTTTGGTGCCCCTGTCTTCCCACCTCATGGTATGATGCTACAAACTGGGCCTCCGTACACGCCTCCGCGGTCAGCCAGTCATTTCCAATCCAGGGTGTACTCCTCCCCTGCAGCCGCGCATCCACCTCGCCATGCAGCGGCTGCCCAGCCCAACGGCCTCTCTCAGGAGGGCCCTCTCTATCACTGTCAGGAAGAGGGCCGGGGCCACTTCCAGGCTGTGATGATGGAGCAGATGGGCGCCGGAAGCGGGATGAGGGGGTCTTTCCAAGAAGTGTGCAGACCATCCGGGTAAGAGACGTAGTAGTTCATAGTTCAATCGCTTGTTTTCTTATCTCTCAAGACATAACACATGTTAAGTTTGAAAAGAAAAAAAGGAAGATTTAAAGCTCTAGTGGTTCGGGACTGAGAAACACATGTGAACCGTTCGTGGCGTCTCATTTTGCTCTTGTGACCGTTTTTCCCCCTTTGTGAAAATGAGTTGGCATTGTCACTTCGTGTTCTGTTTTGAGACAGTATTATTTCACTCTGTAGCTTGGACTGGCAGGAACTTGCTCCCTGTAGCCTCTACTTTGTCCAAGGGGTAGGACTTGAGGTGTGTGCTGTCGTGTCCCATTTCATACTTTTCATATTGGCTTGACGCATCTGTATCTCCTTGCCTTTTGTTGCTTTTCCTCGGCCAGGGCCCATTCAGATATTACAACATAATTGAAAGGCCACACAAAGCAGCAGATCGCCTCAGGCACCCATGTCCTAAAGGATTTCGAGGCTGACAAACCACAAGTTCTGTACCCATGTGCCTAAACCATTGGAAATTAAGTTTCAGCATTCAGATCCTTCCCACAGCCAAGTACCTCAGCACTCCTCTCCTAAAAGTGAGGAACGCCCTGCAGCGTAGTCTCAATACTGTGCCACCCAAGGGAAAGAACCCCCAATACAAAACCCTTCCTGCCTTTCTCTTATCCTTAAAAGTCTTTCAGAACTAACCTTTTCCTATTTGTTTCTGACCTAAAATCTGTTCAAGGCTCAGAGTTGACTTGTATTTAGTCTCTTTTCAGAAGAATCATTCTATCTTTATTTTGCTTTTTGTGTGTGTGGGGGGGGGAGGGGTCCTGTTGTGGGTCTTGTACTCTGGTCCTGGGCATTGTCCCTGTGGTCTTTGGTTCAAATAGCGCTCTACCACTTGAGCCAGAGCACCACTTCCGGTTTCCTGGTGGTTCATTGGAGATCTCAGCCTCCTGAGTAGCTAGGATTACAGGCATGAGCCACTGCCACCACCCAGATTCTAGCTCTGTCTCTAGAAGGCTCACACTATCATTTGGTCCCAGGATTGATGATTCCAAGTTGAATCACCCAGATAGTTCAGGCAGCAGCAGCAGCATGATGAAAATGTTTTCTTTGGGAACTACTAATCTTCACTAATTCTTCACTGTTCCCTCTTTATGGCTGTAGTATATACATGCCTCCGGTCCCGTCACAGTCCTCATTCTCAAAGACCCCAGCACCAGCAGCACCACCAGAACAGTTGTCATCGCATAAGCCCCCATCGCTTCCGCTGGGTCAAGTAAGAATTGGTGTTCATTACTCCTCCAGGTCTGGGACATAAATACAGACTACCTATTCCTTCCTCACAGTGCTTGGCCCTGAGGTTTTCTGACTTTGGAATGCTGGTTGGTCACACCAGTCTGAATAAGCTTGGAATGTTTCACAGTGAAAAACTTGAGTGTTGGTATTCAAAACGTTTGGGTCCAAAACATCTTAGGCTGTGGTAGATTACTTGCCTAACATGCCTTAGGTTTTACCTCTAGCGCAAGACTGATGTACTTGTGCATGATCTCATTGCTATTCTGAGAACAAGTTGTATAGGAGTAGTAGGGGTTTGGTTTGTTTGGTCTTTTGCTGTGCTGAGATCAAACCTAAGGCCTTTGAATTCTAGGCAAGTAGTATACTACTAAGCAACACTCTGTTGGTTGGGGTCTTGGGGGGTAAACTCAGGGCCTGGGTGCTGTCCCCTTTCACTCAGGATTAATGTTCTACCACTTTGAGCCACAGCTACACTTCCAGTTTTCTGGTGGTTCATTGGAGATAAGAGTCTCACGGACTTTCCTGCCTGGGGTTGGCTTTGAACCACAATCCTCAGATCTTAGCCTCCTAAGCTAGGATTACAGGCGTGAGCCACGAGTACTGGGAAACAATATTAATTTTAAGGTATCCTGTTAATACAGGAACTTTTTCTAAAGAGTTTTCCCTGTATTTAGGCAACAGGGTAGAACAGGATAGTCAGCCCTGTGCTCCTAGCCCAAGCCCAAGCAGAGTCTTGAAGGGCCTTCTGATATTACATGCTCCCCCCCCCCCCCCACTAGTCTTTTTGGCAACCACCTAATTATAAGAATTTATGCAAACCCCTTTTTTTGCTCATTTCTTTTGCCATAGTCCCTTACCTGTCTTAGCCTACTCTTTGTGGGAGAGACTAAAATGACAATAGCTATTACTTATTTTCTATTTGTATTTTATTGGGGGGGATTCAGTCTTGAGGCTTCACTGGGCCTGGGCGCTGTCCCTGTGCTCTTCAGCTCAAGGCCAGGACTCTACCACTTGAGCCACAGCGCCACTTCTGGTTTTCTGGTGGTTTATTGGAGCTAAGAGCCTCAAGGACTTCCCTGCCTGTGCTGGCTTTGAACCGTGATCCTCAGATCTCAGCCTCCTGAGTAGCTAGGATGACAAGTGTGAGCCACCAGCACCCCGCTGACAATAGCTGTCTTTGAATTCTGCTACTTCTCTGCCATGTGCTGGGGGGGGGAGGGTCCCACACACTGTTCACTCTCCCATTCACTCTCATCCTTGATACCATAAAGAAGCTGTCAGCAGCGACTGTATTTCCCAGCACGCAAGAAGTCTGCAGTGACTGAGCAGTGGGCGGGGTCTGAATCAGGGCCCAGCACTTGCAGGACACCTCTGGGAGTGACATTGTTTTTTAGCAATGTGAAATCCTTTGTTTGTGTGTTTTAAAATATTTTCATTCTGTTTGTTTCTCTCAGAGCTAGTCCAAGGAGAACATAGCCCCCGATGAAACAAAGCTGCGCATGAAGACTGAGCATGGAGGATCTGGGGAGTGACCCTCGCCCATCTCTGCCCGCCGCCCTGCTATCAGCAGCTGGAGCCTTCGACAGGCCCTCTAGATGACTGGCTTGCAGCGGTCCCGGGTTGCCACCTCAGCCCGAGTTCCTGCTGACTTCTCCAAGTCCTGAGACTCGGTCAGGGAAACGCGATTTAAACTTGAGCGGGGCTCTTGGAGTGGTGCTTTTAAACTTTATGAACAGCTCAACTCAGGAATATATTTTGGGAAGGGACTACTTGTAGTATTAATGTTTTTGGAGCTGGGTCCAGTTTACAGAATTTTCATGTTGCCTTTTAAAATACTTTTTGTTGGTGGTGAATGTATTGTACATAAAGTGGGAAGGATGGGTGGGCGTGTGAAGGAGACAGGAGTCCCGATCGCGGCGGGCACACAGCACTGCCGTGGTCTCTCTGTCTGTTTACAGTCACGTCACACACGAAATGCTTTGGGGAACTTGGGGAGAGGGGAGGGGAAGTTTCATCTTGTTACACATCACAGCCTCTGTTTCCTTAGTGACCGGCCTGTCCAGCCTTGGACAGAGAAAGCTCTCCCTTGAGTCCGGTGTACTCCTCATCAGAGTTCACTCCTCATCAGAGGCATTGGGACCTTCAGCCCCAAAGGCAGGTGCTGGCGCCCAGATGACCTAAGTCCTGGACTTGTGAAAGTGGTATTCCATCCTGATTTTTCAGATACTGTGAACTGGTGTCAGGAATTGGACTGACGGCAGTGTGTCACTTACTAGAGGCCTCTTGGGGGTGCTGTAGAAGGGGTCACACAGAGCTTTCTAGCACAAACCACATTTGGTGAACACGACTACTCAGGTTTGTATGTGTTAGTCTCAGTAAAGAAATTGCACAGGTTTGAATAAAAAAAGTGTATCCTATAGATATACAGTTTGAACTGAAGAATATTTCAGTATATAGTTTTTATTCAGTTAAGTGAATCATAGTATAATCAGCTATGGTGATTTAAATTAGCTGTCAAATATAAATTATTAGGAAGCATTTTGTCATATCTGATAGGAAACAATTTTACAGTATTAAATTGTTTATTATGGATTTACAAGTTAATTACACTGGATCCTCCCTGTTTAGCATTCTGTGTTTTATTTTAGCTAAGATGCCACCCAAGTTTGGGCCCATCTTTAAACTTTTAAATATCCCACAAGGAGAGACAGGAAATAGCCTGAAATTCCAGTTTAGTAAGGAATAGCATTTTTTTGGAAGCATGCTTTTGGGGTTAGTAGAAGTCTTCATAAAACGTGCATCTTTAGTTTCTTACACACTTAGCTGTGCGCAGGATTGGTAGAACCCTTCCCTCCAGTTCCAGTTTCCTCAATAAATGGGGAACTGATAAGCTAGGTGTGGTGGTTCGTGTCTGTAATCCCAGCAAGTGGGAGGCTGACGCAGGAGGATCGTGAGTTCAAGGCCAGCCTGGGTTAGGTACATGGTGAGGCCTTATCTTTCTTTGTTTGTTTTTTAACTTGAGAACTGTTGTTTACAATCCGCTAAATATGCGATCAGAAGGAAAGGAGCTAGACTGGTAGCATCCAGGCTCTAGAAGTGAATAGACGCAGCATCCACACTTCTTGAAAATTCATCCCAGGAAGTGAACGCTTGCTAATGTAATGTGGTGAGATGGAGAGGGAGGAACACAGATGGCCTCTGAGGTATGTAGCATATGAGCGGTTTTCTGTAACAGACTTCATGTTACATTTGTTACACCTGTGAGTCAGTTGAGTTGTGAGGCTGAGTTCTCAGGTAGGTGGACGGATCAGTTTGCCCTCAGGCTGGCCTGTGCTGGGATGGACAGAGCAGCTACTCCAGTTTGTGCAGGGCGCAGAAAGCATCTGTGTAATCCTGAGCCTGAGCCCAGTCGTCCTGCCACAGACGGGGCTTTGTCCATAGCGCTAAAGCTGTAGGTACACTGTATACACACCACATTAGTTGCCGCTTCCCCCTCGCTCCCGGAGTGCTCTTTCCCCGTGCTCTGCTCAGAGATGCTGTGATGAACAAGTTACTTCCTCCTGTGTCCCCGGACCCCCCTCCCCTCCCCCAGTTTACAGGCAACTGAGAACATGCTGCGAGTAGTAGGTATCTGCAACACTATGAGCAGGAACAGCACAGTGGCCTCGGATGCATCCTGTTTGCGCACTTGGTGGCCGTCATCCCTGTCTGGGCATGTCTCCCGCTTGTAGTGGTCTTTGGAGAGTAGGATCAGCTGACAGTTGCCGGGAGCCTCTGAGAGTCCCACATTCAGTCACCCCCCAGACAGGACCCCTCATTTTACCTTTCTCCTCCTCCGGCTTTTCTCTTTCCAAGTGCACTAAGCAGATGTGAGAATAGTGGGCAAAGCATCTTCCAAAGGACATGTACCCTACACCAGGCCACCTGCTGTGGTCCCTGGGGATCCTTGGAAGCACTGTCATTGCTGTTTACCACTCAGGATGAATAACTTAGAAACTGGTTCCTCAAACAAAGCCACGGAGAAACAAATATCCAGAAACAAGTCGAGCCTTCCAGGTTTCTGCCCCTTGTCAGTCGGTTCATTTAAAAAGTAGCAGGAAGTTTTGGCCACGATTTGTTGTGACAGATGAATATGGAGAAGGATATGCAAGATTCTTTGATTATTAGTTTCTGTTTCTCTCTCCCCTGCCGCTCCCACTCCCTCCCCCCAGCTACTAGGATTTTAAATTCAGGGCTGCGCACATCCTCTCCCGTCCCTGCCCCCTAGCCGGTCTGATCGTTAAAGCTGCTCCATCTCCTGCGTCGGGCTGGTTTGGTTTTGTGGTAGTGCCGCCGAGTCTGTTTAGCCACCTTGTAGTGTCGCGTGGCATGCGTCAGGCTGTCCCCTCAGAAGGCAGATTCCTGCTGGCTTTTATGAAACTGTTGGTGGACTTTCTGCTCTGTGCTGCCCATCTTAGTCATGGTCAGTTCACTCTAGCCTTCCTGTGGAATTCTCTCCTGACCTTTATAGTTACCTAAGGGTAAGCTAAATGCTGCCACAAATACAGCACCCTGGTGCTGGCGTCCCCATGGTCAGCACGGAGAAGCCTTGAAGTCATCCCGCTTGGCCGGGCTCTCTCTCTCCCCTCACTTCTCCTCCCCCATCTTTCTTATCCATGAGTGGCACACATCTCTTAAAAACGAATGTGAAACTCCACCCAGAGTCTTAATCCAGAGTTCCAAGAGCAGGGTATGATGACCTTAGTCACCGCTGGCATTTACCTATGTCTGCCCCTTTATCCGCTTGTTCCGGTCCTCATGGAGACCCGCTGTGGACGAGTTGCCACCGCTTACTGCTGGAGGTTTCTGGAATGTAGTCTCTCAGCAGATAGCATTTTGGACAAAACTTGTAGTGAGGACAGTGGCATTTGTGCCAGCAGGCAATTGTCATTTCTAGTCCCATGTCACTGGTCACCAGGAATGTGGCCGAGCTGCGCTAGGTGAGAAGATAACCAGGGTAGATGTTTTTGTCCAGTGGCTTCAGATCTCCCTCAAAGCTTTAGCATCGGAGCTTTGCCTTTCCACTGGGAAGATGCAGTTAGAGTCTTCTTTGCTTATGTCCCAGCTCTCAGAGAAACAGGACACAAGCTTTGTCTGCAGCCCTCTCCGCTAGCTAAGCACACGTCTTCCCTGGCTTGGGTTCGGCACCTCTTGTTGTTCGTTCTGACTTAACTCTTTAGTAGTAGACATGCCTGAAAACCAGCTGTTTGCCCTGGGGGCGGGGTGGGTGGGGTGGAGGGGTGGGAGGGAACAGGTCGCCCCGCATCAGGTGCCTTGCTCACCTACCTTTTCCCTGCTCCACCTGCAGCGCACACACAGGGTCCGTGTACACTCCTGCTGTAGAAGTGAATGCCCTGGTGAATTTTCTGGCCAGTACTGGAAAGGGGAATGCTATTTATTTTTTTATTTGTGTATATTTTGTCGTGGTCTGCTGATTCCCTGTTTCACTGAGAGCGACACTTACCTCAATAGTTAGTTCAATATTGTGTGTTGGATAATTTTTTAAAAGAACTTTTTAAAAAGCGTTTTGATCCTCAGAGGTCTGTAGATTTATTTCCATATGAACTGGTTATTTTGTATAAAGTACATTCTTAAAATAGCAAGGATCTGACTTGTGTGTCCGTGCGTGACTGTGACCATTAGGGCAAACTCCAATTCCACCAGGACCCCTGAGCCGTCTCCTGAACTTCAGTGTCACCACCTCTCTGTGTTCTGGTTGGTCAGAATCCTCTCAAGGGCTGACCAGTTGTGGTGGTGGATGCCTGTATTCACAACCCTAGAGAGGTAGAGGTGGGGTGAATGCCATACAGGCTATATAGCAAGTTCAGTTCCAGCCTGAACGACATGACACACTTGCTACTCATGGCGCTGAGATCTGAGGATCATGGTCAAAGCCAGCCTGACTTATTCCCAATTGATCACCAGAAAACTGGAACTGGAACTGTGGCTCAAAGTGGTAGAGTGCTAGCCTTCAGCAAAAAAAACTCAGGGAGAGTGTCCATACCCATAATTGAAGCCCCACAACTGACCAAAAGATAAATCCCAGTGCTTTATTGCTTTGTTGTCAGGGATAAATAGATGATGTAGCCACATTCTTTTTTTTTTTTTTTTTGGTCGGTTGTGGGGCTTGAACTTGGCCTGGGCGCTGTCCCTCAGCTCTTCAGCTCAGGGCGAGGCTCTACCACTTGAGCCACAGCGCCACTTCTGGCTTTTTTCTGCTTATGTGGTGCTGTGGAATCGAACCCAGGGCCTCATGCATGCGAGGCAAGCGCTCTACCTCTGAGCCACCTTCCCAGCCCATAGCCACATCGTTTACAGTTGGCTGTGAGAACCAAGATCTTGTCACAATTATTCAGCAAAAAGTGGGAAATGATGGTTTGTCTCGTGTGGTGGATGGTGAAAGCAGAAAGCTCAGAGATCAAGTCGCAGTACTGACTTGCCCGCGTGCGCGTGCACACATGCCTTGACAAGGTGCGGTAGAGCTGGGCCTCGTCTAGCCGTCCAGGTACATGCCTTACACAAAGATGGTCGCGTCACCATTGCGCTTCCATAACATGCAACACAGAAAAGGGTGGGGAGGAGGGGGGAACAAGACCTATTTTGCTACTGTGGATTTGCCCAGAATTCTTTTTTTTTTTTTTTTTGTGGGTTGTGGGGCCTGAACTCTAGGCCTGGGCGCTGTCCCTCAGCTCTTCAGCTCAAGGCTAGTGCCACTTGAGCCACAGCACCACTTCTGGCTTTTTCTGCTTATGTGGTGCTGAGGAATCGAACCCAGGGCCTCATGTATGCCAGGCAAGCGCTCTACCACTGAGCCACCTTCCCAGCCCTGCCCAGAATTCTTATCAACTTTCTGGTTTGACATTTGGAGACATTCAAAGGTGCTTGTTACAAAAAATGAACTCCTTGCCTCTAAAACAAAAAAGACATTCTTGGCGTTGTGAAGTTCCCCCTTCTGGCAGTTGGTCATCTCCAGAGTCGAGAAAGTAACCCAAGTGCTGCTTCCTCCATCCCAGAGTGGGTGAGTGGCCGAGGACATGGATTTGTTATGCAAGAGATGGTGTTGGCAGGAAGGGCTCTGGGCCATTTCCTTCTGGGTGGCTGGATTCCCTGCCAGCTCACCCAGAGACATGGAGCTCCGGGTTCCCGTGTCACAGCTGCCCGCCGAACTCTTCCCCTGCCCTGCAGACCTGTCTTCCAGGTTCTTCCTTGGGACTTTAAAGGATATTCGTGCATTTGTTTTATTCTCCTTATGCTATCAAGATTCACTCCTCTAATTTCCTTGGGTGATTTTTAACAAAAGCCTTAGTGAAGAATGAACTGTGCAGAACCAGCCAAGAAGGCAGCTGGGAAATGCCCAGATCGGGCTATTGTAAGCCAGAACCCCCCCCCCCCCTTGCATAGCCGTGATGTGCATATCAATGCAGGTGGCCTGGAGACTGAATCCTGGACCGGAGCCTCATTCCTGATGGCATAGAACAAGGATGAATTATCTTATTCTAGCAAAAGCTGTGCAGAACTTTAAGGGCAGTAGAGACATTTTCTCAGGTTTTTGCTGTGGGAAGGAATTGAGTCTTGAGTAAGAAAGCAAAGGCAAGACCGAGTGAAGTCTGACCCGGAGCACTCCAAGAGCGAAGATGAAGAGGGAGTAACCGGCAAGCCAGGGCTCCAGTAAGTACAACAGACCTTGGGACCCCTGGGGACTGATTTCAGGGCCCGCAAACCACAGACCTGCACGTTGCTTATATAAGGGGCTCTCAGAACTCCGTGCATATACCAGTACTGAGGCTTAAAGTCAGGGCCTGGGCATTGTCCCTTAGCTTTGCACCCAAGACTAGTATTTTGCCATTTTGGTTTTTTTTTTTTGTAGTTGATTGGGGATTAAGAGTTTTACAGATAGACTTGGCTGCCTGGGCTGGTATTGAATCCCAATCAGATGTCGGCACCCTTTGTAGTTAGGGTTACATGTATGAGCCACCAGCCCACCCAACTCTTTTTTTTTTTTTTTTTTTCGGTCGTGGGGCCTGAACTCTGGGCCTGGGCACTATTCCTCAACTCTTCAGCTCAAGGCAAACACTGTACCCCTTGAGCCACAGCGCCACTTCCAGCTTTTCTGCTTATCTGGTGCTGAGGAATGGAACCCAGGGCCTCATGCATGCCAGGCAAGCACTCTTACCGCTGAGCCACCTTCCCAGCCCCATCACCAACTCTTAGATAACTTAATAACCTCATCTGATGGTACTGACCTAATACATCAGGGTCCATAGTGTCTTCCATTGACTTCGTCCTTCTGTCTCCAGTGCTGTGCATTCCTTGTCGCCCTCTGCGTGATGAATCTTCATGACACCTTTCCAGATTCCAATCTTAACAACTCCACCTGCTGCCATGGTGGTTTTTGTTTCATATTTCAACTTGCAATACTAAAATGATTTACATCTTAATGTCCAGAGTGTTTCTCATAGTAGACATACATACATATAATACCTTGCCTGCTTTTAAAATCCTGTTTTACGTTGCATACCTCACTCCTCAGGGTGCCATCCATTTACACGTCACGCACTGCTGCTTGCTTGCCTCACTTGCTCATTGGCTTGCTTTCGTCCTCTTATAATAATGGTAAAGTCTTAATCTTCTGACATTTCATCTCCAACTGAAACCTGGTACCCAGTGTCTGCTAATCCACCTCCCCCTCCATAGCCCCTGGTAACTGTCTCACTGCTGTCTTTGAACTTGACTATTCAAAGACTGGAATGGTACAGTATTTGCCCTTTCCTGGCCCGTTTCCCTTGGCATGATTTCAAGACCCACCTACCCATGGCCAGTGTCAGTTTCCTTTCTGAACAGGACTGTGTGCTGCCATATTCGGCTCATCCAGTGTTCCCTTAGGGTACCTTAGTGTCAGTATCTTCCAGGGTTGACAGGTTGGAGAGAGGGGCTCTGTTGGTGCCAGCCAGTGAGAGAATGTCAGCCACCGCGTTTGAGTTTCTAGTCTTGGACCTTAAAGACAACTGGCCTATAGAAATGAGTGGGTAAATACTTATGCAGATCTTCTGGGTCTACACCCAGGTTGCAGTTGCTAGATCTTACGCCAGTTCATACACCCAGAGTTGCAATTGCTAGATCTTATGCCAGTTCATACACCCAGGTTGCAGTTGCTAGATCTCACGCCAGTTCATACACCCAGGTTGCAGTTGCTAGATCTTACGCCAGTTCATACACCCAGGGTTGTAGTTGTTAGATCTTAGGCCAGTTCATACACCCAGAGTTGCAGTTGCTAGATCTTAGGCCAGTTCATACACCCAGGTTGCAGTTGCTAGATCTTACGCCAGTTGTTCAATAGTGTAAGGAGCTGCCATACTCTGAGCTACCGTCACATTTTACATCCCTACCAGTAAAGCCCAGGAGCTGGTTTCTCCAGCCCGCACCGTTTGGGCAGGGCTTCTCACAAGGGATGCTCTGGGGTCAGAGGGGGTGCTCCCACCGCAAGGGAAGACTGCATGAGTGGAATGGCCGCTGGGAAAGCGAGCGGACGTGCCAGGCCTGAGGCCCCGGTTCCGTTCCCACCCCTGCACAGAGAGGACAGGAGGCAGGTTAGCTTCTGGCCCTGCTGCAGAAATGTTTCCATTGTATCGATTCTCCCTGGTTTGTCCACCCCTCTGAGTCTTGGCCAAATCACTGCCCGGCTAAACAGAACTTTTGTGTGGAGCCCTACTTCAGCGAAGTGGGGTGGCTGCCTGCCAGGTTGGGGGGATCTCACGAGGCCGTGCGGCCTCTCTGGGGTTTGATTCAAATCGGACGGAGGGAGTGGGGGAGTGGAGGTGAGGCTGGGACGCGGAAGGGAGGAGGAGGCCACCCAGGAACCAGGAGGGCGGGACTGTGGACAGGACCCAGGGACAAAACAACCCTCCCCACAGCACAGCGGCGAGCTGGAGAGCTCCCTCCCGGAGACAGGTAAGCATTGCCTCTTCTAGGTCAAGGTTCCAGTTGGTTGGAAGACTGTCCTCCTTTGGAGAAAGGCCTCCGGCCTCCCACAATCGAGGGGGCGGGAGGGAGTCCCCTGCCTGCCAAGGGCATCCTGGGTAGAATCCAGGCCAGAGGGCAGGGTACTTCCGGGTAACGAGTCAAGAAGTCACTTGTGCTGTGAGGGCCTGGATCAGACACCCGACCCAGCCCCTCAGTGTGAGCTCAGGGCATGGAGCAAGCACACAAGTCTTGGGTCAAGCAGGCAAGGGGCTACCTGGACCACACGTAGTTGGCCTCCTCCACAGCCCCCGTTGGGTGGGGAGTCAGGTTATAAGCGGCAGGAACCCGGGAGGCATGCTGGGACTTGTACTGGGCAGGATCCCAGAGGGCAGGCTAGAGCAAGGTGTATTGGGGGCCATGACGCCAGCCTAGATGCCACTCAGAGGCCCGAGAACAATTTGTAACTTACCCAAGGTTGGGGAGAGAACACCCGTGCAGCAGGGAAGGATGCGGGGCGGGGAGTGGTGGGCAGTGCCGGCCTGGCAGCTCTGCCCTGGAGGGCCTCGGGGGGGGGGGGGGGTGGCTCTGGCATGATGGGGGGAGGCAGGGGACTTGGCTCTTCTGCCTGCAGCGCAGGAGCCAGGCCCGCCCTTGTATTGCTAATTACTACGTAGAGTGAATTACTTAAGATCCTAAGCCCACATTCTACCACTCAGTACCCTACACACAAAAGATAGAGGTCTGGGAAGGCGGCTCAGTGGCAGAGCGCTTGCCTTGCACGCATGAGGCCCTGGGTTCGATTCCTCAGCACCACATAAGCAGAAAAAGCTGGAAGTGGCGCTGTGGCTCAAGTGGTAGAGCGCTAGCCTTGAGCTAAAGAGCTGAGGGACAGTGCCCAGAGTTCAGGTCCATGACTGGCAAAAAAAAAAAAAAAGTTCAAGCTGGAGACCCCAAAAAACTCCTAGGCCCCACTAGTTCTCTGCACTAGGTTGACTAGCTCTGTGGAAGTGAGCGGCCTTTGGGCGTCGTTGGAGTGGGAAGGTAGGCAGAGTGGAATGCCAGTCTCTCTTCCAATCAGTGACCCTGACCTGCTGCCCGACACAGATCGCCTCCTGAGAAAGCCATCTGTGCCGGGCTCCAAAACACAACCCTGACGCACCTGCCTTGTTCCCGAACGCTGAGGGTAGGCGTGGAGCACACGCCTAAAACCGAGGCAGCTGAGCGGCCCTTCTCCCTGTCTCCATACCAAGAACCTTCGGCTAACCTTCATTCTGCCTCTTGCATGGCCCTCCCACCCTGTCAGGTTACCGGAGGGCCTTTCACACAGAACTTCTCAGAGATGACCCTGCATTCAGGCTCTGGTGAGGGGTGGCAGGGCCCCATGCTGCCCCTGGTAGTCAGGTATCTGGCCCAACCTACTGGTCAGCTGAGTGCCTCACACTGGCTAGACTGGTGCTCTAGCAGGTGATCCATGCCCCCGGTCTACTGCTTGCTGATTATGTGGTAGATGATGTCAATTTCTGAGGTTGGTCTTGAGAGATTTCCATCCCTCCAAGCTCAGCTTGAGTGGCCAGAATTGTAGGTTACCACTATTACATTTGTGTGTGTGTGTGTGAATGCGCACGCGTGCGTGCACTTAAGATTTTTCAGCCCAGATTGTACTACCACTTGAGCTACATCTCCACTTCCGGATTTTTTATTTTTATTTTTGTTGGTTGTGGGGATTGAACTCTGGACCTGAGCGCTGTCCCTGTGTTTTTCAGCTCAAGGTGAGCGCTCTACCACTTGAGCCACAGCGCCACTTCCAGTTTTTTGTTTTTGTTTTTGTTTTCCAGGGCTGAGGACCAAACCCAGGGCCTTGCACGCACCAGGCGGGCACCCTTCTGTTGGGCTAAACCCCCAGCCCCCTACTTCTTGTTTTCTGAGTGGTTTATTCGAGATAAGAGTCTCACGGACTTACCTGCCCTGGGCTGGCTTTGAACTGTGATCCTCAGATCTCAGCCTCCTGAGTAGCTAGGATGACAGGCGTGAGCCACCAGGTGCCCGATGGATTTTTTTTTTTTTTCTGGTTAGAGATATTTGGATTTATCTGGCTGGCTTCAAGCCTTGGTCCTCAGCCAACAGGACTGCAACCAGCTATTGAGATCAGGTCTTGGGCTTGCCTCAAAGTATAATCCTCTCCCATCTTGTCCCCCAGGTAAGTAGGGTTACAGGCAGGAGCCATTGTTGGCCAATTGACCAGAGACTTCAACCCTGCCCAGAGAGGCTCCAGCAAGCCCTAGGTAGATCACTTTTCTGGCTGCCTTTGCATTTACACCTCTCCTTTTATTATTGTGTGGTGGGACTTGAACTCAGGGCCTCCTGGTGCTGTGCCTTTTGAGCTTCCATTTCTGTTTTTTTGCTGGTCAACTGGAGATAAGTTTCATAGACTTTCCTGCCCGGACCTCCTGAGTAGCTAGGATGACAGGTGTAAGCCCTTTTTCTTATATGACACCCCCACCTCCCAGCTCCCAAAGGTCTGTCTAGGAAGGGGACGTCCCAGAGCAAGCTGAAGCAAAGGAAACGCACGACTTGCTCCTCTGGACCCAGCCAGCAGCCGGTGCCCGAGGGCCCGGTGACTCCGCCCCTCCAGAATGTCCAGCCAGGATCTGAGGTACGCTAGCCCAGGGAAACGCCAGGCCTGGGTGGGGAGAAGATGGATGCTGGGAGGAGAGCCCCGCCCTCCCCCAACTTAGCTGACTAGTCTGTGGAGTTGGCAGCATTTGTGTTCTTAGCAAAAGTTAAGACGTCACCTAATTAGATTCATTTGTGAGGAAATCTACCACCCAGATATTTCACTCATTTGCCTTTTGCCTGTAAGATAAGATCATTTTTACTACCCCCCACGGGGTCTGAGAAGGCTTTTCCTTTTGTTGGTCGGATATGGGGTTTGAACTCTGGGCCTGGGTGCTGTTGCCCAGCTCTTCAGCTCAAGACTAGCGCTCTACCACATGAGCCCCAGCGCCACTTCCGGTTTTCTGGTGGTTCATTGGAGATAAGAGTCTCATGGAGTTTCTTGCCTGGGCTGGCTTTGAACCTCGATCCTTAGATCTCAGCCTCCTGAGCAGCTAGGATGACGCGTGAGCCACTGGTGCCCAGCAAAGCTTTTATTTTCTGTGTCTTTATTTCTCTAGCTTTTTTTTTTAACCAATCTTGGAGCTTGAACTCGGGACCTGGGCACTGTCCCTGATCCTCTTTGTGCTCAAGGAAAGCGCTCTACCACTTGAGCCACAGTGCCCCTTCTTCTGGCCTTTTCTGAGTAGTTTATTGGAGATACCGAGGCTCATGGACTTTGTTGCCTAGGCTGGCTTTGAACTGCAACCTTCAGATCTCACCTCCTAAGTAGCTAGGATTACAGGCGTGAGCCACTGATTGGTACCTGACTTCTCAAATACTTTATGGGAGACCGGGTACTATCTCTGAGAGCTTTTTTATTTCTTTTTTTTTTTTTTTTGGCAAGGCTAGAGAAAAACTTGAGCCATAGCTCCAGTTCTGGCTTTCTGGTGGTTAATTGGAGATAAAAGTCTTATGGGCTGAGTGCTGGTACTCAAGCCTGTAATCCTAGCTACTTAGGAGACTGAGATCCCAGGGCCAGGGTTTGAGGCCAGCCTGGGCTGAAAAGTCTCTTGTGAGACTCTCTTCTTCAGTTAACTACCGGAAAACCAGGAGTGGTGCTGTGGTTCAAAGTAGTAGGGTGCTGGACTTGAGCTGAAGAGCTCGGGGATAGTGCCCTCTGTCCAAGCCCCACAAGTGACAAAAACGAAGACGTCTCAGAGACTTTCCTGCCTGGGCTGGCTTCAGACCCTGATCCTGAGATCTCAGCCTTCTGAGTAGCTGGGGTGGCAGGTGTGAGCCGCCTGCCAGTTATGTGCTCTTCTAACAATGGCTCTTACTGGCCCCAGGCCTTAGTTCTTAGGACCCTCACCAACACCATAGGCAGGTTTTACACTGGGGAAAAGGAAGGTAACTTGCTCAAGGAGACAGCACAGCTCCAGCTTCTGCCTGAGCTTGTTGGTTCGTTTGAAAACTTCTCTACGCATGGTTGCAAGGGTGACCGGAGGAAAGGCCCTGGGGCAGAGCTGAAGCCCGCGGGGGCCCTTCAGGGGTCTCCTTCCCAGAATCCCCTGTGGAGTCAGGTCACAAGGTGGGAGGGAGGCATTGTGGGCTCCCAGATCCCGGTGACGGACAGCACTGGAAGGGCGTGTCACAGCAGCTCCCAGCAGGCCACGGGGCCAGCAGCTGCTTCTTCTGCCCTTCTACCCATTCCCAGCTGTGTCCAACCCCCCTCTCCCACTCACTGCCTCTCTCCTTCCCACGGCCTAGTATCACCGCCAAACTCATCAATGGAGGTGTAGCAGGGCTCGTGGGAGTGACCTGCGTGTTCCCCATTGACTTGGCCAAGACCCGACTACAGAACCAGCACGGCAAGGATGTGTACAGAGGAATGTAGGTATTGCGGGGCTGGGGATGTGGTCTGCATCGAGAGCACGGGAGAGGCTGGCGGGCAACGCCCCGGTGATCCCGAACTTGCCTGTCTGGTCTCTTTCCAGGGTAGACTGCCTGGTGAAGACGGCCCGCATGGAGGGTTTCCTGGGCATGTACCGAGGTGGGCTGCGGGCCTGGGCCGGTGCGGACGGCGGGCGTGGGTGGGCTGCAGGATGTGGGCGTGTAGCATATTGCCGGAGGGCTGCAGGACCACACGGTTCCCCTGCATCGCCTGGCCTTTCCAGCCCCTTCACATCAGTGCGCACTTGTGACACATGGAAAGCCAGGGAGCCCTGTCTCATCCCAGTGTCTCTCCAGCTAACTAGACAAAGGGTGGACAGGGCTGTGAGCAATTCCCCAACATGACCCCAGGAGATCGCTGGCCCCCTGCGGCGTCCCCGGCCGCCATCGGGTCTCGGCTTGTGCTTCGTGCTAAGAGCTGTTCCACCACCTGAGAAACATATTGGAAACCTGCGCACACTACCCAGCCGCCCAGGGTGCAGGGAACATGAAACCAGCAGGCCCTGTCTCTGGGACTCACGGTGGGGAGCTGCATGTACCACCAGGACAAGAGTGCTTGGTTCCTGCACATGGTTCCACAGAGAATGAGCGTTAAAAAAAAGAAAATGGACTGGGCGCCGGTGGCTCACGCCTGTCATCCTAGCTACTCAGGAGGCTGAGATCTGAGGATCACAGTCAAAGCCAGCCCGGGCAGGAAAGTCCATGAGACTCTTTATGTCCAAATAAGCCACTAGAAAACCGGAAGTGGCACTGTGGCTCAAGTGGTAGAGCGCTCGCCTTGAGCTGAAGAGCTGAGGGACAGCGCCCAGGCCTAGAGTTCAAGCCCCATGACCAACAAAAAGAAAGAAAGAAAGAAAATAGGCTGGGAAGGTGGCTCAGTGGTAGAGCGCTCGCCTAGCATGCATGAAATCCTGCCTTTGATTCCTCAGTACCACATACACAGAAAAAGCTGGTAGTGGCACTGTGGCTCAAGTGGTAGAGTGCTAACGGTGAGCATAATAAAGCTCAGGGACAGTGCCTGGGACCCGAGTTCAAGCCTCAGGATCAGCCTCCCCCCAAGAAAAATAGCCTAAGGAGCTCTGCTGGACTCCCTGGGGTGGCCTTGTACTGTGCCTAAACTAAGTGCTGTGTGTCCTTCACTCCAGAGCCTGCCCGGCCTGTGCCGAAAGGACTCACATTTTCATGCCTCACCGCAGGTGCTGCAGTGAACCTTACCTTGGTCACTCCAGAGAAGGCCATCAAGCTAGCAGCTAATGACTTCTTCCGGCAGCTGCTCATGGAAGACAGGTACAGCTTGGTGGGGACGAGGGTCAAAAATCCTTCACTGTGGGGCTGGGAAGGTGGCTCAGTGGTAGAACGCTTGCCTGGCATGCATGAGGCCCTGGATTCGATTCCTCAGCACCACATAAGCATTAAGTGGCACTGTGGCTCAAACCTTGAGCTGAAAAGCTGAGGGACAGTGTCCAGGCCCAGAATTCAGGCCCCACAACGGGCAAAAAAAAAAAAAAATCCTTCACTCTGTGTCATTTTGGGGGGAGAGGATTGCAAATGTGACTCAGTTTACCTGTCAGAAGTGTACACACACACACCACACACGCGCGCACACACATACACACACACATACACACGGCTGATTGCCAGCATGTGTTCTGACAGAACAGAAGTGACAGAATGTTGCAGGATGTGGGAAAGACAGGTAGATGCTATATTCACGAGCATCAGGTCCAGGCTACACAGGAGGCTGAGATCTGAGGATCAAAGTTCAAAGCCAGCCAGAGCAGACAAATCTGAGACATAAAAATCAGGAACTTGGGTGGTGGTGGCTCACACCTATAATTCTAGCTACTCAGGAGGCTGAGATCTAAGGATTGCAGTTCGAAGCCAACCCACCCAGGAAAGTCTGTGAGGCTGATCTTCAATTGACCACCAGAAAACCAGCCGTGGCTCTGTGGCTCAAAGTGATAGAGCGCTAGCGTTGAGCAAACAAAGCTCGGAAATAGCGTCTGGGCCCTGTGTTCAAGCCCCAGAATTGCCGAAATTAAATAAAAAAAAAGAACTGTAAGCCTGGTTAGAGTGGCCCTGAGCAAGAAAGCTAAGCACGAGTGCAAGGCCCAAGTTCAGTCCCCAGTACCAGCACAGAAACAGTACAGAATATCTGAATATACACACATAGCATCGAGTAGCCGTGACTCTTCACACAGTCAGAGTCCAAGCCTCCTTGGGTTCTCTGTCTTCCCACTGCCCTAGGGACAGTATTTAGGAGGTCAGGAGTCTGACAGCATCTTTCAATTTAGTCTCAGGAGACTGAGCCTGAGGATTGGGTTCTTTACCCAGGCTGGGTGGGTAAGACCCCGTGGTGACAGGTCAGGGTACAGGGACAGGTCTATCTAGCCTGGGACTAAAGAAAGGACTGATCCCTGGTGCCACAGGACACAGCGGAACCTGAAGATGGAGATGCTGGCCGGCTGTGGGGCTGGAATGTGCCAGGTGGTGGTTACCTGCCCCATGGAAATGCTGAAGATCCAGCTGCAGGATGCTGGGCGCCTGGGTAAGGTGTGCCCCGTCTTATCTTCAGCCTGGGGAGGCTGGCGTCAGAACAGGTCGCGTCCACCGCCCTCCTGTGCTCTGTCTAGCTCCTGTCCAAGCCAACGGAAGCCTTTATCCAACAGCTCATCCCTTCCAGTACTCTCATGCAGAAACCGGGCACCCCAATACTTCCGTCGCACCTCCTTGATACTTGGACTGGGATCCCTAAAGATTTTAAGGATAGGAACTGGGCAAGTGGCTCTGTGGAGGAGCATGAGGGGCCTGGGTCTGTCCCCTGCTCCAGGGTGGGAGTCGGAATAGGGCTGTATTCGTATGTCACGGCAGCTAGCTTTTAACACACAGAAAGGCATAAGAAGGAAGAAAACCGCTCCAGTTTTTCGTGCCCTTTCCTAAATCCCGAGTCCTGAAGATGCAGAAAAGCAAGGGTAGGCCTCCTTCCCAGTGGAAGGAGCCAGCCGCCCCTCAATCCCCTCCTCCCTGCCGCCCCCCCCCCAACCAATATGCCCAGTATAGCCTCTGTTTAGGACTGGGCAGTCCAGCTGTGCAAGAATTCAGTCAGGCTCCAGACCGGATTAGATCAGCCTGAAGCAAGGGGAACCCCAGGAAGAATAAGAGGTCAGGCTCTAGAATCGCCCCCAGTGTGTCTGCAAAGACAGAGACAGATGCTTTACCAAGCTAGCCTTTGAACCTGGCTGACAATTCCTAGCATTCCTCTAGGGGCCTGGGGCTCAAGTGGTAGATTAACTGCCTAGCCAGCACAATACCCCGAGTTCAAGCCCCGGTGTTCCCACCCCTACCCTCACCAAAATGTGTGTGTTGGAGACAGTCTCACCAATATAGCTTAAGCTGACCTGGGATTCAAGGCCCTCCTTTGCTACCGTGCCCAGATAATAGGCTCTGCATACGCATCTAAAATGGGTTGACAGGGGCTGGGAAAGTGGCTCAGTGGTAGAGTGCTTGCCTGGCATACATGAGGCCCTGGGTTCGACTCCTCAGCACCACATAAGCAGAAAAAGCTGGAAGTGGTGCTGTGGCTCAAGTGGTAGAGCACTATCCTTGAGCTGAAGAGCTGTGGGACAGCGCCCAGGCTCAGAGTTCAGGCCCCATGACCGGCAGAAATAAAATAAAATAAAAGTCAAGCTTTATAAAATGAAGAAGGGCATGAAGGAGATGTTCAGCCTAATCTTAGAGTGGATGCCACTCTAAGGGCCCCCGGAAGACCAGAGAGGTTCATTTCTTTGTCCTGAAGAGCTTACAGGTTGAAACTATCTCAGAGATGGTTTAGAAATGGGCAAACGATCAAAACTAGTCCTGAGGTCCTTAGGGACTGGGTTGTGCTGTGACACAGCGAGACATGGATTGGGCCTGGAAAGCGTTGCTGGGACCCAAAGCTCTGACACGGGGACCATCTTCACTGTGCCGGCGTGATTCCGGCGCTAGCAGTGGGCACCTAACACCCTTCGGGGAGGGGGCAGCAACCTGGCGGGGCGTGGTGGAGATGGAAGCTGGCCTTTGCTTTCCCTCCCAGCAGCCCACCCGCTGGACTCTGCCCACAGCGCCGGCATGCCGTCCACCTCCAGACGCCCGTCCGCCAGGCTCATTGCCCAGGAGCTGCTTCGCACAGAGGGCCTGTCTGGTCTCTACAAGGGCCTGGGTGCCACTCTCCTCAGGTGAGCCGCCCTCTTCCTGACGTGGGACACTGCAGCCCTGAGGCCGGCTGGGCTTGCATAGGAGGGGCCCGGCGGGATTGCCCACCCCTTCCTCCCAGCCTGCGGGGGGGGGGGGGGGGGGGTCAGGGCCCAGGAGGCACCTGTACCTCCACCACCACAGGGGGCTGTGACCTGGGGTGGAGGAAGCAGGCGTAGTCACGCAGCTCTTCTCCTTCGCCCGTAGGGACATCCCCTTTTCCATCCTGTACTTCCCCCTGTTCGCCAACCTCAACCACCTCGGGGTCCATGAGCACACAGGAAAGGCGTCGTTCGCTCACTCCTTCCTGTCGGGCTGTGTGGCAGGGTCCGTGGCGGCTGCCGCGGTCACCCCCCTGGACGGTATGCCCCCCCAATTGCTTCTTCCTGGAAAGTAGGGGTCCCCCTCACCAATTGCTTTGGCTTCCCATGACGGCTGACCTTTTAGAACTTGAGGCCGAGGTGGGAGGTGAATCCTCATGGGGCCACAGCTGGCCCCGCTCCCACGGGGACCCTTTGCAGCCCAGGTGCCCCAGGGTGATATGGCCGTGGAGGAAGGTGGGTGAGATCACGCACTGTATCCTCTAAAGGGATCGGACCACTGTGTCGAGCGCGAGATGTTCATTACTTGTCTCAACTTTCCAATCTAGTTCTGAAAACTCGAATCCAGACCCTCAAGAAAGGGGTGGGTGAGGAGACCTACAACGGGGTCATGGACTGTGCCAGGTAAGATGGAACCTGAGATCGCGTTGAAACCCACTTTTCCCTTTCGTCTCTCCACCATGTTTCCACCCCAAGGGTGGAGCCACTCGAGCCTCTGTAGTGCGGCCAGACTACACGTAGAACCGGAGAGGCCTGGCTCCCTCCTACCACCCCCTCCTGTTGCCTCAGCCTGCATGCTAACGCACCTGTGTCTCCAGCCTACACAGCAAGCCCCGAGCCCACCTGTCAGGACAAAGAATCCACAGCTCATACAAGGCTCTCCTTCTCCACAGGAAACTCTGGACTCAGGAGGGACCCTGGGCCTTCATGAAGGGAGCGGGCTGCAGGGCCCTGGTCATAGCGCCTCTCTTCGGCATCGCCCAGGGGGTCTACTTTGTCGGGATTGGAGAGCATGTCTTAAAGTACCTTGAGTAGACCTAGTGCCGGTCCTGCCCTGTAGTACTACCTCAGTTACAGACGCAGCAGCGGAGCCTACAGCCCCTTCTTCATGAAATCTGAATTTCCTTTAGCGGGAGGCTGCTAGAGATGCCCAGAATCCCCTAACCACTTGTTTCTAACAAGAATAATCCTTGTTTTTGGCTGTAAAGACAGAAGGGCTATTTTTTTTTTTTTTTCAGTTAACATTCCCAATTCACACCCAGGTTCAGTATCCCTGAGTTGGTGTGAGGGTTAATTGTTGTTTTATGTTGAATTAAAAACCTTACTGTGAGTGTTAGCATTGATGTGGAGCAAACGGGACCAGGGCCAGAGCGTGGCTGAGCTAGGAGCCTCCTCCACCCAGATCAACAGCCAAGTCAGACCGGCTCTCCTGCAGTGTGGGCCCAGGCCCTTCCCGTGGCATCCCTGAATGGGTAAGGCCTCCCTGTGTAATTGAGGGGCGCGGCGGCGCTTTCACGCTGGGCTTGGAGTCTTGCTTCTGGCTCCTGTCTGCAACACCTCCAGGAGCTGACAGTTCTCCACACAGGCAGTTCCTTCCCCCACGTTATTTCAGAGGAAATAACGTCACACAGACAGGGTCTGTCAGTCCTAAGAAAATCTTGTTCCACGGGCTGCTGCTACATCTGTTCCCACCTCCCAGGAGACGTGGGTCTGACGAGAGAATGTTTTTCTCCCCAGCTGTGCCACACAGCACCTGTAAGGCTTTGCGTGGCTCTCAGCTGTCATTTGACCAGGAATGGAGGGAGGCTTGTGAGAGTTAGTCTAGCATAAGTGTCTAACTCAGCCAGGAACGAGGGTGGGGCTCGGTGGTAGAGGGATGCTCCCTGTGTGAGGCCCCCGGGTTCCATTCCGTCTTCAAAGGATGGGAGGTGTGGCGAGCGCAGGTTCACAGTCCCGAAGTTAACTTGGGCGATGGATGGCCGGGGGACAAGTAAGGTAAATAGTGGCTTCACGGGCCAGCAGCTAGGAATCATCAAATTAGGTGTTTGAAAGTTGTTCTTTTAAAGCTAGGGTCTGTAATCCCAGGTTGGACCCCAACTCCTGGTTCAAGGGAGCAGCCTGCCAATCTCTCCTGAGGAGGCTGAGACAGCAGAACTTTACTCAAAACCACAAACTCTTAAGAAACTACAAGTGGGGCTGGGAATGTGGCTTAGTGGTAGAGCATGCATGAAGCCCTGGGTTCAACTCCTCAGTAACACACAGAGAAAAAGCTGGAAATGGCGCCGTGGCCCAAGTGGTAGAGTGGTAGCCTTGAGCAAAAAGCAGCTCAGGACAGTGCCCTGGCCCTGAGTTCAAAGCCCCAGGACTGGCAAAAGCAAAAAACAAATAAATACACATAAAGTTTTTGTTTTAATAAATAAAGAATTTGGGTGGCGTAGGTTTTAAGTCACACTTACAGATGAGGAAAAGTGAAGCTTCTAGAACTGCTGGGTGATGTGCATTCTGCATGCATGTTACACCAGAGCAGGGGGTGGAGTGGGACATGCGGGTCATGCCTACAGGAGACACAGGAACAGCAGGACAGCAGGGGACTCAAGGGACGTCCACGGGGCACCCTCGGATTCCACCTCCCTGCTGCGAAGCCACGGAGAGCTAGGATACGGGAGAGGAGCTGGGAGTGGAGGCCCCGCCCGGTCAGCCTCCTGCCGCTGTTCTACAGAAGGGGACTGGAAGCTACTGAGGAGAAGTGGAGCTGTGAGCGGCTTGCACCTCCCAGAGGCTTAGTCCAAAAACTTCCTGTTGGCATTGGCACCAAACAAGGCTCCCCGCACTTCTGGCATCATCTGCGAAAAACAATTTTCATAAATAGGCATGGTCGCTGGGGGGGAGGGGGAACGAGAACCGCACGCCGCCTGCAGAGGGCGCTGGCGGAGGCCCGCTCACCTGCTGGGCTATGAGGTCCAGCCGGCTTTCCAGGGTGTTGGACACCTTTATCTTGCGGTCCCCACTGTAGATCTCAACTCCACCAGCTCTGCAGAGAATGCAAGAATAGCTGCTTTTAGATCGGCAATTCACCTTTTACTCCCTCCAAGGAAGGCTGCTTTGGGCTGTGTGCACACACCAGTCAATTCAAAGGTAGTTACAGTGTCACACTGACACCAAACGACTGCTTGTGGGCATCAGACCTGTCACAGCCCCTAACCTATTTCTGGTGGCTTCCTTCCACATCGCAAGGATTGGGGAGATGCGTGGGGTTCCCTAAAAGGAACCCCATGGGGCTGAGAAAGTACCTCAGTGGTAGAGTGTTTGCCTTGCATGCATGAGGCCCTGGGTTTGAACTATGCCACAGACAAAACCATACATTAAAACCAACAAAAACCAGCTAGATGCTGGTGGCTCAACCCTGTAATCTAGCTACTTAGAGAGCTAAGATCTGAGAATCCTGGCTTGAAGCCAGCCCAGGCAGGTGAGTCTGTGTGACTTATCTCCAAGTAAGCAGCAAAAAGCCAGAAGTAGAGCTGTAGCTCAAGTGGCAGAGTGTCAGACTTGAGCAAAAAAGCTCAGGGACCGTGCTGAAGTCCCAGTACTGGCACACACACACACACACACAAAAGAGGCCTAACCCTGGCAATTCAGGATGCTGAGATCTGAGGACTGTAGTTCAAAGCCAGTTGAGTCAGAAAAGTCTGTGAGACTCTTATCTCCCAATTAACCAGCAAAGAGCCGTTAGATAGAGCTGTGGTCAAGTGGTAAAACGCTAACCTTGAGCAGAAAAAAGAGCCAAGGGACAGTGTCTGGGCCCCGAGTTCAAGCCCCAGTACTGGAGTGCATGCACACCTACACGAAAAAGGCACCGGGGGGCTGATGGCTTGCACCAGTGTCTCACATCTGTCATCCTAGCTACTCAGGAGGCTGAGATCTGAGGATCGCAGTTCAAAGCCAGCCCAGACAGGAAAGTTCATGAGACTCTTATCTCCAATGAACCACCAGAAAACTGGAAGTGGCGCTGGGGCTCATGTGGTAGAGCACTCACCTTGAGCTGAAGAGCTGAGGGACAGGGCCTATACCCAGAGTTCAAGTCCCACAACTGACAAAAAGAAAAGAGGCCAGAAGGCCAGCCATCCCCTGAGACAGAAGAGGTGCGACAGCAGGAAGTCCTTACATGTCCTCAGGCAGGTAGGCCTCCTGATCAATCTGGACATCAGCGTCTTTTTTGGTGGCAATCTTATACATCGGAATTGCTTTCTGCACTGCAGCCTGGGAAAAGCAGTGGAATCTTTTTAACAGATTTGGAAGCAGGTACGGCAAGCAAGCCAACAAAGCACACAAACAAGAACAGCTCTCCACTGGCAAAACTGCCACCCGGAGGCAGAGGGAGTGGGGAGGTCACTCTCCCTTTGGGGGGGGGGGGGGGGGGAGTCCGAGGCACCCTTGGACACGCAGGGTTGGAACGCAGGCTCCTGTGCCTGCCAGGCCCACATCCCCAGTCTGACTATTTTTCCTACAGGGTCTTATGTTCTTCCCAGCCAAGACTGCGCACACACCTATCATCCCAGCACTCAGGCTATGACTGGTCAGCCCCTGTCTCAACCAGAGACATGACAGGCTTCACTGAAGTTAGCACCGTGCGTGAGACGCCTCGGATTCCCACAAAGGCTGAGTTGTTGCCTTTCTGTTTTTATTCTGTTAGGTGCATAAACAGTATGTAATAGTTTTTAAAAAATGACTGATTGTATCAAGTAGTTTCACTGGTATTTCCAGAATGTCAAGTGCGTACCTTGACCAGAGGGAAGTCTTGCTTCCTGCAGCGCACAAACATCCGGGGCTCCAACAGCTGGTACAGGCCCTGGGGGAATCGAGCGGACTCATGAGCGGAAAACGCACACCACTCACTCAATAAACCCGCAGCACAATGCTGTCCTCCCGCCTATCAGGGGAAAGCACTGCTGCTCGACTTTGCAAAGACAGGACAGGACGAACAGACGGAGAGAAGATCCAGAAGTAATACAGCACACGACCAGGCCCAGCGCCCGGGCAAGGCTGAGGATGGACGTAAGTAGGACAGAGGCTGGCGTCCAGGCGTAAATGACTGCCGGGGGAACCATTCAGAATTCAGCTTGGGGAAATTGGAAGCAGATTTGGCCCGTAGGTTGTAAGGTCGTGTAAGAGTAGTAAGCCTGGAAGAGTGAGCCAACCAGACCTCACAGTCCTGACCAGCACATGGAAACCCGCGGCTGGGGGCTGGAGCGAGCTGGCACTGGGGCGCACCTGTAAGACCAGCCCATCCAGCAGCACTTGGTATCTGTTTGTATCCTTCACCACCTTGCTGAGTCTCTGTTTTGCCTCATTCAGCAGATCCTAAAGAAGTGGAAAAGAAGAGCATCACCTAAAACACTGCTCATGACCACCATCCACCTCAAATCCCGTCGGCAGGTTTTCATTCAACACATCCCAGGACACCTAACAAAGCAGATGCGGTACCCGTACAATGATATAATAAGGAAGCATCATCCTTCTTCTGGAAAGTTCAGTCTAGTGGAAGACTAGCTCAGGTGTCCACCAGTGCAGAAAACCATGTAAGTGACACACAGGAAAAACAATACAGTCTTAAAATGCAGGCTGCTACCCAGGCTTGCTTCTGAGTCTAGCTCTACTCAGGAGGCTGAAATTCACGGGATCTTGGTTGATAACTAACCTGGGCATAAAAGTCTGAAAGAATTCTTCTCTAAGCCATGCCGCTTACATCTGAGGCGGCTGAGATCTGAAGATGAAAGTCTGAAGCCAGTCCAAGCAGACAAATCTGTAGGAGACTCTCTATAGTTACCCAGCAAAAAGTCAGAAGTGGAGGTATGGCTCCAGTACGAGTGCTCTAGCCTAGAGCAGAAAGGTAAGGGGCGGACTGCACCCAGGCCCTGAGTTCAAGCCCTACAGAAAAATACCTAAATAGAGCCCAGCACCAGTGGCTCATGCTTAGGCTACTTAGGAAGCCGAGCTGTGAGGATCAACATTCAAAGCCAACCCAGGCAGGAAAGTCTGTGAGACTCATCTCCAGTTCACCACCAGAAAACCAGAAATGGTGCTGTGGCTCAATGTGGTAGAGTACTAGCTCTGAGCGAAAAAGCTCATGGACAGTGCCCAGACGAAGGGCAAGCCCTCTCAAAGAAAGAGCAGAAGAAATAAAATACACATAGATGAAAATACAGTGAGGGGCTGGGAAGGTGGCTCAGTGGTAGAGCACTTGCTTTGCATGCATGAGGCCCTGGGTTCGATTCCTCAGCACCACATAAGCAAAAAGAAAAAAGCCCGAAGTGGCGCTGTGGCTCAAGTGGTAGAGCGCTAGCCTTGAGCTGAAGAGCTGAGGGACAGCGCCCAGGCCCAGAGTTCAGGCCCATGACTGGACCCAAAAAAAAAATACAGTGAGCACTGATGGCTCTTATTTATTATTCATTCAATTTTTTTTTTCTTGGTCAGTTGTGGGGCCTGAACTCTGGGCCTAGGCGCTGTCCCTCAGCTCTTCAGCTTTCTACTAGTGCTCTACCACTTGAGCCTCAGCCCTACTTCTGGCTTTTTCTGCTTGTGTGGTGCTGAGGAACTGAACCCAGGGCCTCATGCATGCAAGGCAAGCACTCTACCACTGAGCCATCTTCCCAGCCCCTTATTTATTTTGCCCATCCTGGGGCCTGAATTCTGGGCCTGGGCGCTGTCCCTCAGCTCTTCAGCTCAAGGCTAGCGCTCTACACTTGAGCCACAGCGCCACTTCCGGCTTTTCCTGCTTATGTGGTGCTGAGCAATCAAACCCAGGGCCTCATGCATGCAAGGCAAGCGCTCTACCACGGAGCCACCTTCCCAGCCCCTGATGGCTCATATTTAGAATCCTAGCTATTCACGAGGCTAAGGTCTGAGAATCATGATTCTGAGTCAGCCTGGGAAAGGTACTTAACTCCAATTAACTAGCAAAAGGCTAGAAGCAGTGGTGCTACGTAAGTGGTAGAGCTCTGGCCTAGGAAGCTCAAATCCCTAAGTTCAAATCCTAGTATCATACACACAAAAAAGTACCTGACCTATCGTGGAAAGGATGGGGAAGGGTTAGCACTGGAGGAAGTTGGTCAGGGAACGGGCTCCACCAGTTAATTTAACTGTGTTCCCTTGTTCAATCCTGCTTGTTTGGTGTGAGTCAGTGTCTTAACACAGAGCCTTGGCCAGCTTGGACTTGCAATCCTCCTGCCTCTCTCCAAACTGCTGCAATGACATATGTGCATCCCCGTTCCCAGCCCATTCAACCCTCTTATTTAGTCCTGCACACCAAGTGCCTTAATCGACAGACAAAAGAGGAAATGTGGAGTCAGTAATAGTTAGCTGGCTGCTCCGTGAGCTCTTCTACTGCAAATACTTTCCCCAGGCACACAGCTTAAAAGTTTCCCCTCTCGAGTATGATCCGTCCAGCCCTGTGCGCATACCTCTAACGCTGGCACTAGGAAGGCGGGGGCAGAAGTCATTGGTGAGACCCCATGTAAAAACCCAACCCTTGAGTCTTAACCAAGGATTGCCTGTGAGGGCAGGTGAGTGCACACTGCACCAAAGTAGAAGCCCTTCTTGGTAACTCACAGTGATGAGGTCGTCTCTAGCTCGGAGGACCTTCAGCCTTGCTTGATTCATCAAATTGGACATCTGACTGCAAAAGGTATGGAAGCATTGTCAGGGTGGCATACAATACAAAAGCTGTAGAGAGACAACAGCTTCCTATGCATGTGCCATGAAGAGCTCCTAAATACCCGTCTATTGGTCAAGAGAGCACCACTGAGTTAACCTTGGTGGTTCCTCCCAACATATTTTTTTTTGGTTAGTTCTGGGGCTTGAACTCAGGGCCGGGGCGCTGTCCCTGAGCTTCTTTTGTTCAAGGCTAGCGCTCTGCCACTTGAGCCACAGCATCACTTCCGGCTTTCTCTGTGTCTGTGGTGCTGAGGAGTTGAACCCAGGGCTTCATGCGTGCGTGGTGAGCACTCTACCGCTGAGCCACCTTCCCAGGCCCAAGTTATTTTCAAACGGAGAGACTTGGGAGTGGTCAAGATTGGGTCTGGGTTTCCACAGACATTTAGTCTTTCCACAATATGGTCACAAGGACAACGGGGAAAGAAAGCTAAACAACTTGCCTAAGGACAGGTTAAGCAGTCGGTGGCCCAGTTAAGACCTGCACTCCAAAGCTGTCTGTCTCTTATCCATTAACCTTTTCTTTCGGGGGCAGTGGATGCCGGGGATGGGACTGTGTGCCTGCTAGCAAGTGCTTTGCTGCTGGGTTACACCCAGGTCCTACACTTCATTTGGCTTTTGAAACCCTCGTTAGCTTAATGAAGGTTACATTTTCTTTTGCTGCTCGATCTGCTTTTCTTTCTTCTCATAGTACTCCATAATCTTCAGTCTCTGGGTCTGCACGAGACGCCCTTTCTCAATGTTGAATTCTTCTTCGGCCTACAGCACAAAATGAATTAGCATTAGTCCTCTACGAGAGATGCCAGTGCTTTTCATTTTAAGCACCTGCTGACTGAGATCCTTGCCTACGCGCACTCATCCCGTTTCTAAACCAGAAAATGTATTGTGATGCCAGGTTTTCAAAGATGATCTCTCGTTTATTCAGATGAAAAAGACTAGCGACTGTTACTCTCAGCCATGAATCGGGAAACTCGGGTTGTGACCAAGGACCATTGTAGCAGCCCTTCGTTTATTGGGTTTGAGCGTAGAGCTTTGTGCTCACCGGGCAGGCACTCCACCGCCTACGCCCTTCTGGCACTGCTTGCGTTTGGGCGAGGGTCCCTCTGGGTTATAGTCCTCATCCGACCTGTGTTGCTCTACGTGGCTGCACCACTACACCAGCCACTGTGCTTTTCCCAGGGTTTGTTGTGACGGGCCTGCGTCACCTGCCCAGTCATTGGTCAGAATGTAAGCTCTCCAATTCAGTGTGTGTGTGTGTGTGTGTGTGTGTGTGTGTGTGTGTGTGTGTGTGTGTGTGTGTGTGTGTGTGTGTGTGTGTGCGCGCCCAAGTTTAGTCTCCATACCATTTAAAGTATGACAGAACCGCTGTTCTTAACTCATTGTGATGCTCCCTGGATCATCCATTCTTTCATTTTTGAGACAGTCTTGCTAGCCTCGGCTAACGTTCTGCCACAGCCCTCCTGAGTGCCCAGATTACAGGCATGCACTGCACTTTTTTCTTACTAGTGGACTAATGAAAAAAAAAAAAAAAAAAAACCCACAAAATTTGAGCTACTACCTGTGAAGTCTGTTACTAAAAACTCAGTCTGAGAATACTATCTTGTAAGATGGAGTTGTATTTGCCATGAATTTAACAACTGTTAACAGTCTTTTATAATTTATAAATGCCTTAGAGCTTATTTCTGTTATTATTGCCAGTCCTTGGGCATGAACTCAGGACCTAGCTCCTGTCCTTGATCCTCTCTGTGCTCAAGGCTAGCACTCTACCACTTGAGCCACAGCGCCACTTCTGGCTTTTTCTGTTTATGTAGTACTGAGGATTCGAATCCAGGGCTTCATGTATGCTAGGCAAGCCTCTAGCCCTCTCCTATGGGAAATAAATGTAGTTGTTGTTAATGCTCTACAAAGCTCGATGGTATGAAAGTTCGTAACTTAAAACCAGAAAACGGATCTCACCTTTGCATCGATTTCTTCTGCTTTCTCATTGGCTTCTTGTTCAATAAAAGCCATCATGTGCTTAATCTGTTAGGAAAAAGAGCAATATTTGAATTCTTATTTGGAACTATGATGTCTAACTTTCCTGATTCACTACTTTTTAAACTTTTAATTGTCAGTTGTGGGGGCTTGTAGGTGCTATCCCTAAGCTTTTTCTCTCAGGGCTTAGCACTCTACCACTTGGAGCCACAGCTCCACTTTTGGCTTTTTGGTGGCTAATTGAAATGAAGAAACTCACAGAATTTCCTGCTCGGGACTGGCTTTGAATGATCTTTCTCAGATCTCAGCCTCTTGAGTACTAGGATTACAGGCCTGGGCCACCAGTGCCTGGCCTGTGTGCGATTTTTGAAGTGGTTTAAGTAGGGGAGGGAGTGTAGCTCAGTGGTACGGAGCTTGTTTGAGAGGTCCAGAATTCCTTTTCTAGCACAAGGAGAAGGGGGTAAAAAGAGCTATTCTAAATACAGTAATCAGAACTGGTGTTTCTAAATGCTACAAGACCACAAGACCTGTGAACGCTGACTCAAACCTGTATTATCCTTCCCCATGGCCTGTGCTGGAACCTCAGCTACCAGATTTAACTGGATCAGCCTGGCCTGGGGCAGAAGGCACTCTCTCATTAAGGCAGGTCAGGTCAGAGAGGCCTATTTACAGTCAACAAGAGTTCCAAGAGATCAACCCCTTAAGTACAGGAACTCTGCCCCCAAAGCAGAAAAACCAGACCTTCAAAACATACCTTACTTCTTTTGGCTAACAGAGTAATTGTTTTGAAGTCAGATTCTTTCAAATTTTAGGGGGTTGCAATACTGGGGATTAAATCCGGCGGCTTAAGCTTGCCTAGTGAGCTATGTGCCCTTTGGGTCTTATTTCTTTTATTTATTTATTTTGTGGGGATTGAATTCAGGGGCTCATAATTACCCAGGTGCTCTGCCATTACAGCCATGCCTCTGGTCACTTGTTTTTAGTTTGTTTTTGAGCAGGGGTGTAATTTCTGCTCTAGTCAGCGTCCTTCTAACTGCAATCCTCCTAGACAGCAGCAATGACAGGTGTATACCACCACCACGCCCAGCTGAAAGTTTAGTACAGTAAATGACCATCCCCAACAGCCAAATGATTGTAGAGAGCTTGCCTGTCACGTGTGAAACCCTGGGTTTGCAGGCCAGCACCATAAAAACAGTACTCACATATTTAATGCAAGGGAAAAAATCCCAAGGAATCGAAGTATTAAGGAGGTAGTATGTGCTTAACACTCTTAAGGCTGAAAATATTAAGGCTCTCACTTGTAATACTCACTACTGAGGCAGCAAAAGTCATGTGGTCCAGCCTCAAAGCCAGCCCTAGCAGAAAAGTCCATCAGATTCTACTTCCAATTAACTAGCAAAATGCTAGACTGAAGGCATGCTTCAAACACTAAAGAACCACCCAGCAAGGTCTAGGCTTGGAGGCCAATCTGAGTACCACCAAAACCTATTGTAGGGCTGGGAAGTAGTTCAGTGGCAAAGCACTTGCCTGGTAAATGTAGCTGGGGACCAAAATAGAAAAAAAAAAATGTAGTACTACTTCCCTCTCTCACCCCTGTTGTGAGGCCTGAACTCTGGGCCTGGGCTCTGTCCCTCAGCTCTTCAGCTCAAGGCTAGTGCTCTACCACTTGAGCCACAGCACCACTTCTGGCTTTTTCTGCTTATGTGGTGCTGAGGAATCGAACCCAGGGCCTCAGGCATGCAAGGCAAGCGCTCTACCACGGAGCCACCTTACCAGCCCTCAATTCCATTTTTTCTGACAGTTAATTGAAGAATCTCACAGACTTTCCTGCCTGGGCTGGCTTTGAACCGAGACCCTCAGAACTCAGCCTACTGAGCAGCTAGGATTATTGTTGTGAGCCGCTGTACTACTTCTTAACCTGTGTGTGTGTGTGTGTTATGTACGTTGATCCTGGGGCTTAAAATCAGGGTCTGTTCTTGAACTTTTTTTGTTCAAAGCTGGTGTTTTCCCACTACTCCTTGCTTTGTGGTGGTCAATTGGAGAGGAGTCTTACAGACCTTCCTGGGCAGACTTTAGCTCAGCCCAAGAAGAGAAAAAAGAAAGACCTTACTGCTCAGTACATATTCAGTTGAGAATAGCATGAAGACGTATAGATGGAAACACAGAAGGAAAAAAAGGACATTATCCTACTCATCTTCGACTCATAAACCAGTGAGTGTCCGTTAGTCAGAATTTTCCCAGTACTTGGTTTAAAAAAAAAAAAAAAAAAAGAGGACTTAGTTCCCTAAACTATGCAGATACTAAAACCTGCAGCCTTTCTTTTTATGGAAGAAGCACAGGCGGGCGAGTTACTAAATGCAAGGCCCTGGCTGCCGGAGGTGCAGTGGCAAAGCCAACCGAAGACACTTTTTGTCTAGCTATCTGTCTATCCGCCACCGCGTCCCCTCCCAGTCCCGTGCCTTAAAAGAGCCTGTCACCCCGGCTCCTCAGGAGACTGCGAGCCGAGGCCTGCGGTCCGAGGCCAGCCTGGGCCCGGGAGGCTGCGAGCCGGGGCCGGCGGTCCCCCGAGGCTGGGGGTCGGCACTGCGCTCGGCTCCGTGCTGCCCGCCCAGCGCCGCTGGCCCCGGGGCTCCCCGCAGTCGGGGCTGTGGACGGGCTCACGCGGACGTGCGGGGTGCGGGCCGCCCCAGGCCGCGGGGTGCGGGGCCGCCCCAGGCCGGGGGTTGCGGGGTGCGGGGCCCGCGGGGTGCGGGATGCGGGCTGCCCAGGCCGGGGAGTGCGGGATGCGGGCTGCCCCAGGCCGGGGGGTGCGGGGTGCGGGGCCCGCGGGGTGCGGGATGCGGGCTGCCCAGGCCGGGGGGTGCGGGGTGCGGGATGCGGGCTGCCCAGGCCGGGGGGTGCGGGATGCGGGCTGCCCCAGGCCGGGGGGTGCGGGGTGCGGGGCCCGCGGGGTGCGGGATGCGGGCTGCCCCAGGCCGGGGGGTGCGGGGTGCGGGGCCCGCGGGGTGCGGGATGCGGGCTGCCCCAGGCCGGGGGGTGCGGGGTGCGGGGCCCGCGGGATGCGGGATGCGGGCTGCCCCAGGCCGGGGGGTGCGGGGTGCGGGGCCCGCGGGATGCGGGATGCGGGCTGCCCCAGGCCGGGGGGTGCGGGGTGCGGGGCCCGCGGGATGCGGGCTGCCCCAGGCCGGGGGGTGCGGGGTGCGGGGCCCGCGGGGTGCGGGATGCGGGCTGCCCCAGGCCGGGGGATGCGGGGTGCGGGGCCCGCGGGGTGCGGGCTGCCCCAGGCCGGGGGGTGCGGGGTGCGGGGCCCGCGGGGTGCGGGATGCGGGGTGCCCCAGGCCCGCGCTCGGCCCGGCCCCACGGCGGCGCCAGCCCCGGCGCTCACCTGCTTCTGCACGTCAGCATCGCTGAGGGCCATGGCGGAAGCGAGGCGAGGACGGGCGGGCGGACGACCGGATTCAAGACCGAAGGCCGGGCGGGCGGGAGACGCAAACCCGGCGCAGCTTCCGGCTCCCCTTCCTTTATTATACCTCCGACTTCCGGCTCCTGGCAGGTGACCGGGAAGCCCGAGTCTCCCCAGCCAATGAAAGGGCCCCGGAAGTCCCGCCCTCGCCGTGCCTTAGCCCGCCTCCTCCCTTCCTGCAGGGCGCATGCGCCGCGCCCGCGGGCGCCCGGGCCGGCTTCTGGGCTCGTCTCGGGGTCGGTGCGCGCGCCGCGCTCTGCACCGGTCAGGGGGTTCGTCCACAAGCCAGGGTTAGAGAGAGAGGAACTTCCGCTCCCAGGAAGCGGGCCCGGGGCGGGCCGGCGCCGAGGCGTCGGGCGCCTTCCCCCAGCGCCGCGGCCTCGAGTGTGGCCTCGGCCGGAGCTGCCATCGCTGCCCGCCTGGGTCGGCCCCGTGCGCAGCGCCCCAGCCCGCGCTGCCCGCCTGGGTCGGCCCCGTGCGCAGCGCCCCAGCCCGCGCTCCCCGCCTGGGTCGGCCCCGTGCGCAGCGCCCCAGCCCGCGCTCCCCGCCCCAGCCCGCGCTCCCCGCCCCAGCCCGCGCTGCCCGCCCCAGCCCGCGCTCCCCGCCTGGGTCGGCCCCGTGCGCAGCGCCCCAGCCCGCGCTCCCCGCCTGGGTCGGCCCCATGCGGAGCGCCCCAGCCCGCGCTGCCCGCCCCAGCCCGCGCTCCCCGCCTGGGTCGGCCCCGTGCGCAGCGCCCCAGCCCGCGCTGCCCCGCCGGGCCTCGGCCTCGTGCTTCGCGTGGGATCTGCGACTGGTGCTTGGAACTTGCTGGCACGCGTTTGCCTGGTTCACACTGCTGTCTGTGTTGAGAAGTCTCCTCTCCCCCTCGCTTCTCCAACTTTTTTTTTTTTTAGTCGGTCATGGGGCTTGAACTCTGGGCCTGGGCACTGTCCCTGTGCTCTTCAGCCCAAGGCTAGCGCTCTACTGCTTAAGCCACAGCACCACTTCCACTTCTCCAACTTTCTAAGCAAATGTTCCACCGCGGAGCAGTGTCCTGTGCTATTATCAATAGGTGATCAGATCCCTATTATATTATCAATAGATGATCAGATCCCTTTTGTATTATCAATAGATGATCAGATCCCTTTTATATTATCAATAGATGATCAGATCCCTTTTACTTTTAGCTCTTTGCTGGTAGCATGAGGCTTGAACTCGGGATTTTTGAATTTACTAGGGCTTGTTTGCTTATCTCTGGCACTCTACCACCCGAGCCGTGCCTCCCGCCCACCTTTTTGTGCTGGCTTACTGGAGATAATAGATCTTAGACTTTTCTTCCTGGCGGTTAAGATTTGAGGACTGTGGTTCAAAGATAGCACAGCTGAGTTTTGCCCAGCCAAATTGTTCAGCTGTAGTGTCCAGTGCTCTCTGCTAGTGTTCTTGGACGTACAAGAATGAAACCAGGAAACCACTTAGCACAGTTGTAGAGAAAGGCCACTCAGCAAGCAGGACTTGTAAGTCAAGTGACTAGGGACTGGCTGTTTTGTATTGTCCCTTCCCACCTCTTTGAGTCAGCCACAGAATGGTGTCTTGATGGAAGGCTGGTCTCAGTTACAGAGGGAGGGGCCCAAGACCCTCTCACAGGTGGTTGTTGGGGGTGGGCGGGGGGGGGGGGGGGGGGGGGGGGGGGGGGAGATGGCTTGAACGATGGCTGATTGGTGTTTTCCTTGAGCAGGATTAAGCTTGGTATATATGACTACAAAGATTGGTAATGTTGGCTCAGGAGAGAGTTTTCCCACAGGGCATTATAGTAACAGGACAACGGAAGCTGGTGTGGCTCAAGTGGTAGAGGTCAGAGCAGCGCAAGGCCCAAGTGGAGGCACCAGCACAAGAGCTAAAATCCCCAGGACAACAGAAACAACTTGATCAGCGTTCCAGCTCATCTGCTTCCAGGACTGGGCCTGCTAACACCACAGGCCAGGACCTGGTGGCAGTCTCATTTGGACCGCAATCCTGTTTTATCTTGACCATGCTCTGCCAATGACTGCGCTTGAGGTCGTGCAACAGGAGTGTAAGGCCGGAAGCTAAATTGTTTATGAAATGAATGGCTGAAATGGATGCGGCACGGTCTAAATCAACTGTGCTGGGAAGCTGGCGGCCATTATTGCTTTAAAACATTAGAAAAATAATGGAATAATTAAAACGACCCACAATTCATCTCTTTGTGTGTTCACTGTGTGAGGCCCAAGCTGGCAGGGGAGGCAGGCAATACATGCAAACACTGCAGGGCTTGAACCTGACACCTTTTAATGAATAGGAGGAGGGCTTTCATCATGGTCACGCGGCGTTCCCCGGGAGGGGAGGGCGGAGAGGGGCCGGGTGCCATTCCCCAGCGCGCACCGGGGAGGACCCGGCTTCTACAACTACTTCCTTTTTTTTTTTTTTTTTTTTTTTTGGGTCCGGTCGTGGGGCCTGAACTCTGGGCCTGGGCGCTGTCCCTCAGCTCTTCAGCTCAAGGCTAGTGCTCTACCACTTGAGCCACAGTGCCACTTCCAGCTTTTTTCTTTTTGCTTATGTGGTGCTGAGGAATCGAACCCAGGGCCTCAGGCATGCAAGGCAAGTGCTCTACCTCTGAGCCACCTTCCCAGCCCTAGAACTACTTCCTAAGACGTAAAAACCCATGTGATCCTGGGGGCTCTTCACCCCCATCCTGTGTCCGTCGTGGTGTAGGCCGCTGACTGGCTAAGTGCACACTTAGCCAAATGCCTTCTTCCAGTGCAGGGGTGGAGGAGGAGGGCCGTGCCCAATTATCCAAACAGTCAGGCCGGCCTTGCATCTTCATCATCATCGTCATCATCACCATCACCATCTTCATCATCATCATGGTCATCATCATCACCATCTTCATCATCACCATCTTCATTGTCATCATCACCCTCTTCATCATCATCGTCATCATCACCATTTTCATCATCATCATCACCATCTTCATCATCAACATCGTTACCATCTTCATCATCATCTTCATCGTCATCATCACCACCATCATCATCTTCATCATCCATCGTCACCTCTTCATCATCTTCATCATCATGGTCATCTTCATCATCATGGTCATCTTCATCATCATGGTCATCTTCATCGTCATCACCATCGTCATCGGGTTACGGGTGCTCCCGCTCGGCCTCGCGCCCTGGGCGGGGCGCACCGCCCCCCGAGCCTCACCTCCGCCCGGGTCCCGCCCGGACGCCGGCCCAGGGCCGCGGAACTCCGGCCCACGGACCGCATCCCCGGCCGACGGCCGACACGCGAGCCCGGACCGCGCGGAGCGCGGGTGTCCCCGCGACCGGAAGTGGCTTGGACAGGGCACTTCCGGCCCTCAGGTCGGCCGCTCGGCGCCGAAACCACCTCTGTGGCTTGTACTTCCGCCGCTCCTACACACAGGCCTGCCCCTTCCGGCTTCAGACCCGCCCACTCGCCTGCCCCTTCCGGCCCCGCCCCTGACGCTGGCGGTGACGGAAGCGCGGCGGGGTGACCTCACGCTCCAAGATGGCGGCGGCGGTAGATTAGAGCCGCGGGCTGAGGCAGACGCGGCCGCCGCGGAGCCTGTGGAGGGGAGCGCGGCCGCGCTAGCGCCAGGTCGGTCTCTCCGGGGCCCGGGGCCGGGTGAGGGGCCGCGGGGGCCGGGGCGGTGAGGGGCCGCGGGGCGGTGAGGGGCCGCGGGGCGGTGAGGGGGCGCGGGGCGGTGAGGGGCGCGGGACGGTGAGGGGCCGCGGGGGCCGGGTGAGGGGCCGGGGCGGTGAGGGCCGCGGGACGGTGAGGGGCCGCGGGGGCCGGGTGAGGGGCCGCGGGACGGTGAGGGGCCGGGGCGGTGAGGGCCGCGGGGCGGTGAGGGGCCGCGGGGCGGTGAGGGGCCGCGGGACGGTGAGGGGCCGCGGGACGGTGAGGGGCCGCGGGGCGGTGAGGGGCCGCGGGGCGGTGAGGGGCCGCGGGGCGGTGAGGGGCCGCGGGGGCCGGGTGAGGGGCCGCGGGGGCCGGGACGGTGAGGGGGCCGGGACGGTGAGGGGCCGCGGGACGGTGAGGGGCCGCGGTGCGCCCGGGTCAGGCCGCCAGCCCTGCGCGCCGCGCGGCCCCGGCCCGGGCAGGCCCTGCTGCGCTCCCGCACCTGGCTGGCCCCCGGGCAGGCCCTGCTGCGCTCCCGCACCTGGCTGGCCCCCGGCCGCCTGAGCCACACTTGTAGCCTGGGCGGCCAAGAACCCAGAGCCGCCCCGCTGCCCCCGCTCCCACGCCTCAGGACAGGGGTCTGCCTCTGTTAGTGCGCGCCACCCTTCCAGGAGGCTCTTAGGGCTTTGTGGTTGTTGTTGTGTTGTTTTCTTACTGATGTTGGATTACGGTCCAGCAAGAGTAGCTAATGAAGGAAACAAAGTCATTTTCTCTCCAGAAAAAAGAAATTCATGAACACAAGGTGCATTAGGGTTTCATAGAGCCCAGCGTGCAGATATTGTTAAAATATTGTAGGTCTTTTGGGACAAAAAGGAAGGTAGCGTTTCTTCCCATACAGCTGTTGTTTACACTTGCTGAGTTAGTAATCCTCTTAAACCAGTCTTCAGTCCATATCAGATTCCTTGACTTTCATTTTACTATATGCTTCTACAGAAAGTTCCTGTCTGGTTTTTAAAAAAAATTTTTTTTTGGGGGGGGGGGGCGGTCATGGGGCCTGAACTCTGGGCCTGGGTGCTGTCCCTCAGCTCTTCAGCTCAAGGCTAGCGCTCCACCACTTGAGCCACTTTTCCAGCCCCTCTGTTTTTTTTTTAGTCTATTGTTTTTTGCTTGTGTGTTTGTTTGTTTTCTATTTTGGTAGTATTGGATTTCAACACCTGAGGCTCAACCAGGTAAAAACTTGGAGCTACTACTTGAAAAATAAGACAAAAAGGTTAGGGGATGACTAGCAAGCACCAGAACTTGAGTTCAAACCACAGTACTGCTTAGACGCTTTTATCCTAGCCTACTGGAGACGTGTTATTCTGAAGTTAAGATAACTGGGATCCAGAGCTTGTGCTTAGTAAGAGGGCCACACCTCTCAGTTGTTCGGTTGTTATGTGGACCTGATATTCTATCTACTACTGTTTTTCCTTTTTTGGCCTGGGCTGGCTTTGAGCGGTGACCCTCCAGCCCTCAGCCTTCTGAGTAGCTAGGATTATAGACAGGAGCCACCCAGCATCCATTTTTTTGTTGATTTTGCATTTTTTTATACTTTATTTCTTGTTTATTTAGTACCAAGGGACTGATCCCAGGGTCTCGGGCATGTTAGGCAAGCACTATACTACTGAGCGCCCTCCCAGCCCCTCCAATTCTTTTTTAATTTTTAAAAATTTTTCTGAAGATTGAACCCGGGGACTTGCCCATGCTGAGCATGTATTGTTTGTATGTATTGTTCGTATTGGTTTGTATTCTACTGCAAACCCAGACCAAAAGGTGAATTTTTTTTTTTTTTTGCTGGTCGTGGGGCCTGAACTTTGTGCCTGGGCTCTGTCCCTCAGCTCTTCAGCTCAAGACTAGTGCTCTACCACTTGAGCACCACCTCCAGCCTTTTCTGCTTATGTGGTAATGAGGAATTGAACCCAGGGCCTTATCATGCAAGGCAAGCACTACTACTGAGCTACCTTCCCAGCCCAACAGGTGAACTTTTTAAGAATAGCCGGTAGCCTGACGCACTACAATATGACTTCTATTTCATTGTTTCAGACTAGCCATTTAGTACATTAAGCTGAAAAAAAAAATTGGAGCATGTAGTATGTAGCTGTGTGGTCCTGGGCCTGGATAAGAATTTAGGGGGCCTTGTTACTAAAAGAGAATAGAGGCTGGGCACCAGTGGCTCACGCCTGTAATCCTCGCTACTCAGGAAACACAGATCTGAGGATTGCAGTTCAAAGCCAGCCTGGGCAGGAAAGTTCATGAGACTCTTATCTCCAACAAACCACCAGAAAACTGAAAGTGGCACTGTGGCTCAAGTGATAGAGTGCTAACCTTGAGCTGAAGAGCTGAGGGACAGTGCCCAGGCCCAGAATTCAAGCCCCATGACTGGCAAAAAAAAAGGAGAGGCTAGTGTGATGGCACATACCTGTAATCCCAGCACTTGGGGTATGCAGGAAGCATTCAAGTTCAAGGCCATCTTTAGGTACAGAACAAAAGAAAAGGTACGCTTGCATCTGCATCCTGTACTGTCTCTGTCATTTAACTCACTGATGTCAAGATCCACTTACAAAACTGCTTCTCCCTACCTAAGAAGGTTTATAGCCAGAACGGGGGTCCTTCTTTGGGACTGGTGTGGCCCTGATTTGAAGAAGGAAACATTGATTCATCTCTTCTCCACCTCCTTCCTCCTGTTTGAGGTCCTGCCCCTACCTTCTCTTTAAGCAATATGTTCCTAGAGCGTTTTATACCTTTCTTACAATTTATAAGTTAATCCTTCAATCTAGAGCTAGATCTGTTTTACTATGTTGACACTAAGCTCGTAGAGAGCAAGGTTAAGAGTCCCGAAATGATTATTGATTTGAATAACTGTATGTAGCTTTCCTTTTTCATGCAGAAGACAGATAGTCTTGAGTGCAGCAAGTTTCAGATGCTATGATATTTTAGTAGGGAAAATTGCTGGGAAGATTTTAGGAGTGGCAGAGGAAAGGACTGGTGGGACCCCCTCCACCCCACGTTCTGTAGCTAAGGCCTACTCTACCTCAGTCTCTACATCTTTCCTCTTTTGTTTTTTTTTTCCAGTCCTGGGGCTTGAACTCGGGGTCTGGGCGCTGTCCCTGAGCTTCTTTTGCTCAAGACTAGCACTGGGCCTTGAGTGCATTGCACTCTTGCTGGCTAGATTGCTTGTGGCTGTTGTTCTACCACTGAGTCATGTCTTTAGCCTTTTCTGGTTGGTTGGAGATGGGTCTCTCAGACTTCTCAGTCCTAGCTGGCTTTGATCTGAGAGTCTCCAGATTTTCTTTTTTTTTTTTTGCTGGGTCATGGGGCCTGAACTCTGGGCCTGGGCACTGTCTCTCAGCTCTTCAGCTCAAGGCTAGCACTCTACCACTTGAGCCACAGCGCCACTTCCAGCTTTTTCTGCTTATGTGGTGCTGAGGAATTGAACTCGGGGCCTCATGCATGCAAGGCAAGCACTCCACCATTGAGCCACCTTCCCAGCCCCTCCTGATTTTCTTGAATGAGAATAAAGGAAAGAGGAGAATATACACTGAGGTGGCTACAGGGTGCTGCATATTGTCCACCAAGATGAAAGTAGAGAAGGAAAAAGAAAGAGAAATTTACTTTTAGTTTATAAAACCTGAGTAAGGTAAATTGCTGCTTATATGTAAATTAAGTTGCATTTTGAAAAATGACTGGGCTGGGAAAGTGGCTTAGTGGTTAGAGCGCTTGCCTTGCATGCCTGAGGCCCTGGGTTGGATTCCTCAGCACCACATAAGCAAAAAGAAAAAAGCCGGAAGTGGCGCTATGGCTCAAGTGGTAGAGCACTAGCCTTGAGCTGAAGAGCTGAGGGACAGCACCCAGGCCCAGAGTTCAGGCCTCACGACCGGACCCAAAATAAATAAATAAATAAAAATGACTACAAAGAGAAGCCTGAAGCATTTTTTTGGTAATTAGTTGAATTATTGGAATCAATGGAGGGAAAATGTACTGCCATCTAATAACCTTGAGAGTGAAAAATACCCTTTTATGTTCTTAGGCTTTAAACATCTGTGAAGACCTCTTGGGAGCTCTACCGACCGATTCAATGGCGTCCTCTGCTACGGTGCCTCTGGGGTTTCACTACGAGACGAAGTATGTTGTGCTCAGCTACTTGGGGCTCCTTCCTCAGGAGCATCCCGGCTCCTCACCCCAAGGTAGGCCCTTTGACTTGTCAGCTAATTGTAAGGACCTGACATGAAGGAGTATTTGTATCTAAGCACTGTAAATGTATAGGACCAAAGTCGAGTAATAATTGTAGGTTTATAGAGAACAGTCCCCTCTCTATCCCTTTCACTTTTCTAGTCACTTCCAGAAGCAACTACTTCTAATGTTTATGGGAGCTTCATATTTGAAGTGATTGCAATTAATATAGGTAAAAGTGCTGTTTACATGAAAAATATAAAAGCCATACTTAGACTTCATACTTATGTGACCTGGTTGAGATACCATAATTTTGTGTGTGTGTGTGTGTGTATGTATGTGCACACGCTTATGTCAGTTCTCAGCTTGAACTCAGGGCCTGGGCATTGTCCCTGAGTTTTTTAAAAGCTCAAGGTTTGCCCTCTCCCACTTGAGCCATAGCTCTACTTCTGGGTTCTTGGTTACTAACTAAAGATAGTCTCATGGACTTTCCTTCCCCAGGCAGCTTATAACTGCCATCCTCAGATCTCAGCCTCCTGAGTAACTAGATAACAGGTGGGAGCCACCAGCACCTGGATGGTTGTTTTTTAATTTTGGTTTGTCCTGGGGCTTGAACTCAGTACCTCCTGCACTCTTTCATGAATGACTGTCCACGAATGACTCTACCACTTGAGCTACACCTCTACTCCTGGCTCTTTTGCTAGTTGTTTGGAGATCAGAGTCTCTGGGATTCGCTTCCTGTACTGGCTGTGAACCTCAGTCCTTAGATCTCTGTCTCCTGAGTAGCTAGGGTCCAGCTGTTGTCCAACTGCAGTGTGGTTTTATACCTGGGATTCATTCCGTATATCTGTCTCTTCATGCCAAGCTGGTTTTTTTAAAATTTATTTTTAATTGTGAAAATACTGTACAGAGGGGTTAGAATTACATGGGAAAGATAATGAGCACATTTCTTATCAAGCATTGTAGCCTCCTTTGTTTCCCCTTCCAATCCCATCCTCCCCCCCCCCCAACCCTCCCCCCTCAACCCCCCTACCAAGCTGTTTTTGTTACTTGGACTCTGGTATGTAATTTTTTTTTTTTTTTTTTGCCAGTCATGGAGCCTGAACTCTGGGTCTGGGCGCTGTCCCTCAGCTCTTCAGCTCAAGGCTAGCGCTCTACCACTGGAGCCACAGCGCCACTTCCGGCTTTTTCTGTTTATGTGGTGCTGAGGAATCGAACCCAGGGCCTCATGCTTGCAAGGCATGCACTGTACCGCTGAGCCACCTTCCCAGCCCCTCTGCTATGTAATTTGAATTCTGCTACTGTGGTATCTCCAGCATGATGCTCTTTACCTAGTTACTTTTGCCTCCTGTGAATTTTTTTTGTCTATTTCTGTGAAGAATAACATTGTGATTTGGGATAATGTGTTGAATCTATAGGTTACTTTTGACATTTTCATATTTTGCCCGTTGATGAACAGCCCATAATTTTTGTATGTTGAACCAGCTTTGCATGCTGGGGCTAATTTTTGGGATGATTCTTTTTCATATATTGTGGGATTAGCTTTTCCAGTACTCAGCTGAGGATTTTTGCATCAGTTAATAAGAAATGTTGGTCTGTAGTGTCTTATAATCTCTTGGACCGAGTTTGATATTTGGCTAGTGCTGGACTCATGGGCCAAGTTACTGCCTAGCCTTCTACTTTCTGAAAGAGATTTTAGAATAGGTATGACTTCTTATTTATTTACTTGTTTTTTATTTTTATTTTTTTGGTCTGTCCGGGAGCCTGAACTCTGGGCCAGGGCAATGTCCCACAGCTCTTTAGCTCAAGGCTAGCGCTCTACCACTTGAGCCACAGGGCCACTTCCGGCTTTTTCTGCTTATGTGGTCCAGAGGAATCGAACCCTGGGCCTCATGCATGACAGATGGAACACTCTACCACTGAGCCACCTTCCCAGCCCTATTTTTTTTTTTCTTTTTTTTTTTTTTTGGGTCCGGTCGTGGGTCCTGAACTCTGGGCCTGGGCGCTGTCCCTCAGGTCTTCAGCTCCAGGCTAGCGCTCTACCATTTGAGCCACAGCGCCACTTCCGGCTTTTTTCTTTTTGCTTATGTGGTGCTGAGGAATCGAACCCAGGGCCTCGAGCATGCAAGGCAAGCGCTCTACCACTGAGCCACCTTCCCAGCCCCCCTATTTTTTAATTTTATTTATTTTTTGGCTGATCTTGGGGCTTGAACTGAGGGCCTAGGCGCTATCCATGAGCTTCCTTGTGCTCAAGGCTAACACCCTGCCATTTGAGCCATTGCACCACTTCTGGCCTTTTCTGAGTAGTTTATCAGAGATAAGAGTCTCAGGGACTTTCTGGCCAGGGTTGGCTTTGAACCTAGATACTCAGATCTCCGCCTCTTGAGTAGCTAGGCTTACAGGCGTGAGCCACCCATGCATGGCATGGTGGTACTGTAGCTTGAACTTGGGGTCTCACTTTCACTCAGGTTGCTTACTCATAGTGGAGTCTTCCAGTTGAACCATACCCCTAGTCTGGCATCTTGCTGGTTACTTGGAGATGGAATCCCCAGGACTCTTTATTCCCTCTGACTTTGGACCTCAGGCCTCTCTCATCTCATCTTCCTGATGGGCTAGGCTTACCAGCGGGGGAGGGGTGAGCCATGCGTGCCTCGGTGCTCTTGGCCTAATGTGCTAAGGTTGAGTCCAGGGCCTCCTACGTGCTGAGGAGTAATCTAACACTGAGTTGTGTGTCCAGGCCTTTGCTTTTCCTCCCTGAATGTTTGGTAGAACATACTGACTCAGATACTGAGGCTCAGATGTTTGGGATGTTAAGAATAAGCAATTCAGTTTCTTAGTAATGCAGGCCTAATCAGTCTGTTTTGTGTATGTGTTTTTAGATTGTGTCCTTTAGGGAAATGGATGTTTGTGGGGCTAGAATTCATTGTGTCACTTGATTATTCTCCTCATGTTCATTGGGCTTGTGGTTTCCCCTTTTTCTTTTCTGGGATTAGAAATTTGTGACTGTTCTTTTCATTCCTTTTTTCTATTTATTCTTAAGCATTTATTCTAGTTAATTTTAATGTGTTTTAGTTTGCAGCCCATAGATTTAGAAAGATTTTGCTTTGAGAACTCTAGCCCATTCAACTAGTCAAAATTTGTTAAACTGATTCACTTGGAAATCTCAGATGAATTTCAAGGCTGGAATAGGCTGGTTGCTGACTGATTTCACTCTTCATTTGAAACAGGTGGGGAGGTTTTAGTATGCTAAAGTCTGTTTATCTTTGAAATAGTTGTCCTGGGGTATATAGTGCAGAATTTGTGCTGCATTAGCTGTGCTGTCTAGCTCTGTGCTTTATAAAGTCTGCATGAGTGCTAATGAAGATCAGCAAATCTGTCTCTGTCATTGGTTAGCTAGATAAATAGCCTTTGTGCCCTAACAGTGGTCTTTTTCTGCTTTCCACATGGTTTGTTATCAAGTATGACAACTTGTCTTGTTCAATCAGCATCATGGTAGTCTCATGAGGATAGCTGTTCATCAGATGAGTGAGGCTAAGATACTGTCGTTTTTGTAGTGGGAAGGTGGTGTATTGGTGGTAATGATGGTGTCTGTGGATGTATCTGTTTTGGTTATGCAGGTCAGGCATGGGACTTGAATTTAGGGCTTGGGTGCTGTCCCTGAGTTTTTGTTTTTTGTTTTTTTTTTTGGTCGGTCATGGGGCTTGAACTCTGGGCCTAGGCGCTGTCCCTCAGCTCTTCAGCTCAAGGTGAGTGCTCTACCACTTGAGCCACAGTGCCACTTCCGGTTTTCTGGTGGTTTATCGGAGATAAGAGTCTCACGGACTTTCCTTGCCTGGGCTGGCTTTGAACCGTGATCCTCAGCTCTCAGCATCCTGAGTAGCTAGGATTACAGGTGTGAGCCACCGGCACCTTGGCATGACTCTTACCTACAATTAACCACCAGAAAACTGGAAGTGGCACTGTGGCCTTGAGCTCAGAGAAGCTCAAGGACACAGTGCCCAGGTCCTGAGTTCAAGCACCAGGACTGGCAAAAAAATAAAAATAAATTCTAATTCTAGCTACTCAGGAGGCTGAGGATTGTGGTTCAAAGCCAGCCTGGACAGAGGAGTCCCCATGAGACTCTTATCTCCAGTTAACCACTTAAAAACCAAGTGGTGCTGTGGCTTGAGTGGTAGATGCTAGCTTTGAGCACAAAGAAGCTCAGGGACAGTGCCAAGGCCCTGAGTTCAAGCCCCACAACGGACAGATAAATTTGAGTTCAGAGGGTAGTGATTGATGTTGGTACATACAACTCAGGTAGGTCACGTACCTGGACATACATAAAGTCCTAGCACCACAAAAAGGAAAAACAGATGAGTCTAGAAGGCAATGTGTTGGGGACCTCCCACCACTGTGCTGCTGTTGTAGTTGGGGAAGGCTCTGGGACTGGGTCCCCTCGATTGCTGTGGAGCAAACCCCACCCCTGAGCTGCCAGCTGGCGCTGGCGCACATTCACAGAACACCTGCACACGTTCATACTTAGAGTTCCTGCTATGTTTTCATACCCCGCCCCCCCGTCCTCCTCCTCTGGGATGCCACCCACAGCCTTGCTTACACTATGGAAGCACACCACCACCTGTAGCCACCCCCTGTAGCCCTGTTGCTCCTTTTTAAAAAATCATTTCAAAAAGTATCTCCTAGCCTTGATAATGAGTTTTGATTTTATACTTTGTAACCTAATAGTTTTTAATTTTTTTGAGATGCAGTCTTCATATGTTGTCCAGACTGCCTTGAACTTCTGGGCTCAAAACATCTTGTCTTAGTTAACACAAAGCTGGAACTATCAGTGCTCATACCTACACAACCGGCTAATACTATAGTATTGCATTGACTTCTCTCTCCCTCTTTATTTACTTAAAATTTAATTTAATTTTTTTAAAGTACTGGGACTTGAACGCAGGACCTTGGGGTTGTTCCTGAGCTTTTGTGCTCAAAGTGAGTGCTCTACCACTTGAGCTCACATTTCCACTTCCTGGCTTTTTATTGGTTCATTGGAAATGAGAGGCTCACCGGGCTTTTCTACCTGTGTTGGCTTTGAACCACCATTCTTGGATCTCAGTCTTGTCAAAAGCTAGAATTAGCTGGGTGCCAGTGGCTCACGCCTGTAATCCTATCTGCTCAGGAGGCTGAGATCTGAGGATCATAGGTCCAAGCCATCCCAGGAAGGAAAGTCTGTGAAACTCTTATCTCCAATAAACCACTGGAAAACCGGAAGTGGCTCTGTGGCTCAAGAGGTAGAGCGCTTACCTTGTGCTGAAGAGCTGAGGGACAGCGCCCAGGCCCAGAGTTCAAGCCCCACGACTGACAAAAAAAAACAAAACAAAACACAAAACTAGGATTATAAGTATGAACCATTAGCTTAATAGTAACTTTGTTTTGTTTTGTTTCAGGGGTTCAACTAGATATAGCTTCACAATTTCTGGATCCTGAAGTTTTATTAAAAATTAAATCTGAAATTGAAGAAGAGCTAAAAGCCCTAGACAAAGAAATTTCTGAAGGTATGTGTATTCCACACCTAGTTAACCTGGTCTGCTGTTAGTTTTGTTTTATTTTCATAGAAGGATGCTCTCTATATCCTCATTGCACAACTTCTCTGAGAGGAGATTACTAGGGTGAAACTGGAAGGAAGGCTGTTCAAACTTTCTTTACTGTACACTTTCCCAGCTGTAAGCAGGAGGTTAAGATGCAGCCTCTTTTGGTGCTGAGTAATGGATTAAATGATCCTGTGGCGGTCCTCTCCGTTCATGATGATTGATTTGTATTTGGTACCTTTATAACTTTAGTAGGAGCCCTAAGGGAAGAAAGTTTAAGAACCTTGCTCTTATTTTTGCCTGTATATATGTGTAGAAAGTTAAATATATATATGTCATATCACATATTTTGTACTTAAAATGACATCACAAGTTTTGGGGGAAAGTCTACTAACTGTGAAATTTTGTTCGTTGGGCCAGGCACTGATGGCGCTCACTCCTGTAGTCCTAACTACTCAGGAGGCTGAGATCTGATGATGGCTGTTCAAAGTCAGCCCACACAGGAAAGTACGTGAGATTCTTATCTCCAGTAAACTGCCAGAAAACCAGAGTGGAGGGGTGGCTCAAAGTGTAGCACACCAGCCTTGAGCAGAAAAGCTCAGGAACAGGGCTGGAAAGGTGGCTCAGTGGTAGAGCGCTTGCCTTGCATGCCTGAGGCCCTGGGTTCCATTCCTCAGCACCACATGAGCAAAAAAGAAAAAAAGCCGGAAGTGGCACTGTGGCTTAAGTGGTAGAGCGCTAGCTTGGAGCTGAAGAACTGAGGGACAGCGCCCAGGCCCAGAGTTCAGGCCCCATGACCAGACCAAAAAAAAAAAGAAAAGCTCAGGGACAGCGCCCAGAACCTGAGTTCAAGCCCCAGAAAGGGCAAAGAAAGAAAAGAAAGAAAACGAAGAAAAGAAAAAGAATTGACAAAAGGCTTACATAGTGTGTTCACTATGTAAGGGTATTCCCTTTATTGCCCAGGGTTCGTTTGCTTGTTTGTTTTGTGGTTATTTTTGTTTTTCGTGCTAACTGCCTGGACGGCTACCAGTCTGCTATCCTTTCTCTCTGCCTCTTGAGTAGCTGGAACTGCAGGCATGTACCACCATGCCTGGTCTAATGCAGTGAATATTTTATGAAGGTGATTGGTAACTCTCAGGAGTGAGGAAATGGACAGGATTCTAAAACCAGGAGTAGGGAGTGGGTGATAAGCTGTTAATTTGAATTGAGGAGAGATAGGAGCCTATTTTTATTTTTTATTGCCTTCCTCTTTGCCTCCTTCCTAACACAATTTCAGCAGATTTCTTTGTCAATTTTCATAGTTGCAAGTAATTTTTTTTGACAATCGTGGGTCTTGAACTCTGTGCCTGGGCGCTGTCCCTCAGTTCTTCAGCTCAAGACTAGCGCTCTACCACTTGAGCCACAGCGCCACTTCTGGCCTTTTCTGCTTGTGTGGTGCTGAGGAATCGAACCCAGGGCCTCATGCATGCAAGGCAAGCGCTCTACCACTGAGCCACCTTCCCAGCCCCAGTTTATTTTGACTATATTCATTCTCTTTCAAGTGTGTTTAATAAAATTTTTCATCCTATTTTTCACTTCAGCCTTCCTTATTTCCTTTAAGTAGTCCCTTATTTAGATTCACGCTTTATGTTCCTATACATATACTTACACGTATGTAATCATGAATGTGGATATATGGATACACATACCTGCATGTCCACAACTATGTCTTTTTAAGTCCAGCTTCCACCTAGGAGTGAAAACATGGTAAATCCACCTAGGAGTGAAAACATGGTAATTTTGTGTGTGTGTGCATGCACCTATCTACATGGGGGCCAGGAATACAGGCGTGTGCAGCTACCAGCTCAACTTGTGCACAGCTTTTGATACTGCGTGTTAAATTAGGTTTTCCTCATGTCCTCTTTGTCTTCAGCTTTCACCAGCACTGGCTTTGACCGTCATACTTCTCCGGTGTTCAGCCCTGCTAACCCAGAGAGCTCCATAGAAGACTGCCTGGCGCACCTTGGAGAACAAGTGTGGCAGGGGCTGAGAGAGCCCCTGCAGACGGCGCTGCAGGCGCTGCTTAGCCGGTGAGCCCGTGCTGTGCGGGGCCTTCCCAAAGTGTCTCGTCTGTGCGTTAGCCTCCTTGCTAAACTTCAGGGCTCCAGCCGTGGTTGGGTTTGCGTCTCCTGATACGCACTCGGGTCTCAGAGGGGCTGGCTTGTGTTTGAACATGCGCCCTTGCCCTCCTCCTTCCTCTAGGGACCAACATAGTCTGAGCCAAGGCCTTGTGCGCTGTCCCGTGCACCTGGCATTTTCCTTGTCTTAGGCTTCTGTGTCCCAAATGTTGGAGAACTTAGGGGCTACAGTCTGCACATGAACTTCTTCCACATTCTTGGAGTCAGTACCCGCGGAGCTATCATTCTTACCACATTAAAGGTAAAATCAAGAAGCTAGAAGTATTTCAGCCTCTAATCCTAGCTGCTCAGGAGGCTGAGATCTTAGGATCACGGTTCAAAGCCAGCTTGGGCAAAAAAGTCCATGAGTCTCTTCATTTCCAATTAGCTACCCAAAAAGCCAGAAGTAGAGCTGTGGCTCAATTGGTAGAGTGCTAGCCTTGAACAAAAAAGACAGTGCCGAGAACCAGGACCAAAACACATACACAAAACATACATTTTATTTTTTGTTGGTCATGGGACTTAGGGCCTGGATGCTGTCCCTGAGCTCTTTTGCTCAAGACTGGTGCTCTACCACTTTAGGCATATCTCCATTTCCTGTTTTTGAGTGTTTAATTGGGGGTAAGAGTCTCAGAGATTTTCCTTCCCAGGCTGGCTTTGAACTGTGATCCTCAGGTCTCAGCTTCCTGAGTAGCTAGGATTACAGGTATGAGCCACTGGTGCCTGGCTCACAAAAGTATTTTAAAGTAGACTCAATTCACTTAACAAATCTTTAAAAAATCAGTTTTCCCAAACTCTTTCCTGAAAGTTAAGAAATTGATAAAAACTAGAGAAATATTTGTATTAATGGATGTTGGCAACTTCATAAAATAGAGTCTGTTCCTCACTAATACAGCTGCAGGCCCCATGCTGAGTCACTGTTGAGGTAAGGAAATAACTTTTCATCCTGGCAGTGTGTATGCTTTACCATTTGTTCAAAGCAGACAGTTTTAGTTATGAAACGCGCAAATATAAAAATTTCTGATTCCATTTAGACAATTGATTGGAATTTTCTTAAATGGGGAAGAGGTGTGTGGCTGTTGAGGGAGTGAGACAGCAGTGGTTTTCAGAAAGTCATCCGTAGGGCTGGAGGACCCGGGTGGACTGGGCAGCCCTCAGGGGGTCTCTCCACCCTTAAGCAAGCACACCTACTTCTACATGTTTTACATTGAGGGAACAAGTAAGATTTGAAGGAAGAAATGTGCTGCTTTGCCAAAAAAATCCAAAACCTTGCAAAAGCTGTTGGGACTAATAACTGAAAAGCATTGTATTTCCGACTTCTATGCAAACTGTTTATGATTTTTTTTCCCCCTCCAGTCCTGGGGCTTGAACTCAGGGCCTGAGCACCATCCCTGAGCTGCTTTTGCTCAAGACTAGCTCTCTACCACTTGAGCCACAGCACTACTTCTGGCTTTTTCTTTGTATGTGGTACTAAGGAATTGAACCTAGGGCTCATGAATGCTAGGCAAGCACTCTACCATTGAGCCACCTTCCCAGCCCATTGAGCACATCTTTTTATTTTTCTTCATTGTGTCAATACTTGGGGCTCAGTGCCTTCTATCTACTCTGACTCATCCTGCTTTGTTTATGGCTGGTTTTCTGCCTTTTGAGTCATATCTCCATCCCAGCTTGTTGCTGACTATTTGTAGGTGGAGTCTTGTGGACTTTTCTGACTTTGAGCCTCAGTCCTCCAGGTCTCAGCCTCCTGTGTAGCTAGGATTACATGTGTGAGCACTGGTGCTGGGTTTTCATGTATTGCAGGAAAAATTGTTGTCTCCTCACTGCAAGCTGTGCTTAAAATCCATGTGTCCTCCAGTTGTAAAGTCTGCCAGTGACCTCTGAGTTAAATACTTCACAGTCCTCTCAGAGTAAAGGAATTCATCCCAGATATTAAGAGCCTATCTTACATTCAACAGTTATGTCAAATATATTGAAACTATTGAATTCAGCAACAGAGTGTAGCATTTGCACGTTTATTCATTTAGGGGTTTAGACTTCCCTTCATCGTGACTCAGACTTCTAAAAAACCCTCCACAGGCCGGTGACATACCCGACGTTTCGAGAATTTGCACTGGAGGCTGCGGGTCATACCAGCGGATGGAATAAGGTACTAACCAGATTGCTTTTAATTTTCAAGATTTTAGTCCTAATGATAAAGTGTAGGAGTATTATTAGCATCCTGCAGCACAAAACTCTTAGAGCTAATATATATATACATAAAATGCTGCCTCTGCTTTGTGACCCATAGTACGCTACACCTTCCTTTCTATGTGCCCTGAATCTCCCATCATTATGACAAATAGTTCTTCGCTTCTGTGTTTTGGACACAACATTGGTCCCCAGACGTTCCTTGTTAGTATGAGCGTATCTTAGAGGAAAATACTAAGGACTTCGTTTGGGAGATGAGTGTTTCTGGTCTCTTAGATGAATAGTGCCTCATGTGTTTTGTAGTTTGCAGTATTGTGCATTTCATGTCACCTCTCCCTGATTAATGAGAAGAGAACTAGATAACTTGCCTGGAACCTCTTGAGTAGTAGCTATTGGAACCAACTCTGTGGCTAACATCTGATTCTAGGCAGTATTTTTCCATTCTAGCATAGGTTTATTCACTGTCTTAGACTGTTGTTTGCTTGTTACCTTGAAAAGATAGTATCTATAAGGAGATACACCTCCAGGAAGAAGTATGGCCTTGAGATAATAAAATTCAGTATCATTATTTTTGCAAATGACCACCTCTATTCAAAGATTCATACCATCTCTTTTTACAGTCATAGACTCTGATGCATCTACGGGGAATTGGTTCTAGGTCCTCTCTTGGATGTAAATATTTGCAGATTCTCAAGTTGCTCATATAACCTAGTATAGCATTTGCATATGACTATTATCACATTCTAAATTTATCTGTCTATTTTTTGTTGTTGTTTGGTCGTGGGGTTTGAACTCTGGGCCTGGGCGCTGTTCCTCAGCTCTTCAGCTCAAGGCCAGCATTCTACCACTTAATCCTCAGCTCCACTTCTGATTTTCTGGTGGTTTATTGGAGATGAGTTTCATGGACTTTCCTGCCCTGGCTGGCTTTGAGCCGTGATCCTCAGATCTCAGCCTCCTGAGTAGCTAGGATGACAGGTCTGAGCCACTGGCACCAGGTTGCCATGAGACGCTTATCACCATCAGTCTACTCAGAAAATGTTGGAAGTGGTTTTGTGGCTTAGGTGGTAGAGTGCTAGCCTTGAGCAAAAGAAGCTTAAGGATGGTACGCAGGCCCTGAGTTTTAAGCCCCAGGACAGGCGACAATAAAAAAAGGAAATTACACGTAGCAATTCACAAAGTAAGATATGTACAACTTTCAAGTGAAGCTTAAACAGAGTAACTTCAAAATGTCATATAGTTGGTCACTGGGAAATTAGCGTGCTGGTGGTATATCATACACAGACCTTTTGAAGTTATAAAGAATAAACTTGAGGCATTTTAAGAACTATCCCTTCGTTGTCTCTATCCAAGGCAGAATATTAGAACTAGAGAAACAGTAATTTAAATTTTGTTTTAATAATAGGACAAGTTTCTTACTATGAAAACAATTGAGCTTGTCTTTGTAGCCATATACCCTATTAGAGTTAAAGAGATTTTCGATATATCTTGAGCTAGAATTCTTTTAGAATGTCAAAACGTCGAAGAAAATGTGTTTGTTACATTCTTCCTTTAAGATTGTAATATTGATTTCCTCAGTCGAAGAAAATGTGTTTGTTACATTCTTCCTTTAAGATTGTAATATTGATTTCCTCAGGGCAGCTTTTACTGAAGTAAAAGCCAAAGGAAATTGAGAACCAGAGAACATTGGTCTGAGCCATCAACTCCCCGTGGTTTTGATTGGCTTCTGTGGAAAGACACCCGGTGTCATTTCCTCAGTTATTTCCTTGGTAGCACAGCATCAAGGAACTGAAATTACTTTCATTCTTTTGTGCATTTCTGTCCACGTGAAACCTTAGTGTGTTTGACAGTGGAGAATGCATTCAGACCACTGGCTAAAATACCTTTCTCCCTTCCCTCCTTTCTCCCTTTCTCCCTTCCCTCCTTTCTCCTTTCTTCCTCTCTCCCTTCCCTTTCTCCTTTCTCCCTTCCCTCCTTTCTCCCTTCCCTCCTTTCTCCCTTCCCTCCTTTCTCCCTTCCCTCCTTTCTCCCTTCCCTCCTTTCTCCCTTCCCTCCTTTCTTCCTTCCCTCCTTTCTCCTTTCTTCCTTTCTCCCTTCCCTCCTTTCTTCCTTTCTCCCTTCCCTCCTTTCTCCTTTCTCCCTTCCCTCCTTTCTCCTTTCTCCCTTCCCTCCTTTCTCCCTTTCTCCCTTCCCTCCTTTCTCCCTTTCTTCCTTCCCTCCTTTCTCCTTTCTTCCTCTCTCCCTTCCCTCCTTCCCTCCTTTCTCCCTTTCTTCCCTCCTTTCTCCCTTTCTTCCCTCCTTTCTCCTTTCTCCCTTCCCTCCTTTCTCCCTTTCTCCCTTCCCTCCTTTCTCCCTTTCTCCCTTCCCTCCTTTCTCCCTTTCTTCCCTCCTTTCTCCTTTCTCCCTTCCCTCCTTTCTCCTTTCTCCCTTCCCTCCTTTCTCCCTTTCTCCCTTCCCTCCTTTCTCCTTTCTCCCTTCCCTCCTTTCTCCTTTCTCCCTTCCCTCCTTTCTCCCTTTCCTCCTTTCTCCCTTCCCTCCTTTCTCCCTTTCCTCCTTCCCTCCTTTCTTCCTTCCCTTCCTCCTTCTCTTCCTCCCTTTTTTCTGTTCTTTAGTTTCTCCCCTCTTTAGTTTTTTTTTCTTTTTCTTTTCTTTTTTGTTTGGCGAGTCCTGGGGTTTGAACTCAGGGCCTGGGCACCATCCCTGAGCTTATTTTGCTCAAAACTTGCCTCTACCACTGGGCTACAACACCACTTCTAGCTTTTTCTGAGTATGTGGTACTGAGGAATTGAACCCAGGGCTTCATGCATGTTAGGCAAGCACTCTACCACTAAGCCACATTCACAGCCCCTCTTTAGTTTTCTTCTAAAGCAATTTTTTTTTTTGGGGGGGGGGATGTCCGGTCGTAGGGCCTGAACTCTGGGCCTGGGCGCTGTCCCACAGCTCTTCAGCTCAAGGCTAGCGCTCTACCACTTGAGCCACAGTGCCATTTCCGGCTTTTTCTGCTTATGTGGTGCTGAGGAATGGAACCCAGGGCCTCATGCATGCAAAGGCAAGTGCTCTACCACTGAGCCACCTTCCCAGCCCCCTGAGTAATTTATTGGAGATGAGTCTCACAGACTTTCCCACCCGGACTGGCTTTGAACTGTGATCCTCAGATCTCAGCCTCCTGAGTAGCCGAGATTACAGGTGTGAGCCACTGGTGCCAGGCTGCTGCTTTTATTTATTTTTTTAAGGTAAACTGTATGTGAAAGTGAACCTCCACCTGGAGAGGGGCCCAAGGCAGAGCCCACCGTGGTATCTCCTCGTCAGCCTCACCTGGCTGTCACTCCTGGCCCTCCGTAGTGAATTCCAGCCATACTCACCCACGCTCACCTGGTTTTCTTTTGTTGTTGGTGGTGGTGGTCATGGGGCTTGAACTCTGGGCCTGGGTGCTGTTCCTCAGCTCTTCAGCTCAAGGCTAGCGCTCTTCCACTTGAGCCAGAGTGCCACTTCCGGCTTTTTTCTTTTTGCTTATGTGGTGCTGTGGAATTGAACCCAGGGCCTCAGGCATGTGAGGCAACTCTACCCCTGAGCCACCTTCCCAGCCCTACCTTGTTTTCTTTGAAGTAGGTTCACAGTTGATTTATCTGGGCTGGATTTGAACCCTTTCTCTCAAGTACTGGGGTTATACATGTGCACCACATTCATGGCAGAAAGTTCTTACTGTTTTGTTTTCTGTGCTTGCTTTGGAGCTAACCTCAGGACCTCACTCTCTGGATCAGCTTTTTCACTCATGGTTGGCACTCTAACACTTGAGCCGCAGCTCCACTTCTGGCTTTTTTTCTGGTTATTTGGAGATAAGAGTCCCTTGATTTTTGTGTGCCTGGGCTGAACTTGAAATTGGTCCTTAGATCTCAGCTACCTCAGTAGCATATGTGAGCTACTGGCTCATAGCTCTGAATTCTTTTTGTCGGTCATGGGGCTTGAACTCTGGGCCTGGGTGCTGTCCCTGCACTCTTCAGCTCAAGGTGAGTGCTCTCCCACTTGAGCCACAGTGCCACTTCCAATTCTTTTTAATGGCTGTGTGTTTTTTCTAGCTGGCCAGAATGTATTAAACTAGTCCTTGAGTTGTCTCAATGCTTCTGTGAGTTTCTGTGTACACACCGACACCGCCCTATTGTATGAAACCTACACTCAGTATTTAGAACTTCCTAGTAGGAGTTGTGTGTTACTGTGATGAGAACGGAATGCTATAATAATGTAAGCACTGAACACTATAAAGTGTTCAGTAAAACACTGTAAAGTGCGTAGTAAAAACCTGAGGCTCGACAGGTTTTCACACGCTCTTCTGTCTGCCTTGAAGATCGCGGTGCCTCTGGTCCTGCTTCGACATATGCTTCTGGAGCTGACCCGGCGCGGTGAGGAGCCCCTGCATGCCCTGCTGGAGCTCGGCGTGGCGTACCTGGAGGACTGTGCCGCTGAGCACATCATCCAACATGGCGGCTGGGTATGACCCCTCGAAGCAGTGCGCCGGCTCATACGTGTTGGATGTTAAGATTGGTTCCTTTCAGTAGTTCTTATTAAGAAACTGTGTGTGTGTGTTGGGGCTGGGAAGGTGGCTCGGTGGTAGAGCGCTTGCCTTGTATGCCTGAGGCCCTGGGTTCGACTCCTCAGCACCACATAAGAAAAAAGCCAGAAGTGGCGCTGTGGCTCAAGTGGTAGAGCGCCAGCCTTGAGCTGAAGAGCTGAGGGACAGCGCCCAGGCCCAGAGTTCAGGCCCCAAGACCGACCCAAAAAAAAGAAAGAAACAGTGTGTCCTGACAAAAGTATATGTAGCTAACTAAAATATAAAGAATAAAAAACAACCACTTAGGTGTCTTAAGGAAAGAATACTGTCACTCCTTGTTCTAGAGAGAACGTTGGAGATGGGGTACAGGCCTCGTGCACGCTGAGCGAGTATTCAGCCGTAGAGCCAGCTGACCCTCTCACGTCTTCTTGGAGTCTTCTAGGGGTGCCTGCACGTGTGCCGCTCCTGGGGCTGTCCCTCAGCTGTTTTGCTCAAGACTCCATGATCAGCTTTTTGGTGGTTAATTGGTTTAAGCCCACCTGGGTGACCCTCAGATCTCAGCCTCCTGAGTAGCTAGGATCACAGGAGAACTGCAGGGGCCTGGCTTTTTTTGTTTTGATGCTGGTATTGAACTAAGAACCCAGGTACTCTTGCTCAGCGTTTTGCTCATGGTTGGTGTTCTCCTTTTGAGCCCTCCCTCCAGTTTGGGCTTTTTCCTGGTTAACTGGATATAAAAGTCTTGACTTTGTTTGCCTGGGCTAGTTTTGAACCAGGATCCAGATCTTAGCCTTGTGAGTAGGATTACAGGTGGGAGCCACTGACACCAGCTTTGGGTTGGTCTTTGCACAGGATGAGAGGTGAAGGTCCAGTCTCATTTTCCTGCAGCTGGTTACAGTTTCCCAGCACCAGGGTGTCAAGGCTGTTTTTTCTTGCGTGTTGGCTGTTGTTGGGCAGCTCTTCAGTGCTGTTCTGCTGGTCCTGAGGTTTGTGTGGTGGGCTGCTGCCCTTGCTGGCTGTAATGTAACTTCAGGTCTACCACTAGCTGTGCGCCAGTTGCTTAGAATTACTTTTGCTTGGCTGGGTTTTTTGCTTCCATATGAGTTTTTGAATTGATTTCTCTTAATTCTGTGAGAGATAGTGGGATTTCTTATTACATCGAGTCTATAGATTGCTTTTGGCAACACTGCCATTTTCATGTTGTTAATTCTACTTAGAAGAGATGGAAGAGGAGAAAAAATTAAGATGCCTTTCCTAAAGAAGGGCTTTGCTTTGTCTTCTTACTGTTTTATTTGGATGCTTGATAAACTTATTTACAGGTGAGCGTTTGACTGCTCTGCCCAGCTGACCTCTCACCCCTGGCTCACATGATCCTCCTGCCTTGCTCAGAGTGCAGTGCACACTACCGTTCTCAGCATTATTTTAGAATGGTTTGTTCTCCTGTTAGATTAACCAAGACAGCTGCAGAAATAATAACACAAACAATCATAGTGTTAAGGTAGCATAATTGAGCTGGGTGCTGGTAGCTTGTGAGAGTCTGAGGTCAGAGTGTCAGAGTGTCTCAACTTGAAGCCAGCACCAACTCTGGAGTCTGAGGTCAGAGTGTCTCAACTTGAAGCCAGCGCCAACTCTGGAGTCTGAGGTCAGAGTGTCTCAACTTGAAGCCAGCGCCAACTCTGGAGGCTCTTGGCTCCAGGTCACAGGAAAATGCCATGAGTGGAGTTGTGGCTCAGGCTGGTGGGAAAAGGCCAAGGCCCTGAGTTGAAGCCCTGGTAGTAGCACTTAAATCTCACGGTGTGTCGCCAGCTCATCCTGTCATCCTAGCGACGCAGGAGGCTGAGTTCTGAGGATCACTGTTCAAAGCCAAGCCCCGGCAGGAAACTCCATGAGAACTTGATCTCCAGTGAACTGCCAAAAAATCAGAAGTGATACTGTGGCTCAGGGTGGTTTTGCTTTGAGTGAAAAGGCTCAGGGACAGCACCCAGGCCCTGAGTTCAAGCCTCAGGACCAGTTTACACACACACAGATTTATTTTCCCTTCTATCTCTGGTGTCAAGCTCAGCACCCATGATGAAGAGACTCACAAACACGGAGGTTAAAACCTCTACTGTCGGTGGTTGTAATTTTTGCCCAAGGAGGAGGCCACAGTCTTGCATTTCTGGGATCTCTCTATGGTGTTAGAGTAAATTGTCACTTTGTCTTATTTGGGACGGGGTCTTACTGTGCTGTCTAGCCTAGCCCCACACCCTGGCTTCACGTAATCTTCCTGCCTCAGCTTTTCCAGTGCTAGGACTAAAGGTGTGTGTGTGTGTGTGTGTAAAGGGGTGTGTGGTGTGTGTGTAAAGGGGTGTGTGTAAAGGGGTGTGTGTGGTGTGTGTGTAAAGGGGTCTGTGTGGTGTGTGTGTAAAGGTGTGTGTGTGTAAAGGGTGTGTGTGTAAAGGGGTGTGTGTGTGACTGTGTGTGTGTAAAGGGGTGTGTGTGTGACTGTAAAGGGGGGTGTGTGTGACTGTGTGTAAAGGGGTGTGTGTGTGACTGTGTGTGTGAAGGGGTGTGTGTGACTGTGTGTGTGTGTGTGTAAAGGGATGTGTGTGTGTGACTGTGTATGTGTGTGTGTCTATACTCTGCTGTGGATATTAGACAGGCCGGCCCCTCTCCCCTCCCCCACGCTCAGACCCCAGCTCAGACCCTCACATTTGCCAGGCAAGTCCTTCTACTGTTACACCACTAGCCCTACAGCGTCTCAGCATTATTTCTGAAGCACAGCTGTGATTAGAATTTTTTTTTTTTTCTGGTATTGAGGTTTGAACTCAGGTCTTGGCACATGCTTGTCTTGTTTGTCCAGCTGGCATTCTGAGTCAGTGCCTTCAGCCCTCTAATTATTTTTTATATATCAGACTTCAGTGACTAGCCTTTGCCATTTAATAAAATCCACATTTCCATTTGTCAGTTGCATGCCTCAAAAATTCTTCCTCTGTGTTCTTCAAATAAATGGATTCTGATTCTGTTCAGAAACTGTTTAGGTCTAAATAAACGTACTTAACCCTAGAACTTCAGGGAAGAATATATTCTTTCAGTTTAGCTTTTATTTTTCTTGTTGACCGTGGGGCTTGAACTCAGGGACTCGGCGCTGTCCTTGAGCTTTTTCACTCAAGCCTAATGCTCCTTACCAGTTGGAGACACAGCACCACTATCAGTTTTTTGGAGATAAGAGTGTTAGGGACTTTTTCCTGCCCAGGCTGGCTTCTAACTGGGATCCTCAGATATCAGCCTCCTTAGTAGCTAGGATTACAGATGTAGGCCACTGGCACCCAGCTTTTAATAACTTTTTAAAATACTAACTACTGGAAACTGGTGGCTCACACCTGTAATCCTAGCCATTCAGGAGGCTGAGATCTGAAGATCATGGTCCGAAGTCAGCCCAGGAAGGGAAACTGTGAGACTCTTATCTCCAATTAAACACCAAAAAAAAGCCAGAAGCAGAGCTATGGTTCAAGTGCTAGCCTTGAACAAGAACTTAAGGACAGCGCCTAGGCACTGAGTTCAAGGCCCAGAATAGGCTTTATGTTGACTCTTCTCTTGTTTCTGTAGGGTACCGTTTTTAGCCTTGAGCCGGAGGAGGAGGAAGACCCCGGCCTCATCGCAGAAGACAGCAATGACATTTATATCCTACCCAGTGACAACTCCGGCCAGGTCAGTCCCCCGGAGTCTCCAACCGTGACCACTTCTTGGCAGTGTGAGAGCCTCCCGGCCTCGCTGTCGGCCAGCCAGAGCTGGCACACAGAAAGCTTGCCTGTGTCCTTGGGCCCTGAGTCCTGGCAGCAGATCGCCATGGATCCCGAAGAGGTCAAAAGCTTGGATAGTAATGGCGCTGGCGAGAAGAGCGAGAACAACTCATCTAACTCAGACATTGTCCATGTGGAAAAGGAAGAGGTCCCCAAGGGGGCGGAGGGGGCAGGGGCGGCCGTGCCCTCCCGGGACCCCCAGGCTGCCTTCCCCGCCACCCCGCGTCCACATACCACTGCCCCTTCGCTGGAGGCCAGGGAACCCCACACAGAAGCGGCTGCCAGGGAGACGGCCAGCCCCGTCCCGTCTCTGTTTGTGGAGCTCTGTGAAGAAGAGGCGGAGGCAGCACCAGAGGAGGCTGCTGACGTGGAGGGAGAGAGGCCCCCCGCCCCGCTGGGTGAGGAGCAGAGTCCCGGTGGGGAGGCCCGGGCAGCCCCGGGCCCCGAGGGCAGGGCCACGCTGCTGTTTGGAGGGGCTGCCGCTGTGGCTGTCCTGGCAGTGGCCTTTGGAGTGGCCTTGGCTCTGAAAAAAAAGTAGCTGCTTCTGGAGCAGAGGACGATGATGACCGGATCCGAGGTTTCCCTCACCACGTGTGGAATTTGAACTGCCAGCCGCAGAGGGTGCACTGCGGAATGCCCTGGGGACTGGCTTTCCGCTCAGCAAGCAGCAGCTCGGTCGCATGTAGGGCTGAGGTAGGGGCCACGTGGCCGGGCGCCAAGGCCTTGGCTCACGCTGGATTCCGAGTCTCGTGAGTGATGACAGTGTCCCACACCTGGCACTGAGTGCTTGTGCCCCCTTGAAGGCCATCTGGGCGGTGTAGGGGCTGGCATGACCAGCCCCCCACAGCCCACACGCAGCAAGGTCAGCCGGAAGTGTCTCAGATGTTGCCAGGTGTCTCCCGTCTGTCCCATCCTCCCCCCCCCCCCCCCCCCCCCCCCCCCCGCCGTGCTTTAGAGGGAGAAGTTCGAGGCGAGAGAGCCTGGGGTTGCATCCTCAGGCTCCAGGGCCATTCGGCTGGCTGGAGTCCTTGTCTTTCCCGTGACCAGGCTGTGTTCCCACAGCCTTGCCCTTCTGGCTCTCAGGTACCCATCCCATCCCCCTCCCCCCGTCCCCCCTCCCAGATCTGCGGGGGCCTTGCCCATACTCTGCACACCCTAGGTCCCCGATGCTTCCAGCAGCTTCTGCTGCCGTTAGGAACCTTTCAAAGGACGCACACAGTGCGTTTAGGGGCTGTGGCCTTTTTCTTCGGTGTCCACCCTGCCTGGTGGCTTTCCCGTGGCTCCTCCCGGGTAGGGATGCGCGGTGCCCGCGGTGGGGTTGGTGTGGTTTCCCAGGGTCTGGCCTCCAGTGTTGGATGCCTCACGCCATGTGGTGAGCAATGCCTTCCGAGGACTTCTAGAACCAGCCAGGTCAGAACCTTACTAAATAGGATCTTTGAAATCCAGTGATAAGGGTCATTTTATTACTTTAATCCCAAGTGTCATTGAAATCAGAACGGGGAGAAAAGGCTTGAGTTGCAAGTCAGGCTGCTGACTGGCCTTTAGTGTCCAGGAAAGAGGCCTCAGCCCACATGCCGGGGTCATGAACCAGATCCGGCGCTGGGCCTGCTCCCTCGGGGAGGACAGTGCCCGGTCAGTGCCTGAGGGCCGCAGGGCTCCTGCAGGGCACACCTCCTGAGACTCCTCAGACTCACCTTAGCTACACGAGACTTCGGAATGCCGAGTGTATAATAAAAGCACTTTACCTGCTCTCACCACCAAGATCTGATCTTTTAAATGTGCTTTCATTTTTGACATTTTGTTTTTTTTGCCATTCCTGGTGCTTGAACTCAGGGCCTGGGCAGTGTCCCTGAGCCGCTTTGTGCTCGGAGCTAGCCTTCTACCACTTACTTGAGCAACACAGCACCATTTCCAGTTTTTTCTGAGTGGTTTTTTTGTTTTTGTTTTTTTTTGAAATAAGAGTCTCAGAGTCTCCTGCCCATACTGACTTCGAACCACAGTCCTCAGATCTCAGCCTCCCGAGTAGCTCGGGTCTGTAGGCCTGAGCCACTGGATCCTGTTTTTTTAAAACAAATCCCTGAAGAATTTTAGCAGTTGGTCAAGAGAAGAGAGTGTTTTGTCCCGCAGCTTTTCCCTGCCGTGCTCAGGGCTCGGGGGCGGCTCACGGGGCTGGTGGTGAGGTGTAGGCCTCTTGTGTTCTAATTGCCATGTTTATGTTTGCGTAGCCAAGAGCCTGGTGAGTTGTGACTGTTTTTGCTTTTAATATTCCTCTAGTGGTGACACATTTGAATTGTGAACTCAGGCTTGTGTGTGATCCTGTCTTCCGCAGGTAGGTGTGAGAAGGAAGTGCAATTCTGAACTGGCTGCTGCTTTATTTCACCTAGTGAGCACTCGTGTAAAGGAATTTGGCCAAGTGGGGCTTGAACTCAGGGCCTGGGCACTGTCCCTGAGCTGCTTTTGTTCAAGGCTAGCGCTCTACCACTTGAGCCACAGAGGAGCTTCCAGCTTTTTCTGTGGTTAATTGGAGAGAAGAGTCTCACGGACTTTACTGCCCATGCTGGCTTTTAACTTAGCCTCCTGAGTGTGAGAGCTGCTGTTCTGTTGGCTTTGCCGGCTGGAGGTGTTGGTCCCCACGGGAGAGGTCATCTCTGCTCCCTCTGTCCCTCGTCCCCGTCCCCACCCGAGGTCTAAATGTGCAGCCCATGCTGGCCTCAACCTCACAGTCCTGCCTTTACCTCCTGAGACCTGGGTCACGGCGTGCCCTACCGTACCCTGCCTTGCAGTCACATGGCTGAAAGTTATTTTTCTGCTTTCTCCTCGTGTTTTTGTGTGTGTGCGTGCGTGCGTGTGCGTGTACGTGTATGTGCACGCGTGCGCGTCAGTACTGGGGTTTGAACACTGGGCCTTGAATTCTCACTTAGCGGTTTTCAGTATTGCCTGGCACTCTTCCTTGAGCCCTACCTCCACTTCCGGCCTTTTGCTCATTAAGTGGAGAGGAGAGTTGCGTGGGTTTGTCTCCCAGGCTGGCTGTGAACCGTGGTCCTTCGATCTCGGCCTCCTCAGTTTAGGATTTCAGGGGTGAGCCATCACATCCAGCTCCTTCCGTTTGAGAGCTCAAGGCTTCCATTCTTCTTGTCCCCCGACTTACTTAGCACGAAATATATTTGGAATACATTTAAGTTGGTTAGGGGAAGACAGATACCAGATTTGAGAGTGAATTACTGTCCTTGTGAGCTACAGAGGAAGCTTTGCTGGTTCTAGAATGTTCTCTCACCTCCCCCTCTTTGCTGGGGATACAACTGAGGGCCCATTTGTTTACCAGGCCCCTGCCCTGCTGCTGAGCTATATGCGTAGCGTTGCATAATTCTTTGTCTGGTGAACGGGGCTTTGTACCCTGGCTGGCCTTGAACTCTCAGCCCTCTCCTGCCTCAGCCCGTTGGTGGTGAGGCTGTACCGTTCATTGAATGTCACGGATTCTAATCACCTGGCAACCGCCAGCGGTTTCCTGTGAAAAGAACCAGGATTAAAGAATACCAGCTTCAGTTGCCTACTGAAGTGACAATCCTGTCCGTACCAACTGTGCCTTAGGACGACACATGGTCACTGGCTGCTAGAGAACATTCTGGTTAAAGAACCACTGCCAGTAGTGTGTGCAGCTCCCACCCAAACCTTTTCTAGCTCTCTCCTGCCCAGGAGCTGTTCTCTTACCAGTGAAGCCACGGCCTGCCTGTCTTTGGGGAGCGGACCCCAGCCGACAGCCATGCCTGCTCTTGCTTTCTTCTCCAAAGCACGATACAGTTGTTTAAAGAACTAAGTTTTATAGGTGAGAATGTTTTTGTCTTACACTCTATGTATTTCCACTCAAACTCCTCTCTCATGGAACTTGGCGATCGCTCTTAGCATGAGGACCAGGGACAGTCTGGCACCCAACAGTGCTCGGCATCACTGCACTGACATCAGATGTGGGGAGGCAGACCTGCCCTGGCTGGTTACACCGTCTCTGGGCGGGGCTCGGGGTGGTTAGACTCTGCGGATACTCGTGTGCACTCATGTGCACGCTGGTTTGCCACACGGCTTCCCAGGTCGCACTGTGAGGAAGTCAAGAGGCCTGACACCTCCGGGGCTGCAAGCCTAGTGCTCCCTTGTAGTCACTGCTTTGTGTGGCTCGGGCAGGCTCTGCGAATGGCTTGCTCATTTCCCTCAGGAGGCAGATGATGCAGAAGAAGCCACAGCCCTTTTCTGTGTTTCATAAAGGTCATCCCAGAGCTCCTGACCGCATTGGGCATCTCCTCCCTTCACGCTGCAGTGGCTGCCCTCCTTCAGCCCAGCGGCTGGGGAGGCAGAGGAGGAGGACTGTGGTTTGAAACCAGTAGGGAGAAAAGTTAGCGAGATCTTCCTCCTTTCGGTGGCCGCTGTGCGCCTGTAGCCCCTGCTACACTGAGGCACAGAGAAGAGGATTAAGATCTCAGGCCAGTTGTGGGCAGAAACGTGAGGCTAAACCTAAACTGAGGAGGATAGATGGCGCTCGCTCCAGTGGCGGAGCGCCTGCCTGGCCAGCGTGGGGGCTGGGACTCCAGACCACGGTTGTTGCTGGTGATGGTTTGGGAGGTTTCTTAATGTATTAAATTCTTGTGCTCGTTAGCAAGGTTAGTTTGCGTGACGAGGTCGTCCCCAGGTACCGCGAGGCAGCTGAAGGAGCAGCAGGGCCTGTCTTCCATTTCACTTTTTTTTTCCCTTGGTTGTGGGTCTTGAACACCGGGCCTGGACACTGTCCCTGTGCTCTTCAGCCACAGCACCCCTTCCGGTTTTCTGGTGGTTCATTGGAGATCAGAGTCCCACGGACTTTCCTGCCCCAGCTGGCTTTGAACCATGATCCTCAGGTCTCAGCCTCCTGAGTAGCCAGGATGACATGTGTGAGCCACCAGCGCCAGGCTTCCATTTCATGTTTGAGTCTCTTCCTTGCTGAGCAGCAAGCTGGGGGGGGGGAGGGGCTGAGCACCGCTGGCAGCTCAGCCGACGACTCATCCAGCACACTGCCATCCACAGCAGCCAGCGCCACGCCACACCATGACCTTTGTTGTGCGTTGCCAACTCTGGGTAGTTGCCTCATTTACAGGGAGCTCTGTGGAGAGCTGGGAACGTGGTTAGGAAGCCACCGCATCATCACACACGGCCTTTGCCAGTGTTTGTGTTTACACAGCCGGAGCCCCAGCCAGCTGCCACCGCCCAGGTCTGAACCGGCTCGGGGTGTTTACCAGGCCGTGCGTGTCCTGTGACATTAGCAGTGGGCTCAGGATTTCACCCAGCTCTCCCTTCTCTGGGGACCCTTCTTCATGACTTGGTGCTTGTTGCACCCCCTGAAGAGACTGGTGAGTGTGTGACTTACACTGACGTTTCAGGGCTGCTGGTTTGTTTGTGGCCTTCCGCTGGGGTTTGAATGGTACCTGTTTGTGAGGACGTAGCAAGTGTGTTGTGTATGTGGCCACTGGCCGGCACCAGTGTGCACTCCTGCTGGTGTGGTCTTCCCTCCCTTCAGATCAGACGCAAAGTGCCTCTCCACGTTGGTTAAACTCAGTTGTTACTGGCTCCAGTACCCTCCCCTCCTATGCTGGAACTAACTCCCCCTCCCCTGGGATGTTCCATTAGCTCTTCTGGCCACAGCTCTGCTGCTCTGCTCTGCTCTGCGCAGTTTCTCATTGTGGGGCTCTGGCTCCTCTTCCCTCCCTGGCCAGCTTCTCTTCCGCGCGGCGCTTCCCGTGAGGAGCAGTGTTGAGTCTAGGTGGGGTCATCCCAAAGAACCTTTCCAAGTGCGTATGTATTTGCTTCTGAAGCCGGTTGGCACAGCTGGTGAGGTTGCTGGGTCTTGAGGTGGGGTCAGGAGTAGTTTGACCTTTTGAATGCACAGAACTGTAACCCTCACCAAATGTGCGTCTTTCCAAAGACGCACATTTTTAGAACTGGATATACTTTTCAAGCAGGAGGAAATTCTCTGAACTAGTCACCTCCCACGTTACAGCCACAATTGTCACGTCCGCCGTGGTGGCTGGCGCAGGCTCACGGCTGGAACTGTGGTGCCTAGATTTTCTCATAAGCTTAGAAGGGGTCAGTCTTAGCAACCAAGAAAGCACATCAGACCTGGTCTGGAACACCAGACGGGACAGCCGTGACCCACTGAAAGCGTGGGAGGGTGGTTTGGCACTGTCTTACTTGCTTTTTCAGATTTCTTCTGTTAGTTTAGATTTGGCGGTGATGTTTTAAGCTGTTGCTTTGGGAAGAACTTCTGTCCCCTGCTGAAAACTGATTGCAATGACCGCTGTGTGTACCAAAGAACATCTGTGCAGGAACATGAGCAATGGAGCTGTAGAAACCCCTAAAAACCCACTGCAAAGCGTGAGAAGCAACTGTTACTGGAATCATTCTCAGCAGTGGCTCTTGGACACCGACACCTGTCTGCTTTTAGCGTTTGTCCCTTTCTCCCAGGTCGGATGGAGACCAGCCCCGGTGGTGTGTATTTGGTGCTGACTGTTGGAGAGTGATTTTTTTTACTCTGCTGTGAATTTATGCTCTTGAGCAGAGACCGGGCTTGGTAACAGTTGTTGTTTCTTAGTACTTCATTACTCCTCACCTGCTCCCCGCCCCCCCCCCCCCCCCCAAATCACCGCTGTCAGAAGTGACGCGTGGCCTGAGTTCTAACTTCCAATGGGGACAGAGGCCAGTGGGTGTCTCTGGCCGGACGCCTTCCCTTGTTACCTTGGTCCTCTCTGAAGTGAGTTGGCTGTGGCCGCCTCCGCCTGTGTGCCCTCTTCAGCTGCTGCTGACAGGACTCCGGGCATGTTGCACACGTGGGGCGGCTATATCTACCACCCGGCTGCAGCCAGCCTCAGCTGCTGAACTGCGCTTTCACCTTTGTACCTTCCCAATTTAGCTTCCAGGCGTGAGGTACAATCGAAAAGAAAAGGCTAATATAGGACATCCGCAGTAGCTTCTGGCTCTCCATCGGCTTAGAATTTTTATGAACGCCTTGAAGAGAAAACACGTGCTTGGCCACCCCCGTGGAGCTGTGGCTGACACGGCCTGGCCTCACCTGCACCTTTAACCCGCTCCAAAGGCAAGTGAAACAGCTAGGCCCCTGTGTGGGGTCAGTCCCCGTGATCTGAACCTCTGTGCCCCGTGGGTTTTACCTCGGGGATGAGGAGGTTCCCTACTGAGCGGAATTCTTCACCTGTAGGGTCCAGCACTTCTCCAAGCCCTGCCCTCCCCAGACAGGTGACTGCTCTAAGACCGTGCCCCATTGTACTTTAATGATTAAACAGTAACTTTTTTAAACAAAAATTGTGGCTTTTTTCCCTCTGCCTTACAGCCTGCTTTCTCATTTAATTCTCCAGCGAGAACCTGTGCAGCTGAGAAGGCACAAGGCTGTAGATCTGGGCACTGTCTCGGCGCGGGCCCCGCCAGCTGTTACTGTGAGCATCACAGTGCAGAAATGGCTAAATGGGTCGCCAGCCCAAAACATCAGCCTGACAGCCAGGGCAGTGACTCCTGTCCAGGGCTTGTCCTCTCGGGCTGTCCGGTGACGTGGCCACAGCTGTTCCTCCGATGGCAGTAGCTGTGCTCTGTCTCTGTGCAGTTTCAGCCAGTCCTGCTTCTGTGGGATGCCGTCAGTCTACCTCCTGTGCAGGGGTGGAAGAGTGGCAGAATTAACCACCAAATTCCCACGAGGATCTGGTGCCACAGCCAACAGAGGCACTGCTGTTGGTGCACACACTGCTGGATCCCTGCAGTGCACACATCTCCTCGCTGCCATCTCCCAGGTTGCTGGGGTTCAGGCGGTGCCCTGCATTCTTGCTGGCATTGTGCCCGACTCCCAGGGAAGAGCTTTCTGGGTAAGACCTTCCTTGGGCTCGCTCTCTGCAACCGGGCAGCCCGACTTCACCTTTGCATCAATACAATCACCTACATACCCGACAACTGTAGCACAAATAGAGGCAGCTACTGAGGGTCTGTCAGTTACCAAGAGGGTTAGACACCGCGGTTTCAAACACTGACATGTCCCCGGGCCCACTGCTCCCTAGTGTTTTTAAAACCCACAGAGGAGGAGGTCTGCCTGGTTTCTGCAGCAGATCCATTATCATCATTAAACTGGCTTTTCTTTTTTAAATGTCCATCATGGGATTTGAACTTGGCCTGGGTGCTGTCCCCAAGCTCTGGTGTTCAAGGCTAGCGCTCTATTGCTTTGAGCCACAGCTCCACTTTTGGTTTTCTGGTGGGTCATTGGAAATAATAGTCTCACGGACTTTTCTGCCCCAGCTGGCTTTGAACCACAATCCTAAGATCTGTCTCCTGAGTAGTAGGATTAAAGGCATGAGCCACAGGTTCTGGCTTAAATAGTTTTCTAACACCTTGGTTATAGGACAGATGTGCTCCCTGGTGCGGGGGTTCTGTTCCTTTCTCTTGGTGTCTCCAACATCCTTAGCATGTTATTGTTGGTGTGGTTCTGGCAGGTGCTCTACTTGACCTACGTCTTTTATAGCATGTTTTTTTTTTTGTGTGTGTGTGTGGGTCCTGGGACCTGAACTGGGCCTGGGCTCTGTCCCTCAGCTCTTCAGCTCAAGGCGGGCGCTCTACCACTTGAGCCACAGCGCCACTTCTGGATTATTCTGCATATGTGGTGCTGAGGAATCGAACCCAGGGCCTCATGCATGTGAGGTAAGCGCTCTACCACTGAGCCACCTTCCCAGCCCCAGCATGATTTTTTGTTTTTTTTTTTTTTTTTGGTGGGTTTTGTTCTGGTACTGAGCCTTTTTGTTCTACCACTTTGACCCACACCTCCACTTCTAGTTTCTTGGGGATCAGAGTCTCATGGACTTTCCTGCCCAGGCTGGCTTTGAGCCATGACTCTCAGCTCTCAGGCTCTTGAGGCACCAGAGCCTGGCCCAGTACCATGCTTTTTAAATTAGGGTGGTGATGGAGCTGGGAAGGTGGCTCAGTGGTAGAGCGCTTGCCTTGCATGCATGAGGCCCTGGGTTCAATTCCTTAGTACCACATAAGCAGAAAAAGCCGGAGGTGGCGCTGTGGCTCAAATGGTAGAGTGCTAGCCTTGAGCTGAGGGACAGCACTCAGGCCCCATGACCGGACTCCCCCCCCCCCCCCCCCCAAAAAAAAAAAAAGTTGATGCCCCGCACTTATGCTAGGGTTATCAGTGGTGAGGGGCACCTTCACGTCCCCAGGCTCCTGCGAGACAGACATCTGGTGGGACAGACACTGGGGCTGGCACTGCGGGCTCGAGCTCTAGCAAGACAGAAACTACTGAGACCGACATCAGGGCCAGCACCAGGAGGCCAGTGAGACAGACAGACACCAGAACTGACACCACACAGGCCCCACCGCGGCCCCCACCATGGGCTCTTACATTTCGGACTAAGTTCCTCACGTAGATGAGGAGGTTCTGGTTAATAAAGTTCACTGTTGTGCAGAAGACATCACGGCACAAGGATGGTGTGAGGGTGACCACTTTTCTGGCCAACAGCATTGCCATTATGAGGGTGGCCTTCTCCGTCTCCATGTCTTTTGGGTAGGCCTGGCCCACCTCCTTCAGGGCAGAAGCCAGGCAGCTCCTTCTGTCCTGCAGAGAGAAAGACACTGCTCACATACATTCTTCCCTCTTGAAGATGGTCGTGAATGGCCGGACACTGGTGGCTCGCGTCTGTCATCCTAGCTACCCCGGAGAATGACTCTGAGGACCATGGTTTGAAGCCAGCCAGGGCAGAAAGATCCCCATGGAAACTCGTACCTCCAATTAACCACTCAAAAAATTGGAAGTGGTACTGTGGCTCCAAGTGGCAGAGTGCAGGCTGGGAAGGTGGCTCAGGGGTAGAGGGTTCGATTCCTCAGCACCACATAAACAAAAAGCCAGAAGTGGGGCTGTAGCTCAAGTGGTAGAGCGCTAGCCTTGAGCTGAAGAGCTGAGGGACAGCACCCAGGCCCAGAGTTCAGCCCTACGACTGACAAAGAAGGTGGGTGTACTAAGCTTGAGCAAAAAGAGCTTAGGGACAGAGTTCAAGCCCCACAACTGCCCCCCCAAAAAAGTCCTGAAAGGTAAGTAGGAAGAAGCGTTTCAGAGGCAGTGTGCGGCTGCCATGTGGAGAGGCATGCACATGCGCATGAGTGCTGGCTCAGCAGACTGCGCAGGGAATGAGCGCTATGGAAGGAGCCCTGGACGAGCACTGCCAGCTAGCCCCACTCACCTCCTCCCTCAGGCTCCGGTCCCTGAACTTCGAGGCCAGACTGCTCACCAGCCCCGGGTGGATGCGGATGCGGTGCTCCATCTCGTCCCCGGCTTGGGCCAGGTGCCTGGCGATGCTCCGGATGACTTCATCCTGACTTTCAGAATCTGCAGGGCAGCAAAAACAAGATCCAGATAACAGCCCCACTCCACGCCTGCCATCGCCGCCGCGGCATGCTCCAGTGTCCGCCCGCGGGGTCCCCTCAGCTGAGCCAAGGTGCAAGGAGAGTCCTCCATGCTACAAGGGAAGCGGACGGCCAGGGGGCCCCTGAGGTGTCGGCCCCGCTTCCCGCTGCTGCGGTGGGTGTGGCAGGGTTGGTTCTGTCTCACTTAAACCCTTAAGCTGTCTGGGACTGGCCGCCTCCCCTCAGAAAGCCTCTCCGCCACACCGGGCACGCCCCTTCCTCATCTTCCTTCCAACACTTTTACCAATTTCAGTTACTTGACTGACAGAAATTTCTACCACTTCTGTTCCCTCTGAGCCTGGCGCTACAGGTTCGAAGGAAGCCCAGGCAGATCAGTCCAAGAGACTACTCTCCATTTAGCCTGCTAAAAAAGCTGGGACTGAAGGCATGGTTCAAGCTCTCAGTGAAGAAGCCAAATGAGCAAATGAGGCCTCTGAGTTCAAGGCCAGTATCAACACCTGGAAACAAAAGGAAGGCAGGGGGAAGGGAAGACCTTCGAGCCTGCGCTCTGGGTCTGGCTGGCTGCCTGCACTTCCGCACTGCTAGAGACCCAACACAAGCCTTCCCTGCAGCCAGTAAGTGTTCTACCACCAGGCCACCCCGCCTTCTCTGCGGTCTGGACTCTGGTGCTGCCTCACAGACACAGCCCACACTTCCCTGCACAGGACCTTTCCAGTGCTCACATCTGTCTGGCCTTCAAGTCCTTCTGACTTAATTCCCACAACTCCTTGTGCCTTCCAGAAGTCCTGGCTTTCCCACCCACAGGCTCTGGCTTACACCATGCCTCTTCTCCTTCCCACCTGTCCCCTAGCCCAGCTGCACGCCAGCCGCAGAGCCTCCCCAGCCCTGTGCAGTCCGGACTGCCCACCTGCTCCTTCCTGCACCCCGAGTGCTGACTTGCCCCTGTGTGTCTCCAGAATCCTCTCCAGCTCTTGTGTGCACACCCCTTCTCTAGCCACCAGCTCAGCAACCTCGGCAGCCACGCCCGGCCCATCTGGTCCTTGTGGACACATGCTATTTCCACCCTGCTCTCAAGTTCTGTGCAAGACTGTTTGTACAGGCCCACACTCTCCCAGAGCACAACTGTGGTCAAGCGGGTGGCCCCACAGGCCACTGGCCAAGCCAGGCTCTGCCATCTGAAGGGGAAGGGTGGTGTTGAGAGCATGAGAAGAGTCAGCTTTTCCTGCTGTGTAGTCTTTCTGGCGATGAAGCTAGTCCAACACCTTTTATTCCATTGAGGGCCGTCCAGAAGACACATCGCGCTAGCGCAGAACACCTGCCACAACCCCTCACACAGGATTTAAAGAGCCTGGAGGGCTGGCTGCTGGCCTTCTGCACAACCACCAGAGGGCAGTAGCGTCTTGGATGACTGGTTCTCAGGGCAGTGATCCCATCCCAACCAGGGTCTGAGTCTCAAAGGCGAGCTGACCCGTGGGCCTTGTGGGCTGGGCATGGGAGGGAAGGGGCCTGCACACACCCTCTGTTCTCTTAGGATGCCCACCTAGACGCAGCACCAGGGACACAGGAGTGAATTCAGCTGCTCGGGAGGCTGAGATACAAGAGTGGACAAGGTAAAAATTAGTAAGACCCAACTTTAAAAAAAAAAAAAAAGCTGAGTGGTGGGGACACGGCTGAGAAAAGCAAAAGGCCGAGGCGTGAGGGACCAGCTCACCGGGGCTCTGCCCAACCAGCCTCACGAGGACCATTGTCAATGCTCTGGGCCTCAGTTCCTTATTCTCAAGTGAGGCTCAGAAATACTCAGTGTTCCGATCATCTTACAGATCAGCACAAGGCAGAGTATGTGTGAAAGTAAAAGTGCAGCAAGACTGTACATACGATGCAAAATTACTATAAAAACATACACTAGAGCCGAGTGCCAGTGGCTCACGCCTGCAATCCTAGCTACTCAGGAGGCTGAGAACTGAGGATCACAGTTCAAAGCCAGCCTGGGCAGGAAAGTCCATGAGACTCTTATCTCCAATAAACCACTAGAAAACTGGAAGTGGCTCTGTAGCTCAAGCGGTAGAGCACTCACCTTGAGCTGAAGAGCGCAGGGACAGTGCCCAAGCCCAGAGTTCAAGCCCCACGACGGATGGGGGAGAAAAAAAACACTAGCTGGGCACCCATGGCTCACACCTGTAATCAAAGCTGCTCAGGAGGCTGAGGTCTGACAGTCACGGTTCTAAGCCAGCCCAGGGAAGGAAAGTCTGTCAGACTCCTCTCCAATCAACCGCTCAGAAAACCGGAAATGGCACTGTGGCTCCAATGTGCTCTAGTCTTGGCCTAAAAGCTCAGGGACAGCACCCCAGGCTCTCAGTTCAAGCCCCACAACTGACAAAAATCAGCCTTCTCCATTGGTCCAGACAGAATCAGGACGGGAAGCCATGGTGCAAGCCTTTCTAGGACACGGCCCTTGGGGTGGCCGCAGGCTGAGCGGGACACACTGGGTGGAGAGGCCCCCGGCCAGGGCCAGTCCAGGTCTGGGATGGAGACGCGCAAAGGGCCTACCTGCCTCTATTCTCCCGTAGGAGCGGCTGACCCGGAGGCCGTCCGTCTGCAGCTCGTCGTCAGCACAGAACGGCTGCGGGGAAGCCCCGTCAAACAGCTCATGGCCCAACGTGTCAAGCTCCTGCCGGAACTTATCCGAGGAGCTTTGGAGGAAGCCAAACACCAGAAGGCTTGTGATGCGCTCACTCCCGAAGCCTGCAGCATTGCTGACCTACAATGACAAGGGGTCAGGGAAGCCTGTGGGGAGCCGGGCCAGGACTGGGGGCACTCTGCAGCTGGCCAGGCTCAAGGCCTGGGCAGAACTTCCACACACACCAGAGGGAGAGCTGCCCTTCTGACCCCCCGGGGTCCACCGTGGGAAACATCCGGATTATCCGGAAACTTAGTCTTTGCAGATGTAATCGAGTGAAGACCCCCCCGTGTCTGAATAGGATGGTTCAGGCATAGAGACAAGTGTAAAGACAGCTGGGAAACTCCAAGCACAGATGGCAGCCAGAGAGGGCAGAGGCCAGAACCACCTCCTCGCCCCTGAGGAACCTGCCCCATGAAACCCTGACTGCAGACTCTGCCTTTAACAATTGTGAGGAAGTGGGCCGTGGCTCAAGTGGTAGAGCGCTCGCCTCGAGCTGAAGAGCTCAGGGACAGCGCCCAGACCCACGACTGACAAAAAAAAAGAAAGAAAAAAAAACTGTGAGGAAATAAGCTTGTGAAAGCTACCTGATTAGTGCCACGTGGTTTCCACAGCCCGGGCCTCTGCCCGTGCTAGCAGGTAGGCACCCGGGGTTGTAGGGAGAGAGTGGGGGGGGCCAGCGTCTGGGTGGGGAGGGCTTCTGCACAGATGCAGTTGATACGCCCCGTAATAGTCAGCAGTAACATGTCAGACATGTCACAAGGAAACAGACTTTTATACAATATATACGTGCTAGTGTAGGAAAAGTTAAAGTGATAAATTTTGTGTATATATTTATCATGTAACCTGTGAGTCAGATATCTTCAACGGGTTTCCGTGATGGCAGTGAAGGAAGAGGAAAGTAGGGGAGGCTGCCTGCTGACCCAGTGTCACTTCTCACCTTGGGTGTTTCTGCCCACCCCCCTGCACTGAAAGACAGAGGGCGGGGTGTGGACAGGGAGCCGTGCCCTGGTGCGGACGCCGCCTCTCAGACCTCTCCAGGACCGGAGAGCGGCCACGGTGGCCCCCAGAGAGCCCCCGTAGACAGGCAGGTCTGCAAGGTGGCAAGCGCGCACACAGGACAGGCCCCGTCTCCTCTGCCCAGCCGCATCTGTGCCACCACCATGGTCCCAGGCTGGAAGCCCTGAGGGACACCCACAGACCACCCTGAGCCCCTCCAGCCGCTGCGGGGCTGAGGTCCTTCAGACCCCCGTTCTGTTGCAGGTCTGAGGCACCCCTGCAGGCAGGGCTACTTTGCGAGGGTTGACCTAGACCCGCACCAATGTGCACACCCCAAGAGCAGAGGCCCTTGGCTTCCTCTACTCCCCCTCCCCCCCCGCGAAAGCCCTAGGAAGCTGACCTCAGGGTCCATGGCACAGCCGTACCCTCAGCTTCCCCCCCACCCCGCTCCCCCGAAAGCCCTAGGAGGCTGACCTCAGGGTCCATGGCACAGCCGTACTGGAGAGTGCTGACTCACTTCTGGCTCACAGGGTCCCGGAGGGGCCTGGAAGAGGCACAGGGGGCGGCTGTTACCCATAGCACCCCGCTCACGGGAGGACGAAGGGTGCCCCGGTCCCCATTACCACTCAGCCTTGGTGCACACCTGGAGTCCTCATTGCTATGACTTGCCAGGTCTGAAGCAAGCACTGGACTGGACGCCCTCACCCACACTGACCCACAGCCCATCCCCAACAAGACTGGACCTCACCCACACTGACCCACAGATCAGGCAGATGGGCGACACAGCATAAGGATTATTTTACAAACTAAATATATATTATTTGGCAACTTTTCCATGGAAATTCAGGGGCTGGGAAGGTGGCTCAGTGGTAGAGTGCTTGCCTTGCATGCATGAGCCCTGGGTCTGATTCCTCAACACCACATTAAGCAGAAAAAGCCAGAACCGGGACTGTGGCTCAACTGGTAGAGCACTAGCCTTGAGCTGAAGAGCTGAGGGAGAGCGCCCAGGCCCAGAGTTCAGGCCCCACAACTGACATTAAAAAAAAAAAAAAAGTTGGTCGGTGGCTCATGCCTATAATCCTAGCTACTTAGGAGGCTGAGATCTGAGGATCGAGGTTCAAAGCCAGCCCGGGCAGGCAAAGTCCATGAGAATCTGATCTCCAATGAACCACCAGAAAACCAGAAGTGGCACTGTGGCTCAAGTGGTAGAGTGCCAGCCTTGAACTGAAGAGCTGAGGGACAGCGCCCAGGCCCAGAGTTCAAGCCCCACGACGGACCAAAAAAAAAAAAAAAGAGCTGGTGGGCCATGCACTGGTGGCTCACAAATGAGCCCAAATCCCACCTTCCTGGGAGGCTGAGAGCAGGAGGATCACAGTTCAAAGCCACCCTGGAGAGGAAGTTTTAACTCCTCTCCTCATGCTACAGGGAGGTATAGCGGTGAACCCGTCACCCTAGCCCCACGGGAGCCTGACAGAAGAGTCCGTGCGTGCCATCTCCTCGGAGGCTGGGACAGCGGTGCGTGTCTGCAGGGAGCCTGTGGTGGTCCCAGCCCTGACAGGAAGCCCCACCTGAGATGAGTGCTAGCTTGGCAAGCACAGGGTCCTTAGTTCAAACCCCATTACTGCCAAAACAACAACAAAGAAAGTAGGGCATCCATCCACCTAGACCAGGGATCTGAAGAGGAGAGAGAGAGAGAGGAGGGAGGAAAAGGGGGAGGAGAGGGGGGAGAAAGAGGGGGAGAGAGGAGAGAAAAATAGAGGAAAGAGGAGGGGGAGAAAGGAAGGAGGAGAGAGGAGGAAGGAGACGAAGAGGGAAAGAGCCATCTAGATTTATGTCTAGTTAATTCTAATTAACCAGGGGAAAAACCACGAGCTTGGGAAAGGCACATTAAAAAAAAAAAGTACCCTAGAGAAGCAAAATGGCTTATCTCCAAGAACAACACGTGTGGTGGGAGGCACCCTTTACCTCAAGGGTAAACAGAACTCATCACATTTGGATGTCCATCATGCATTTAGAGTGCAGGCCAATCTGGGAGAACCCAAGCCCACCTGGTAAACGTACAACTAGGAAGCTGGGCGCTGGTGGCTCCCGCCTGTCATCCCAGCTACTCAGGAGGCTGAGATCCGAGGATCACAGTTCTAAGCCAGCCCAGGCAGGAAAATCTGTGAGACTCTGATCTCCAATGAACCCCCAGAAAACCGGAAGTGGTGCTGTGGCTCAAGTGGTAGAGCACTCACCTACAGTGGAAAAAACCCAGGGATAGCACCCAGTTCAAGCCCCAGGAATGGCCAAGGAAAAAGATAATTAAAAGCAAAGATAGCCGGCGCCAGTGGCTCATGCCTGAAATCTTAACTACTCAGGAGGCTGAGATCTGAGGATCATGATTCAAAAGATTCTTATCTCCAATTAACCTCTAGAAAACTGGAAGTGGCGCTGTGAGGGCTTGCCTTGAGCTGAAGAACTGAGGATAGCACCAGGCCCAGAGTTCAAGCCCCTGACCAACAACAACAACAAAAAAGAAAGCAAAGATAAACACTTGTATTTGCATAACTTTAAGTCAGACCCTGCCTTTATCATATAAATACCATGCTGTCTCCCCCTTTGGAAGCACCTACAGAGTGCCTCTCTTGCCTGCCTGCCCGCTTGCTTACCCAATAAAGCTCTGGCAAGTTTTCAGAAACTCTTACTCTGCGTTGAGAGGGAAGTGAGGCAAACCTCCCCTGGGCCGGGGACAGAACCAGGAGCACCCGGCAGGGGCTCACAGCAGCTGGGCCGGGTCTGGGAATCTCCCCAAGGCCTCCCGGCTGAGGGGAGGAAACCAAACCTGAGAGCCACCACCTGGCCTCACCCTCGGAACATGTGAAGGTGTGCTTCGCTCCTGGGACAAATGAAGGCCAGGAATGAGTGGTGCAAAGGGCGTGGCTCTCATGGCTGTGACGGGAGGCCCGTGTGGGGGAGAAGGGGCCTGAAGGCCGGTCCCCAACCCATCCATCCACCTGGGACCTTTCTGTCCTCCTCTGGTTGATCCCAACTTGGAAACAACAAAAGCACTAATAAAAAAAATTGACCAAATCCTGGCCATTTGGGACTGACGGTTGCAGAAGCCATGGCTGGCTTTTCTGGATGGCCACTGAAAATAGCGAGTGGATGTCTCATGAGGAAGCCCTGGGCTGGCTGGTGTCCCTACGGCTTACCGTGTTTCAGGATGGCTGCATTGTCCATGTGTGCCTTCAGTCTCTCTGACTCAGTTCCCCAAATACCTTACATTTCCTCTGTACCACCTGTAGGCCAGTTTTGCTGGGAGACCGTGGTCTTGATGCTGGAAAACCAACCTAAGTCCCTTGTCAAAGTGGCTGTCAGGCTCTGTGCTGACTCCTGTGATCTCAGCTACTCAGGAGACTGGGGATCATGGTTCAGTCAGGCCAGGCAGGAAAGTCCATGGCACTCTTTTTTTTTCTTTGGTCGTGGGCCCTGAACTCTGGGCCTAGGAGCTGTCCCTCAGCAATTCAGCTCAAGGCGAGCACTCTACTGCTTGAGCCACAGCGCCACTTCCGGTTTTCTAGTTGTTTACTGGAGATAGGAGTCTCTTGGGCTTTTCTGCCCAGGCTGGCTTTGAACTATGATCCTTAGATCTCAGCCTCCTGAGTAGTGAGGATTACAGGTGTGAGCCACCATCACCTAGCTTGACACACTTAACTTCAATTAAACACACACCAAGAATAGTGCCCAGGCCAAGTTCAAGCCCTAGGACCAGCATTTTAAAAAACAAAAAGGGGGCTGGGAAGGTGGCTCAGTGGTAGAGCACTTGCCTTTCATGCCTGAGGCCCTGGGTTCAATTCCTCAACACCACATAAGCAAAAAGAAAAAAAGCCGGAAGTGGTGCTGTGGCTCAAGTGGTAGAGCACTAGCCTTGAGCTGAAGAGCTGAGGGACAGCGCCCAGGCCCAGAGTTCAGGCCCCACGACCAGACCCAAAAACAAAACAAAACAAACAAAAAAACATGGAATCAGGCACTGGTAGCTCACACCTGTAATCCTACTCAACTCAGGAGGCTGAGATCTGAGGATCATGGTTTGAAGCCAGCCCAGGCAGGAAAGTTGGTGAAACTCTTATCTTCAATGAACCACCAGAAAACCAGAAGCCCCATGACTAAAAATAAAAAAGTGGCTGTCATCAACCATTTCATGGAATGATCTAGAAGTCTGCTAGAGTATGCTCACAAAAGAACTGGAGGTTCTAGTATCATTATCTGAAGTAACCAGATGCAGGAAGCAAGTGTCCACCAGCAGATCAACAGAAAATCTGGTGTGCCCATGCAGGAAGGAGATTCCAACACACGCTGTGTGAGCCCTGAAGCCGCCATCCTCCAGACAGGGCTCCCGCATCGTCCACTTACATGGACAGAAGACAGTGAGGTGTGCTGGGGAGGGTCTGTTGTTTAGTTCAAGGCTTATTGTCTCCGTTTAGAAAGACAAGAAAGTTCTGGAGACAGAGGGTAACTATGATTGCACAATATAAATGTGCTGAACAACACAAATGTGGAAATCGTTCAGACTGTTTTATCATTGATTAAAAATGTAAGTTAAAAAAGGAAGTTTCTCATTACACTGGAGCAAATAGCTGTAGAAAGGCGGTGGGAAGCCAGAGAGGAGCAGACATCGTTTTAGTTTCATTTCTGTTTACCCTAGCAGAGCCCACAAAGGGTTATGTGCTATACACAGTTGGGGAACGTGTTCCCGCAGGTGCCCAGAACACAGAACAAAGGTGTCGCGTCATGTCCATCTGTCTGGCACCATTTGCCGTCAGAGCTGACAATAAAGCTGCCTGCACCCAACCCAAGGAAAGCCCTGGAAGCCCTGGGCTCGCTGGCCAGCGCACTGTGTGGCAGAGCTGCCCAGGAGATGGTGGCCGCTCAAAGCCCTGCACCCCAAGACTCCAGTCTTTGTTTTGATTTTCCTCTCGCCTCTTGGAGGGGTCCAGGGCACCTCAGGGCCCGGGATGCTGGGCTAGCACCTTCACATTGGCTTCACCCAGCCCACCAAGACATGCTGCTGCTTCACAGCACCCAGAAGCTCCCTTCCCACACGCTGCCATCCATGCACAGAGATGCACCGACAAGGCCCAGTCACGGATTCACTTCTCTGAGCGAGAGCAGCAGAGAGACAGCGTCCATGTCTCCTGTGGGTATAGAAGGTACTTAGCAAGTACCTCATGAAAAACTCAACCTGTGTTTTCTCTGAGAATAAGATATATTATGGGATGGGGAGAGCGACAGAAGGGGGAACGTGGATCAAGATGCTTTGCACTTATAAACTGAGTCGTGGAACTGAAAGCCCTTTGTATAACTACTTAAAAGTAATAAAATATACACACATACTATTCGGGGCTGAGGTGGGGCTTAGTGGTAGTGTGCTTGCCTAGCATGTACAAGACCCTGGGTTTGACTCCCAAGGTGTGTATATGTGTGTGTTATGTATGTGTGCATGTGAATGTTATGTATACGTGTGTGTTACATACATATACGTGTGTTTTATGTATACATGTATGTTTTGTGAATACGTGTTATGTACACCTGTGTATATGTTATATATACATGTATGTGTGTGATGCGCACACATATATGTTTACGTATACATGTGTATGTGTGTATGTGTGTGTGTTATCTACACGTGTGTGTGTGTGTGTGTGTGTGTGTGTGTGTGTGAAACAAGGGAAGCACACGCGAGCCTCTCTTCCGGCTGGCTGGTGGCTGCTCTCTCCCAGGCAGCTCTTTCGAGTGGCTGACCAGGTCTCTTAGGCCCAGGAGCTTGCGCCCTCCCCGGCTGCCAGCCTCACTGCCTCTTCTTCACCCTCCTTGGACTCTGACTTCGGACCTTTGCCCTGACTCCCCTCTGCCCCCTTCCCCAGGTCTGAACCCAGGTCAGTCCTGGACAGTTCAGACAACCCTGATCTGCTTGCTATTTCTTTTCCTATGGAATAGAAGGATGGATGGGAGTCTCTGACATCTGCAAAAATCTAACTTTCTAGTAGTCCTAGGTGGGGGTTCTTGGAAGGAGGGCCCAGAGCCCAGTCTTACACATGCCAGGCAAGCACTCTACTACTGGGCTATACCCACTGGCAAAGGACCAAATCATTGCTATCTCCCAGAGTTAACTAATGATAGGATCAGGTAAAGAACACCCCGGAAGGGCCAGGGCTGCAGCTCAGAAGCAGAGCACTAGAATAGCCTGCAGACATACTGGTTTTCATCCTCAACACTGTCCAATTTTTTTGAATTGTGATTTTTTTTCCTAAGTCTAGAGTTTAATCTTTAAAAGACTGGAAGGGATAGCAGGACTCACAATTAAGATCACCTGCCTGAGAAACAGCCTGAATTATTCATCAATTAAAACTCACAACAAGATTCATTCTTAACTGGTGAGCTTTTGTTCTGTTCCTCCCTGAAAGTCCAGTGCACAGAAGGGAAAACTGGGAGAGAGCAGAGAAGGGGGACTGTCCAAAAAGAAACATACTCCTCACCTGGCTTACAGAGCTGCAACCCCTCTACACACCACCTTTATAACAACAACTAAAAAATTAATAATAAAATTATGGCATTTGCAGGAAAAAATTTGGTACATAAAAAGTCAACATCTGGCACCAAAAACTATTCTACAAAATATGCAATCTATGAAATCTCTGCTATGTAGGTGGACTGGGCAGGAAGTAAGATAATCTCTCATTCTGAAAGCAAAGGCATCTATGAGCACACTCAAACAACCATTAAATCAAGCAGACTTTGCCAACGTTCACTTACAAAGCTGAGACCTACGGATCCCAGTTCAAAGCCAATCGGGCAGGAAAGTCCATGAGACTCTCATCTCCAATGAACCACCAGAAAACCAAAGTGGCGCAGTGGCTCAAGTGGTACAGCACTCACCTTGAGCTGAAGAGCTGAGGGACAGCACCCAGCCCAGAGTTGTTCAAGACCCATGACCAAACAAAAAACAGAACAAAGCCAGGGCCGGGGGGCCCTGGGTTTGATTCTCAACACAAACTCATAGTGATATTTTGCTTAGTATTATTTGATTTGATAACTATATGTGTATAGTTTTAACATATAAATGTACACTTAAGAAGGATAAACACAAGTACAATAAAATGTATACCTGTAAGGGGTGACACTGTCCGATGTGTAACTAACTTCTCTGTACATCACCATTTTTTTTCATGTACGCCTGTATTACACTCATTACTGACAGACTATGAGACACAGCCTTCTCGCCCCTGTGTGACACTGCCACCTGAGCAGTGCCTCCAGCCCCGACCAGACATGGCCTTTTTTGAGCTCAAGTTATTTAATTTGCCAAAGATTTACCTTGAGATGTTAACTTCGATTCTTGAAAGACTTCTACACGTGTCTCTGTAAGGGAATGGGGGTGCAGCTCCAGTGGTAGCACAAACAAGGCCCTGTTTTCACCGCATCAGCCCCCCCCAAAAAAACAAAACACACCAGGCGGGTGGTAGGGCAGGGGGGAGGCGGGGGACCTGCTTAAAAAATACCAATGCATCTGAACTTGATTGGCCCGCTCAATCACAAGGCACTCATACCAACCTCTCCTCCAATTTAAAACATCTTAATCCTTCAATGACAAGGGAGGGAGGGAGGGCGGATCACACCCATACAATGAGAGGCAGGCCTTGGGAAGGAAGGAAGGAAGGAAGGGAGGAAGGAAGGGAGGGAGGGAGGGAGGGAGGGAGGGAGGGAGGGAGAGAGGGAGGGAGGGAGGAAGGAAGGAAGGAAGGAAGGTTCGATCACACACATACAATGAGAGGCAGGCCCTGGAAAATTACAACACAGAGAAAGCTTCCAGCACCTGTTCCACATCTTCAGCTCTGCTCAGGAAGGAACATGGAAAGAGAACATGGTGAAATGAACATGGTATGGATGTTGGAGCCTGGTAGAATGAGACTTCAAAAACGTTAGGGGAGGCTCACAAAGGTGCAAGGCGTCCGTGCCTCTGATCACATAAAACAGTAGTTATAGAAATGAGCTCCAGGGGCTGGGAAGGTGGCTCAGTGGTAGAGCGCTTGCCTTGCATGCCTGAGGTTCTGGGTTCGATTCCTCAGCCCCACATAAGCAAAAAGAAAAAAACCGGAAGTGGCGCTGTGGCTCAAGTGGTAGAGTGCTAGCCTTGAGCTGAAGAGCTGAGGGACAGTGCCAAGGCCCAGAGTTCAGGCCCCACGACCAGACCCAAAAACAAACAAACAAAAAAAGAAATGAGCTCCAGGAAATGGAAACAAGAGGTGGTTTTTCTTTTCTTTTCCTTTCTGTCTTGCTTTGTTCCTTTGTCTTTGGGAGGGGAAGGGGAAGGACACAGGGTGAACCCGCAGTGGTGGTGCTGGCTAGACCCTGCTGAAAACCTGCTATGGGAGGGAAGGGGCGACACTGACTTAGGAACGGCCACCCTCAGCACATCACACTTACAGACCACAATTGCAAAAAGCAATGTGGCTCTCGGTACAGGTCACAGGTGTGCTCGGCGGGCTTCCCAGAGGACAGACCCGGTCACCCACCCGCCCCTCTCCTGCTTCCCGGAAGGCAGGCCCAGCCACCTGCCCTGCCCCTCCCCTGCTTCCCGGAGGATAGGCCAGGTCACCCACCCGCCCCTCTCCTGCTTCCCGGAAGGCAGGCCCAGCCACCTGCCCTGCCCCTCCCCTGCTTCCCGGAGGACAGGCCAGGTCACCCATCCCACCCCTGCTTCCCGGAAGGCAGGCCTGGTCACTCGTACTGCCCCTCCCCTGCTTCCCGGAGGTCAGGCCCTGTCACCCACCTCCTCCCCTGCTTCCCGGAGGTCAGGCCCGGTCACCCCCTCCCCTGCTTCCCGGAGGGCAGGCCCTGTCACCCACCCCCTCCCCTGCTTCCCGGAGGTCAGGCCCTGTCACCCCCTCCCCTGCTTCCCGGAGGGCAGGCCCGGTCACCCCCTCCCCTGCTTCCCGGAGGGCAGGCCCTGTCACCCACCCCCTCCCCTGCTTCCCGGAGGTCAGGCCCTGTCACCCCCCTCCCCTGCTTCCCGGAGGGCAGGCCCGGTCACCCCCTCCCCTGCTTCCCGGAGGGCAGGCCCGGTCACCCCCTCCCCTGCTTCCCAGAGGTCAGGCCCGGTCACCCCCTCCCCTCAGGCCCCACGGCCTCCTCCGGCTCCTGCAGCCCCCGCCCCGCGGGCCTCGCTGGGCCTCGCCAGCCTTCCCCCCACCCCGGTCGCCCGCCCTTCGGCCTCCGGGGACGCAGGGACTTTGCTGCCTGCCCCACCCAACCTTCTCGGCCCAGCACCGGCCCGTGTCCACGGCCACAGCCCCCGGGGCCAGGCTCTGCGCCCCGGGCCGCCCCGGAGGAAGCGGGGCGCGGCGCACGGACTCGGGGCTGCTGCGGAGGGCCCGGTGCCCGCCCGCCCCGTCCCGGCTTCTCCCCCGGCCCCGCCCCGCCCCGCCAGGTGCCGCTCGGCCCTAGGAAGGCGAAGAATGGCGGGCTTCTGGAAGCTTCCCCTCCCGCGGCCCGCCCGCGTCGCCGCCGCGCAGAGCCGCAGGGGAGGCGCCTCGCCGCCCGGGCCTGCCGGGTCGCCGGCCCCGCCGCGAAGAGGCCTCGCCGGAGCGGGCCGCGCGCCCGCCGCGCCTCCCGGGAGGACGCCCGGGGCGGCTCGGGGTCCGCGCGCCGCAGCCGCGGCCGACTCACCGGACAGACGCCGCGGCGAGGCCGAGCCGAGGCCGGGCGGAGAGCGACTCACCGGACAGACGCCGCGGGGAGGCCGAGCCGAGGCCGGGCGGAGAGCGACTCACCGGACAGACGCCGCGGGGAGGCCGAGCCGAGGCCGGGCGGAGAGCGACTCCTCAGGCGTCCGCGCGCCTCGGGAAGGCTCCGCCCCCGCCGACGCCCCGCCCCCGCCGACGCCCCGCCCCCGCCGACGCTCCGCCCCCGCCGACGCCCCGCCCCCGCCCGGCTCGCCTTCCGCCGGCCGGCCCCGCCCCTCCCTGTCCCGGTCCTTGGGCCAAGTCCCCGATACGTTTCCGCCTCCATCCCGGCTACTCTGGCCGCAGGCCCCGCCCCCGGCCGATGCCCCGCCCCGGCCGATGCCCCGCCCCTGGCTCCCGGCCCGCCCCGTCTCTGCCCCGCCCCCGCCGATGCCCCGCCCCTGGCTCCCGGCCCGCCCCGTCTCTGCCCCGCCCCCGCCGATGCCCCGCCCCTGGCTCCCGGCTCCGCCCTGTCTCTGCCCCACCCGCGGTCCCGCGGCCCAGTGCGTCCTCCCCAGCGCCCCATCTCCTCCTCCGCTGTGCCAAGGCCTGTAAAATTCCCCTCCCAGAGTGAGGACGCTTGCTCGGAGCGGAGAAAAACCCTGGGCCCTTAGAGGAACAGAGCCTCTGTCACCCCCTCAAAAAGAGCACCAACAATTGATGGTCAATTTTCTAAATAAGAAAGGGGGAGATGTCGAGAGCCCTGCAGGGAGTCTATCTGCATGATAGGCTTGACTATATCACTGGAACATCAGGAGGCTGTTCACAGAATCTGGTCTTTTCATCCTGCCCCTTACAAATACCGGTAGCTGCTAACAACCACCTTTTCACCCCCCATACAAACACCTGGTAGCTGCTAACAACCACCTTTTCACTGCCCTAAGCAAGCATCCTGCAGCTGCTACGCCCAATGAAAAAGCTTCCTTATTCTAAGCATATAAATATCCTTGTGTGAAAAATAAAATTTGGCAGCTTGATCAGAATCCTTGTCTTGCTGTCCTTCGTGTCTCTTGTCCCTTCATTCCTTCTCGCTTAGGTTCACCGCCCTGGTTGAAGTCCTGCGGGTCGGGACAACTGGCCCTCGCCCCATCTCCTCCGCTGCGTTGGCTCTGTCGTTTCTCAGTGCCTGGTGCTTTTCTTCCTCCGCCCCCTCGCCCTCCCTCCCTCCCTTCTTCGTCAGGCTGGCCTTGAACTCACGGTGCTCCCGCCGCAGCCTCCCAGGTGCTGAGGCTCCAGCAGCCCCGGCTTCGCATGGCTTCCGGGCCCAGTGCGGAAGCCGCAGGGCCGCAGGCCCAGCTGGGTGCCGAGGACCGGACCCTGCGGGCCCTCCCGGGCTGCTGCAGCCCCGCTGTGCCGTGGGACCCCGCAGAGCCCCGCAGGCCCCGCAGGCCCGCGCCTCGCCCGCCCGCAGGCCTCAGGGGACTCAGTTTACTATCAGGGGTTATCACAGGGGCGCAGGGGCTCGCACCTGTAACCCCAGCTACTCAGGAAGGTGAGGTCTGAGGCTCGCAGGTCAAAGCCAGCCGGCGCAGAGAAGTCCCCACCACACTGATCTCCAGTTAACCCCCTAAACACAGACATGGAGCTGTGGCTCCAAGTGGAAGAGCGACAGCGCCCAGACCCTGAGTTCAAGCCCCACAACCACCAGTAAAAAAGGGGGGGCCCACAAGTGCCAGAAAAAGAGGGGACAGGGAAGGCAGAGATAGTGGGGGTAACCACCCGCACTTGGAAGTCACCTACAAAGCAACAAGAGCTGAGAGAAAAACAAAAAAACCATGGCATGGAACTCACATTGACTCATTACTGAGGGTCTACAGTGTGAGGACCACCATCCTCCCTGATCCCCCGAGATATGGAACCAGATGCTGTCTGGGGCATCTTTCCCAACCAGTTTCCAGTCCTGAAATGTGCTCACTCATGATGCCTCAGGATTGAGCACCAGATGCCTAGCAAGCCACATGGCCTGGAACATGAAGGCATGAACAGGAGGAGCTCTGAGCAGACCTCCACAGGCGGCCTCTGAGGCCGGGGGAAGCCAGGGCTGGGTCTTCTTGGGCTCCTGAGTCTGCTGTGAGCATGGCCTGGGGCGGCTACCACAGCTCCTGTGGAGCTGGCTGTGGCCTGGGCCTGTCAGAAGCAGCCTGTGAGGAGAAAAGGACGTCCTGGAAAGGAGGAAGTGTTGCAAACCACAGTGACCAGATGGTGAAACTGGTTTGGGGACACCAGGGTGCCTGTGCTGGCAACAAACACTCCATTAACAGGGTCTTTAGTGATTAGCAGATGGGGGGTAGGTACAGAAAGTGAGGTAGCAAGCCCTTTGAAGTTACAGACACCAGCAGGGGAAACAATCCTAGGATGAGTGACCTCCTTATCTTAGGAAGCAGAAGTAAGCAGCAAACAACCACAGTTTGAAGGTCCAAGGAAGTTGGACTTTGATGAATTCATATTTCCGGTAGAATCTTGGGTCTCTGTAATGGTAGGAACAACTGATCTTTCTCGGGCCACTCCCAGCTTTCTGAGAGTCAGAGACTGGCATTCCAGTTCTGTTATCAGACCTCACAGCTCAGCACTCACAGCTTGACATCTGCCTCTCCCTGTGGGAGATCCCCAGGTCCAGGAGAGGAAGGTCACGTGGGGAAGGAAGATGGGCCACGAAGGCCTGGGAGCAGAAGGTGGCTGTGCCCATGTTTTGAAGCTGCCTTGACCCAGCTCCCTGCACACCGGACTACAGGTCTCATGTTCACAGCCCAGAGGCCCCCCACCACCAGTGTGTGCTCTCTGGACCACTAGGAAGCGGAAAGCAGAGGAATATGCAGAGGAAGTGGCTGGCCCAGAGTGTGGACTCTTGCCCCAGAAGCTGGTGCAGCAATGGGAAGGAAAGCGTGGACTCTCGCCCCAGAAGCTGGTGCAGCAATGGGAGGAAAGCGTGGACTCTCGCCCCAGAAGCTGGTGCAGCAATGGGAAGGAAAGCGTGGACTCTTGCCCCAGAAGCTGGTGCAGCAATGGAAGGAAAGGGCCTGGCCCTTGGAATTTGGGGCAGGCCTTCCTATCACTTCGTCCATGGCTCTGGCTTAAGAAAGCAGGACTATCCAGAGAGAGAAAGCAAACCAATTTTGCTGAACAGGGGAAAGATCCAGGACCAAGGCTTGTGGGGCACAAAACAATGTCCCAGCTCTGCATCTGAGCGGCCCCAGTGGAGGGCAGCGGCCCAGGCTGTGGGCTGTGGTGGGGCAAGGCAGCCTGCAGAGGGGCCTCAGGACCCAGCCGGGGAACTTCCCAGACCCCCTGGCTCTAGCCCCTCCCTTGGACCACTCCACCAGC